ATAAGTACAGGCTCAGTGAGTCGCAGAAGTTGTATATACACAACAAGAACTAGCATTGCAAAGAAGTAGGAATTACAGTAGTTACAGCCTATGATGGTATAGCTAGCTATTTTACATTTTACTTGAATAGAGTACTTTTTATTTTACGACGTGCTGAAGACTAAACAAGTATTCTAATTTTTATACTACACGCATAGTAAAAAGTACATTTTTTAAAGCATATTTCGTAATGTTATTAAGTTACCAGAAGTTTTAAAAGTAAGAATATACTAATTACTGAAGAACGAATGCATAAATGTTGGAATACATAGAGACTACAAGAGTAACAAGTAAAGACGCAAATATTTTGTGAAACCGAGACCCATCTACCAGCTAATCCTCTTGACAGTATGGCGCAAGTGTATCATGAACTTATTGGATTCGATATTTAGCGTTAAAAAAATTTAATCATCCTCTCCTGCTATTAATATAGCATAAAATTGTAACAAACTTTATAGGAAGTTAAAAAAAAATGATGCTTAAAACAAAACAACATCATATTCCAAAGATATGCAGCGCATAAAGAAAAGTTAGAGTTAAAACTAAAATTGAATAAACTAGCTTAGTAAAAAATAATTAAAAGTTTGGCTACATGATATTATGCGTACTAAAACAATTAGAGTTGAAACTAAAATCAAAAAAACTAGCTTAATAAAAATAATTATAAAGTTTGGCTACATGATATTATGGGTATTCTAGTGTTTGAATCATATTGGATTTAATATTCATATCAGCATAATGCCAGGCTATTGTAGCATACCTACATGCACATTAATAAAATTTTCTATCCGAATTCAGTTACTTTAACGCTTCGACCTTGTTCACCTCATCATAAATGACTATTGTAAGTATGTTATCAAAAAGTAGAGATGATGTTAATAGAAAAGATTAATATGTAATTCTAGTAAATCGAACTAATAGTATGCGTATCGCTTATTTTATTAATAACTACGCTCATTTTATATATAATACAGTCGCCTTCAAATAAATACGTGTATTTGGTTTGTGCAATAGAAATCATCATATACTGATCTAAAGACAAAATGTTTAAGTTCAACCAATGTTTGGTACCCCCAGACTATTTGAATCTTATATCGATATTATTTATCAGTAGAACAAATCAGAGTAGTTGGCTATTGGCTGGCTAACGATACGACAGATAGGATTAGATCACAATACCGTGAAGGCTTCAAATGATCAAAAAGCGCTAAAAATTACTTCAAATCATGAAATGGCATTCCGTCAAAAAAGATAGGATCTAACGTATAGCAAGGCAAACTTAACCGTGAATAGGGAATCGAAGACATGATTTAATTGAATGAAATGTGCTAGAAAAGGTTTGGAAACCAAAATGTTGGGAAAGCTAAGATCAATATATCCTTTGTAGATATATAGCTGGAATCATTATTCCTAGACCGTAATTTTGTTACCGTAGTACGTATGATGTAAGATCTTAAAGTATGTTAAAATAAAGTAATATCACGAGTGTATGCATCGACTCTATTTATTAGCAGAACGCTACACATGAATATATATATGCACCGAAAATTAAAATATCTGTCACAGGATGTGAACGAAAACAAAACGATCTAAGTTATGACCTATGTCAAGTTACAGCTACTATAGAGAAAATGCCATAAACTTTTTACTCATACCTCTTCATTTTCCATACTTAATCCACTTCTAGGCGAAATGTTGACCAAGTAGTGTCAGTTGTAAGGTAATTTTTTTCGCTTTAAATTTTCACTTTCTTATGCGTCAGTTAAAACTCGCAGTTTTAGCCAAATTTTATATAATTTGTATAATTGCGTTTGCTATGTTGAAGAAAATGGCCATTATTAAATAACGATGACATCGATTTTTTAAACGATTTCTTGCCTAAAATGATGTCGATTTCAGTGTAATACTGACCCAATGGTCAAAAAAGAACGGTGATTGTGATCGATTTTACTTGGCTAAGATCATATGGTTCTTGAACAAATCAATTCAGCCCATTAGATCCACCCAGGTGATTCTAATATTTGTTAGAATTGATATAATAAATAATTTTTCAATACTAATTCAATTTTTTAAAATCGATTTACATTACATAATTACAGAATAATCATTAGTCTAAATCGTCTTTTATTTAATCTGATCTTTTTTGTTATTCAGATGTACAGTATGCTAATAATGGCTTTCTTGAAAACTTCATTTTCAATAGTTAAAGCTAAGCGGTAAATTTGGTTAACTCGTAGAACATGCTATATTGATTCCAATGTGATGTGTAAGCCACCCACTACTTTCGACCGCCTTACGTGCTAGTAAACCATCTGTTTAGACTTTAAGTCAAATTTAATATACCCCTTATGCAACCATCTGATCGCTAATATGTTGAATAATTCATCTCCTTTCTTTTATAATTCTAAATTTAAAAGCAATAATTATAGCATGATCAACCAAATCAACAGCGACCAATATCATTGTTAGAATTGCTTATAGTAATACCAGTATAAATGGCAATATCTCATGGCTGTGCTAAATCTATCATTAGTAGAATAAAGACGACTAATCGTGTCGTTGCAAACAAGTCGCAGGTAACGCAACATCAGCTGGCTTATATTTCATCTACGCGAATTTTATTGCAAATAACATTAGCCATACCTAATCATTTGCAGATCAGTACTGTACACAGTACACGATATAAAGTTACTGAACCTCTGACAGGTCTACACGGTACGGTATAAAGTTACTGAACCTCTGTTAAATGAGCACATTATCGTAAACCGTCAGTAAAGCGACGGGAGTTTGCACTAGTGCTATTGAAACAACGACGTGGCTACGGATATTTGCACATCTCGCAGAAGCACAACTGATTATGTCGTAAAATATATACGTACAGTATTTTAGTATAAAGCTAAAGTCTGCTATTAGCAAAGATATAATTGGTTAAAGCATAAAATTAATAAATCAGTAAATCAGCATCATAATATCCTCTCAATGCTAGTTCCAATGTTCTTTAGTTCTACTTATCGATATGACTTTAGAGTGGTCATCCAGAAAACATTTTCGATATGAACTTTTATTGTGAGCGATAAAATATATCTAACTGCAGTAATTAAAACACTATTGCCCTTACTTGATCACTATTCAGATAACTTTACATTTAGCCTTGTTAAAAATCTAAATTTGTAACTAAGAAAAGTTAAAGAACAACTACTGAAAACTAACACTGCGAATCTACTATCAGGTTTGTCCGGACTCCCGACACCTTATTCAGTACAACCTTAAATACTGACGATGTCCTATCGCTAGGAAGATCACCAACAACACTAATCTTTCTTTGGATAAACCTGAACCGAAACTTTATTGAAAAATCGGTCAGTTTATATTTAGTCTACACAGCATGAGCTATCAGTACTTGGATAATATTATTAAATTACGGTATGCATTTATCTGTTGAAAACATGTTAATCGTCATAGATAAATTAGTATCAGTCTATCGGCACATTTATAAATGAGTAATCTTAAGGAAGCTATATTACGGCAACTATGCAAAAGTTATTCCATAACAAGCTTTATGAAGATAAAATTACAGTCTGAGTAGTAAGCTGCGCGTAAACATGTTTTCAAATAGTATTAGTGGAAAAATGCCTGGCATTTCATATGGTGCTATCAGAATGTCATACCTTTAGATCAACATGCACCTTTATGATTTACGTAGCGTAATCATATCAGTAAGTTCTATGTAAACAGAAACCAAGTAATACGAGAATAAATAAATACATGATCGAATACAAACTTATTCTTATAACTTATTAACAAATCTTATTTAAGGGCTCGCTTATTATTTTTATTTACGAAGACAAAGCTGCGATCAGGGATTTGCAAGTAACTGTTTAGCGCGTTGACGTATATCATATATCAGTTGATACCTGTGAATGTTCCACCGTTCACAAAGGAATGATGAAAAGCATATTAGCTATCATGATCTCGTATATATTATGACAACCATAAGTCACAAACAGCTAAAACCAAGAGGAATTCTTTTATTAAGGAAAGCACAATTCTATTTCAATCTCGGCTAGACAGTAAGATATCACTAGACAATACTGAGTAATAGCAGATATTATAGAAGGTGACATTTCCCGGTAATAATTAGCTATGAATAAAATTAAGGCCTTAAAATCAACAATCAAAGTTCAAAACATCAAAAGTTTAATATCAGTTGATATTTGTCCAAATTTACGATAAATCTAAATTTTAAATAATTTCAAACAATCTATTACAGTAGAGTTAATTGATATAAATGTACGAGAATGTACGCAAACAAACAAAAGTTCCTACTTGTGATTAGTATATTCCATATAGGGATGAATATAAGATGCATCAGCTTTAAATCAGTTTGTAAAAATCTATAATTATTCCTTCTCAACAAGTATAGCGTTGAAGAGACTTAGCAATTTCACAAAAGTAAATTGCAATCTCTGTATTTACCGTAAATGGCCTAGGTAAAATTCTATAGTACATGAATTAATCCATAGTTGTAATTAGCCTCAGCGAAATACATACATATCTGCCGTGGCGATAATAACTAAATATTTTAATTCTTAGTAAATCAGTTCAGTAGTCTTTACTTGCTATTATACATTAGATTCATAAGATATACGGTTAAATGTCTCATTAGAGGTCGTTTTCGTTACTGTGTTAGTACCAATACTTAAAGTATTATCATGGAGATCTTGTAAAGGTATTCTTTCTCTATGGTTTGTTCGTGTACTATCAATACATTTGCTTCTACTTATAAATGCACTATTATCCATTTTGGGCCGAAGCGTTGAATTTAATCGAGTTTTAAGGTGATCACCTTTTAATCTGCAAAAGTGCCAGCTATAATAGCGCCGAATAAAAACTCGATATGTAAGATTAGTTGGATCTTGTTCAAACATTAAAATGCCATAGTTTTTCCAACCAAGATATAAAAATACTGTTGATATTATTTTCAATGTACAAGTGAAGACCGTCATGATCACGCTCAATTTACTTGTATCATATTGAAGACAATGGCCACTTTGTCCACACTCCGTTTTCCAAATTATACATGAAGAATCTAATATTAATCCAGCTATAATAGAACCAGGTACTGCACCAAGTAAACGAACAACAAGCCAATTGGCAGATAGAACGGCAAATCGTTGCTTTTGTGGTACACACCTGAAAATACAGCATCAACGAAATAGAAATTTAGTTTTATACTAGAATACTGGTTGTTACAAATTTTGATCACAGGAAGTTAGATAATCAAACCTGATCATAGCTTGTGACGAAGGAATAATACACAAGGTAGTCAAAAAGATCAAGGTAATAAAACCTAGTAAAAATGGAACAAAAAGTTTGCACCCTTGTTGACACTTTCTGGATACAAAACGATGTGCTTTTATAGAATTGAAGCATTTGCAGGTAAGATCGTTCTAAATGGAAGAAAAAAAAAATAGACATAATTTTAGAAGGGCGATTTTTTTGTTGGCAAACTTAGATAATACAATCGTCAAATATATCAAACTAATTAGATTTTGTAATAATGTGGAAGGTTTGACTAGTATGAGAATAAAACTTTGCTTACACTTCCTTGATTATTAGACGCTATTTTACAGCCACCATAACAGGGAGAATAGTAAGTAATATTCGTATTTAAATCACAAATTGGCAGGAAACTCTGCTGCTGACAATGACAGTCCACATTGCAATCAGCTGTAAGAATTCTGTGAAGCAGTAAATATTCTTAAGTCACCGATATACTTTTAAGCCTAAATTTAATAAATTGCCAATAGAGCTATAGACTTACGTTGGACTCTGCGAAAAATTACCGTGGTAATCGATATTAATACCAGCTATTCGAGAAGTTGGACATGCAAATAAAAATGTCATACATGTGACAATCCCCAGTATAGAGGATACCGTTACGAAACGGCTAATGGTAGCTATGCTAATTTTGCTAGCACTTGTGACAATATTTCCCTATACGACAAATCAAGAGAAAAAAATGAACTATGTTATCATGAATTATACTGGATAGTATAAAAATGTTTCCTACTGTATATAATCATCTGAGAAAGTATAAGGAAAAGTACTATTTATGTTATCTTAACGTAATATAATCATAGAAAAATGAAAAATCGGTGCAGAAGTGAAAATTATGAATCTATAAAAATGTTTACTTACCAGGAACACAGCTCCACCAAAGCCAACTACAACGGTCAATAGACCAATGAAACTAGCTAAAAATGGATCAAGATCATAATTAACCTGGAAGTATTTAGTTAAGAATGTAGCGAAACCCGATAAACCAATGCTTTGAACAGTAAGTCCGAGCATGAGGTACATTAATGCTTTGTTCTTTAGAAATTGCCCTATTAGCATCGTAAAATGCGTATAATCTGTAATATTATCGGCTCCTGAGCGATATGCAAAGTTTCTACCATGAGGCATGCTTTCTGTTGTCGATACTCCTGTCAAGGAATAGTTATTGTAATTGAAAACAACGCCGGAAGCACTGGTATGGACACCATTTAATCGCGATTTATAATAATCGTATTTTGCCAAAAATGAAGGAAAGAGGATAATGGTTAGTGAAATAATAACCAAGAAGAAACCAACAGTTATAAATCCTAACCACCAAGCACCAATCCAATCAGGATTATCAATAGCGATGGCTTCTATTTAATTCCATTCATTATTTTGTTTAAAAGTAATCCAGATCAATAAAAAATAAATAAATAAAATTAACAAATGAAGAAAATTATCCTTTATCGACAGCAATAATAACATTATAGCCTTTCTAATTGTCATCTTTCATTCAAAGTAATTGTCTATTTTATAAGTAGGATAATTATCAATCGTAAAACATTATATCGAGAGAAGTTACGGTTTTCAATAACGTGATCTTAACAATGTCTTTAGTTATGAATGCTAGGAGATTAGTGATAATTTTATATGAATTTGATTTCACTTTCAAAGACTCAAATTTTAATGAGGAAAAGTGGATCAATAGTTCATAATGCTTCAGTTTTACTCGCTATGACAATAAACTAAGTCAGTAACTTTCCAGTTGCTGTGATTGATAGAGGCATTCTCTTAATCAGCATTAAATTTATTCTAGATTAATAAAAAAAAGCAGAATGGTGCTATATTCGAAGGAGTTAATTGACGATGTGTGAATCAAGTTGAAAATGATCACTAAATAATTTGTGGTTAACCTTTCATGATCTTATAAGCAATAAGTAAACTAGGGGTGATTTTATAAAGAATTATTATTAGAGGCCTACATTTTTAGGTTTACAATTAATCTACCTTACCATTTGAAACTTCAGGCCAATCGACAGGAGTTCTAACGAAGAAAGCACCGAGAATGAAGCCAATAGTTGGACCTAATCCAGAAAATAGCATAACACTACTGGTATAGATGGAAGAGGCAGTTGGGCTTACATTTTCTTCAATGTAGTCCCAAGCTGTTGTCCATAATGTAGAGGCGCCACAACCAGCTAGAAATTGAGAAATGATAAATAACGGCATAAAAGCCCTATATCGACGAATGCTATCATGGCATTGGGTAGTTGCCGATGCAGCTTGACTATGTAGGCTACCATTACATGTTGGAAATGATCCTTGTCGAAGAAATAGTAGCTTGTAAGGACTTACTAAGAAATGGGGAAGGGCGAAGAGAATATAACTAATACCAACAACACAACAACCGCTTCCAATTATAACCGATCTTGGCCAACGACGACCAAACAAAGCTAAGAAGGAGCCGATCATGGCCCCACCAATGTTATAAAAGGCTACTATTACGCCAAAGTGAAGCGATGTTAAATAAAAACGTTTCTCTATAGATGTTAAAACTGTCGTTCTAAATCCTGCTGTAGCCATTCCAACAGATAGCTGAAATAGCATCAAGACTAGCAGCAACCATTTGGGATCATTAAAGACTTGCAACCACTTTGGTCGGTAGTCGATGAATCCTATTCTTCGTTCTTTCGGCAAAGTATCATAATTTATAGTATATTTTGAAGCTCGAGATCGTTTGATAGCCTGTGATAGGCTTCTAAATATTCCAGGGTTATCGATTTCATTCGCAGGATTGCTAGTGCCACTACTTGTCGTAGTCATTTTATGCTTTAGAACTGTTTTAGCTCACTTCATATAATATATACGATGATATTATTTTACTGTATGGTAGAGATTGCATTAATACATTAAAGCTTCAATTGATAATTTGCCTAGATAGAAACTACGCGCACACAATTCCAGAGGTAAGAAGCTTTTGTCTTTAATTTGAAAATATCTGCAGTCATATACTTCGTTGCTTAGTGTACTATAGGAATTTACAACTGTAGTTTCATACCTTTAACAGCTAAGTGATTGTGTACAGTTTAAAAGCCAAAATCTAAAACAGCGAAAATTACAAATATATAAGTAAAATGATTTTTTGTCGGCAGTAAAATAAAACTAATTACAAACTGTGAGTATTCCGTCTAGGTAAATCATTCCTTTCTTCTTAAGCGATTAAATCGTCAGTTTAATGTGGATTAGTTTAATGCGTGAAAAGGAGTGGATGATTTGTTATAAAGAACTGCGGTTACAATAATATAATATCAATTGATCAAACTCTGTATTACCGCTATTGGTTATCGCTACTTTATACTAACAGTTCTTATTTTGATTCTATTGTCGCAAGCTCATTAATAATTCTTGCTATGAGATGCCGCATTGATATCATTGTTGTCGATGTTAACAATAGCTATCAATAGTGATAGCTTTGCAGTTTCTTGTTAGAGTTAGTCGACAATACACACATATAGAAATAGCTGATCGACTTTCAGGCTATTAATATGTATATATAATGATATTGGTAGTAACTTCTCAACCAGAAAGATTACGAAAAATATCACGTATAATCATTCATATAACTATTCATCTATGACTTATGACTTACTTGCCTTTGCTATTGTATAAAAATTAATAAGAATAAAAGACGAAAAATTACTGCATGCTTTACAGTAAATTTTCATCCAAATATGCTATGCATTTCCTGGAGCTTTCTTGCATCTAAGGAGATAAGAAAGGTTATTAAGTAGGTGTATTATCAAGAATGAAAGGATTGAATTGATTCATTTAAGTATTGAATAAGTATTTGGTTAGTGCTTTCAAAGATGCAGTAGACTTCAGTAAAATGACCAATACAACACCAATAGCTGAGTTACAGATAGTATATCTGATCTGCTTATGCAGAATATAAATGAAATACTTAATTGTGTAGTTTGAGTAATAATTACTTTACAAGTTATATGACTATGAGAATTTTAACGCCTAATGGTAATACTTACGCGTATTACGTTATCTTGCTATAATTCCATATGACTGTTCGATAAAGCGAAATTTGAGTAAAGCGATACATTTACTTTCCGCTTATTCCAGTAATTGTTAGTTCTATAAATACTGATAATGGTTTTACTTTGCGGTTTTGCTTTGATATATACGATAGCTTTATGGTGTACAATTAAAGTGTTGAAATACGATTATTGACTAGAATTTCAAATACTAAAATATAAGAACGATCAAGATATTGAAGTATACAATCTGGCTTACGTCATTAAGGTTCAAAATTTGAAATAGGATTCTTTATCAATTAAACTTTAGGATAAGTTTACTATAGTACTTAAACTACAATAGGCCAAATCTGAAAAGCGAATTTAATTATATAGCTAAATTAATAACTAGCATTTCGAAAGTATCCTCTTTTCATTTTAATTTAATTTTCATGCTTTATTTCTCATAGGATTGAATTGAAAAAGCATTGATTAATATCTGTGAAAGTAATACAAGTTTCAGGGGAATCCGATCAACTGTGATTTATTCACCGTCATAATTACAATCAACTTCACTATACTATTCTATGCAGAAATGGTTTTAAATCGACAAATAAATTATAGGTTTATATCTTGATACCCTTAATATTTGAATTTTTTTACTAGTATGTTAGGTAAACGTTAACTAACAATTGAGAAAAAGTTGTTATAAAATTGTGTTACGTCATGTTACTGTTAACATTTAATAAATATTAGTTTTAGTTATATCTGACCTAAATATTATTGCAGCTAACATTGGAGGAAAAAAATTTACTAAACTCAAGCATTAGATAAAGCTAAGAAATTAAAATTCTTAGTTGTTCTGCAATATACGTAGGTCATCGAGTCTAGCTGTTCAATTCTAAGTTATTATTCGAATGCAGTGATTAAATCTGCTGTGAAAATGTACTCACAATCAAGTTTAATTGTACACATCTATATTATCACGCTATTGATAAAGATAATATTGTAATAGTGATAAGATATTAGATAAAGGTAAGAAACAGTAATCTTTGCTAGTAATAAAGATCATAGGGTGCAGCTATTAAATTGTATTAATCAATGCAGTGAATAAATCTGCTGTAAAATAGACTATCAATTTCAGTGTTAGATATCGATTACTGTGCCATAGGTGTATATTACATCATCGATGAAGCTAGATCGCTAGTATTATAATTATGAAAAGGAAAGTACACTGATTGCGTCAGTTACACCCAGCTCTAGTTTATTCCAAAGTAAAGAGTAAGAGTACAATATGCGAAGTAAATGAGCAAGGGTTCTGCTAGTATTTATGAAAATATTATTCTTGAAACAAATTATCCATTCCTAAAGTGCAAGTTGATGAATCTCTGCCATGCCTTGACATAAAATTTCTATCAATTCCTATTTTATTGCAGTAATTAAGATTTTTAATTAATGTACAATAGTATATATTCGCAAGTTCAAACACGCAATTTGGTATTGAGGTTCCATTGCGCTGCTAGCTCCAAATAGTTAATTATCCATCACTCGTTAGCCAATTACCTAAATCAATTTATCCTGGCCATTTTTGACGTCACCGATGACGTTAATCCTGCTCCACCCGTCGTTCTGCATTCACAGACTTTACTAGATATTCATTGTAATATCTCATAATTCAATATATAATTAACTAATTATTAACGCTACTAATTATACATAGAGAGAGATATAATGTTATTATTATTATTATTATTATTATCGATTGAGATGATTCGACGTTGTAGAAGAGGTTCTACCGTTTTTTCGGCTATATCGAATAGAATGTCATTCATTCCATGAGGTATACGCATAGATCCGGCAAAGTCAATTTCTTTAAAATAGAAATTTCCCAATACAGGGAAGATTTGCTTCATGGACTCCGAATACATATTTCATTGCCATTCTAAGCCATAGTGATCATTAATCAATGCTTATTGTCAATTTTTAAAGGTCACGAAGTAGTTGAAGGCATGGAAGTTGTAGCAATTACGTATTCTATATTGGTATCTTTGTTCTAACTTTTCTCAATCCATGTTATGTAGGCGTATGTAGTTATGTTATGTAGTGATGATTAATCAATGAATGACTAGGCTTATTGTGAATTTTAAACGTCATGAGATAGTTGAAGGTAATGGTATTTGCAGTAATTACGTACTCTATATTAGCATCTTTGTTATGACTTTTCTCAATCCATAGTATCTTATGAATTGGTTGGAGGCATCAGCAGTTCAGCATGGATGCAAAAATTGTAGGCTTGTTCTGAATCTGTGAGCAAATATCCCTGCGTCATGGTATGTTAAGAGTGATTCTTATTATCAATGTCTCGTGTAGTGTAACATCATTAATGACGTAGAGTCTGTAATGACTACTACAAAACCTAGATTACTTTCCTGAAGACTAAATTACATTACTTTTCGACTTCAATGCACGAAACTACTGTACGATGGCCTATCTTATCACACTAGCGTATCGCCATAAATAGTTTTGTATTGAACAGTATTGCTAGCGCACTACCTAAGGTGATTCGCTGTTCAGGAATGGAATCCATTCAACGAGTGTACTGTCTTTGCAAACTATGGGCTCAACATGTAGTGTTCATTGTTTGGAAGGTTAAAAACTTCTTAGTTAGCAACTTAGCATGTCAGCCAAATTTGGAATAAATACGCCTATAATGTCGTATCGTGCTGGTTTCTTTCATGGGTTACCCCCTAGAGTTTCTAAACAAGTGCATCGATTGAATCGAGCGTTGTTGTCGTAAGTTGGTTGTAGACACAGTTACAGGCTGAGTTTACTGTCATAGAGTTCAATTCAATTTTATAAATCCATGTAGTCTGATTTATTATAAACTATGAGAACAATCGTTGTACTGTTTTTCCTTTAGGCGTAATTACTACCATGACCTCTGTTACTTTAACACCTGGCCCTACTTAAAAGTATAGTCAGAAGTCGACTAGATTTCCTTGTAGAGTGATGTTGAGTACGGTGTTTTTATTTTGTTTTCAGACATAGAAAAAGGGGCAAAATATTGCCGAAACGAATGTCGAAAAACTACACTTAATAACAATATGTCGCTAGAGAGCTGAACTTTCTAGACGTGTTGATAGAATTATTCAGGGGCAAATTTACTGGATTTTACCTTTGACTGTCCATGAAGAACAGTCAAAGCACATAGTAATAATGACTCTGTCCTTCGCCATGTCAATGTTTGCAACGCTGATCAACACACTCTACACGGCGGCTGTACACACTTTAACACTCTACTGTACACCAGAGTTCTGCAGAAGGATCACGCTTGTACAGTGTACAGTGTACAGTCAGCGATCAAAAAGCCTCTATGACAGTCCTGTACACTGTAGCCAATGACGCCTGGTACGGCCTGTCGCGTCGAGGTTGCAAATCACTTGCAATTGTTGGAAAAGTCCAGGACAGTGTTGTTGCCTAAAACAGTATAGTACAACATGGTGTTCCCTCCTGTACAGTACTGTACAACATGGTGCCTCTTCTTACTGGGCAATTTGACCACAGCCTCAACAGTTTGATGTACAATTGGGGTGCACTGGATGTTGTACTGTACATAGTGTACAACATGGTGTCTCTTCTTACTGGGCAATTTGACCACAGCCTCAACAGCTTGATCGTCAGGTCTAGCTTAATGTACAATTAGGGTGCACTGGGTGTTTTACTGTTCATAGTGTACACTGAGTGTACAGTACAACACGGTGTCTCTTCTTACTGGGCAATTTGACCACAGCTTCAACAGCTTGATGTACAATTGGGGTGCACTGGGGTGTTTTACTGTTCATAGTGTACACTGAGTGTACAGTACAACACGGTGTCTCTTCTTACTGGGCAATTTGACCACAGCTTCAACAGCTTGATGTACAATTGGGGTGCACTGGGTGGGGCCCAGGGCATTACAAAGTAAAAAAAAAAAAAAATCAATCAATCCATAATTACTGTATATATATACAGTACAGTAGAATCGAAATTCGTCGAACTCGACTATTTCTATATATACTGCACAGCATAGACGAATGTACTACAGGATGCAAGTAGAGTTGACAATACTACACCCAAAAATTCAATGGGCATCGCTAGCATCCACTTGTCAAGAAATGCTGTCTACTGTCTCAACGGCTGGCGGCCCCCATCCATTTTGAAAGTAATTTATGCAAAATAGCGATGACGTCTGATGGGTGCAGTACACCCTGGAACGCCTACAACCTATAGATAGTGTAGGTGTAGATCAGTAATGCGCTTGGTAGTCCATTATTATTAAGAAATCAAAAGGTCAAGAGGCAAGACAGGATTCTCCAACTGGTTTGTTATTGGAGAATCAGCTGTTGTAACGCCATTTCAATCAATCAATTCAGAATAGGATAAGAGAAACATTTTCTTTCGGCAGTGTTGTATCTCGTTCAATTAGACAATTTCTTTTCCATGTTGGTCATACATGATCGAAGAAATTGTTGCTAAGTTCAATTATTAAGCAATTTTATGGCTCTACCACAGATAGTTTAACGTAAGAATTTACTGTAGATGTTGTGTACAGGTGCTTGACTACCAGAATTTACTTTATTTATTACACGGCCAATTTTTGCACTAGTATTCACTAGTCTACCATTCAATTCCACACTAAATTATCATTGAGTCCAACTTGAAAAATGTCCAATACTGCACCAAGTAAAAACGAGAATTCTTCTTCTGCTAAATTATATATTAAAACTAGTCAAGATGACGACAATGTGACCCCATATAATGCTAAATTTGGCTATGGACCATGTCAGCCAGATTGGTTACAATGTTGTAATTCGGCCAAATGGTTGACAGTTCATGTCGGCGCCTTCGTCTTTTTGGCTGGGATGCAAGTTACTGGGTTAAAAGCTGCTGCGGCACGACCATTAGAGAAGCAATTTGGATTCACCAGTACCGAAATTGGCATTATGGCAGCCATGTATGATGTTGGAGCGGCTATATTTGGCTTTATATTTAGTTTTTTCGCTGCTCATACGCATAAAGGGAAATGGGTAGCGACTGGAAGCATATTAATGGCTGTCGGATCGATGATTATTGCTTCTCCTCATTTCATTTACGGACGTTATCAATATTCTGCGGTTTTAAATGTAAGCAGTATATGTGATGAAACAGTCAGTGGTAGCTGTACTAGTGGTGCGATATCTTCGTCATCTGTACAACTTATTATCCTCTCCTTGGGCCAACTTATTTCTGGTATGGGGTCGACAATTATTTGGACTATCGCTTATCCCTATCTCGACGAAAATGTCAGCCCAACAGCATCACCTATCTACATAGGTGTATTTGGCGCGTTAGCTTCTCTTGGACCTGGAGCTGGATATTTACTAGGAGGCGCTTTCTTAAATTTCTTTGTCGATTGGCCTACTAGACCAACAGGTATCATGACATTAAATTGCAAGTGAATTGTTATTACTGTATAGACTCGACGAATATTCATTTACTTTACGACCAAAGTTGAGTTAACATGAATGGTATAGAAATATGTGCCCTATTTATAATATTGGTCTACAGCGTTATCCTACATTGAAGCATTCATGAATTAATACTGCAGTAAGCTGTAACATGATATGTAGCTGTGAAATTAGCTAGAATGACCCTTACCAATAGTGAATGTTTGGTAATCGTACAAGGTTACAAAAACAATCTGTAACTTAACCATTCCAACTATGTTATTATCAAATTATTCAAGGCCTGTAAATTCATGATAGAAAAATGGATAAAAAATATACAATCATATAATCAAACTAGTCTAAGTCTAATGAATAATCAAAGTATCGTTTTTCGCCCATCATAGATATCAACTCTTCCGATCCGCAATGGGTTGGCGCTTGGTGGTTTGGCTATGTATTATCTGCTATATTAATGGCTATGACAGCGGTTCCTTTACTAGCCTATCCCAAGCATTTACCAGAATACGAGAAAAACAAAGAAAAGCGTGCTAAGATTGCTATCGGTAAATCTGTAATTGACAATAACTACGGCAATAGTATTAAAGAGCTACCAAAAGCTGTTAAAGAATTGGTTACAAACAAGGTTTTCTTATTCGTTACACTTGGAGCTACGACAGAGGGTATGGCAACAATATCGCTTACTACGAAACTATACACATATCACTTAGTTATTTAGTTTATTATGTACATTTTTAGAAATTTTATGTCTATTCTTATTATTTACCCAGTACTAGTTATTAGTAGTTACTGTATAGAAATTTAATATTTTCCATTCGCGATATCAATATAGGAATGACTGTTGGTGGACTATCAACGTTCATTCCAAAGTATCTACAAACTCAAATGAACATCTCGTCATCGCGTGCAAGTTTCCTTTCTGGCATCTTAGTTGTCATTGGAGCTGCAAGTGGAATGCAGCTAGTACGTTCAATTACTTAGTATTTACGTGTATATTGTATGCAAGTAACTTAACAATGCAATGTATCGTCTAACGATATCACACTATTCCTATTAGAAAATGACTTATTTGTACTTTACAGTTTTTCCTAGCGGAAGTATACTCATCACGTTATACAGCGATATCATAGATTCTTTTAAAATGTTTTACGAAGTCTAGGCTGCTAAGATCGCATAAATATTTACATATATACTGTATAACAGTTCCTTCATAATTTTCAATAGAATACTGATAATATAAATACACTGTAATTTTAGGGAGGAGTTGTCGTTCGCGTAAAAAGATTGCGTCCGGTTCAGATTGCAAAATTCTGCTACTCAGTTGGCATTGCAGGGATATTTTGTGCTCTTCTTATATTATTTAATTGTTCAGATGTTCCTATAGCTGGGGTAACCAAATCGTACCTTGCTAACAATACTAGCCAATCATTAACCAACATGTAAGTAATTTTTTCGAATACGACATTATTCTTAAATATGCATGCATAACATGATTAGTTATTAGCGTCTAGTAAGTCTAAACACTTTAGTGGCCGTACTAGACAGTATCGAGGGCTAGACATACCGTTTAGACATTTAATTGTCTAGTTTTATGTGAAGTAACAATACTTTGTATAGTTTAGGATTAGGATTATTAAAGTATACTCAGCCATTCAGATAAAGTCGATGTTTAATATTTCATTTTCTATTATAGTCGTTTGTATTTTACCGAAGCAATTAAATTTTCGTATCATTTTTGATATAGCAGAAATTGACAAATTTTCTAATTTTTATAATATTGCGTACTTTAAGAATATTTACGTTCGTACTAAGATAGTATTGATGGACACTATTTTAGGAATCTTGTATCAGGATGTAATGGCAATTGCAATTGCTACATATCAAACTACGATCCAGTATGTGGTATCGATGGTATATCTTATGCATCTCCTTGCTATGCTGGCTGCTCATATTCGCGAATCAATGGTACTAGTAAGGTATTAACATCGTTGATAATAACTGTACCACTGGATATTCAATAGAATTCTACTATTGCTATTTTACTATTGCATAAACGTAATACCTTACTCAAATTGTCACTGTATTATAGTGTTGGAAGTTGTTTCTCGCATACTGACTTTGAATCTAGTAGTTTCTACAAAAATTTATATTGGTACTAACGTACAGAAATTCGATAGTACAGCAGCTTTAGTTTATAATTTACTCAGGCGACAACGAAGCTAATTGAGTAATGTGCTATCTTGAATTATAGTATTATTATTCATGTTCCTGTATCAGCAAAGGCAATACTTCTGCAACGATGGCTAGCCAATCCTATGATGCTGTTCGTGAACTATGCCCCAATAACTGTAAATTTTTCATTCCAGTGTTAATTGCCATATCATTGAGCATGTTTATAACATATTTTAATTCAGTCCCGGCATCGCAAGTCATTATGAGGTAATAAGATTGACTCATAAGAACATTAAAAGTAAACGGACCATCTATTTTTGTAACTGTTTGTACTATAGTTTAACTTTGTATCGACTGCTTTATATATCGAAATGCTTTATTATCGAATATTGCTAAGAACGAAAACTTATGGTGTAATAGTAATACTAGTATTATAACTTATTAATTCTTACGAGAATATTAATAACTAAGCTATTAACTATTATTATTAACTTATTCATTTTTCTTTGTGTGTTGTGTAGATGCGTACCAGAAAGTCAGCGGTGTTTTGCTTTAGGTATTAATTGGCTTGTACTGCGTTTACTAGGATCTGTGCCGGGTCCACTTATTGTTGGCAGTATTATTGACCAGTCATGTATACTTTGGAACGAGCAATGTGGTAGACGATCATTTTGCTGGAAGTATGATAATTACCTGTTGAGTGTACTGTTGACAGTTGTCTTAGTCACTCTAAAGACGCTGACGGCGGTATTCTTCTTCTTGGCATGGTATTTCTTTAATAAACAAGAGATTAAATCATCGAAGCAAAAAAACAAGAACCTACCTGCTAGTAGCAAAGAAACAACCGATACGTATCAAATTCAGTATGCTAATGATAGTCGAGAAGATACACCTACAGAAGAAAAGTATGACTTCTAGAATCGATTTGCATACTTCAATGATTATTTCAGTAAACTAACTGATGTTCGGTGAGATATTTATTGAGATTAAGCATGTTTCAATACATAGATTGTTTTATTGTTAAGTTAATGTTAAGTTGTAATAAATATTTTCTTATGAACGGTATTTAATTTTTTCATTTGATTAATTGTATCAATTAAATCTATTCTTTCTTTTGTACGATCTACTACTCGTATAACATGATAATTTTTGATAACTCTCGATCCTATAAGATAGTATATCATATTTTTATCGCCGCTTACATTGACTTAAAATTATATTGTTGCTTATGATAAAGCCATTTGATAATATTATAATCTTCTTCTCATGGATCTGTGTGTTCAGTTGCAAGTGGTTCCAAATTTAAAGTTTTCGAAGGTATAGGAAACAAACTATACTATAGAAAGGAGAGCAGTCATAATATAACAAAGAATCTTTGAAATTACATACTACTGACTTTCCGAAGTAAAATTTATAAATCAAAAAACGTTTTGATTACAGGAAATCTCTAATCTAATCAATTGACGTATCGAATAAATGATGAAAATAATTGACTAGAATTGGATAATTATATATTCTCAACGTGTAAGAAACTAATAATAGTGCTATAGTATAGGATGTATAAGGGATGGATTTACTTGAATATTATTTTAAGACTTTGCTATTTTCGTGCCCGCGTAACTGGCACCAAATTCAAATGATCGTAGTACTGTATGTTGATGTATTAAAAATATAAATTAGCCTAATGGATAATTATACTGTAGTTATCTATTGATACTATCGCTGCGTAATTTGATGGTATCAATAAATTGGGGTATAATTAATTATAGTTCTTTACGTTAGTACTATGATTACAGTATTATATCTCAAACTTTTAAATACGGTATTTAAAGAGAGTGAATATAAACCAATTTGTTTCTCTCGAATCTACAAGGAGAGATCTATAGTAACCTATTTCAGTACAGCGATTTCTACTTCAGATTTCGTTAGTTGCAATAGTCACAATGTTAATATTTTCTGACGTTAGTTTACGACAGTTTACATACTGTTTTATCGTAACCACTATATTGTACGCAATTATAGTCTACATTAAAGTATCGCTTTTCTACTAAAGCCTTTATGTATTTCTGTGCATGGCAACTAATACCGCTAACGCTGACTCATCAAACTCTCTGTCACACTGCTATATCAAGGACAATAAAATAATCAAATGATTGCTTTTGATAATATGCATATATTTTTAAAACGAAGGTTATTTTAAAATAGTTATAAGCATTTTAAAATCAGTCGGATGAATGTATACAAGAATTATATGAAAGCATCGCATAAATGCTTTAGAAATAGTTTAAATGCTAAAAATAAATTCCTATTTCTACTGTACTAAATCAACATCAATATTTTTCCTGATTTATTTTAATGTAAAATGTTCAGTCATATGGCGTAATTTATAAAAAATAGCTCGAAATCAACAGTGAATTATATTTCTTTACATTAATAGAAAAACATAAAAGAGGCCTAAAAGGTTACTAAACTGTTGTTACTTTAGTGATCAACATAATTTTAGATTTAGGAGAATCTGAGATATTTCTTGTGTTACTCTTTTCTTTCAATCTGTTATCACTAAAGCAATTTCGCTTATTACTTTCTTGCGAAACTGGATAGAAATGCCAAGCTAATAAATATGCTATGAGTTTAAGAGATTTGAAAGTAGCCATAGCAGCAAATACTAATAAGCTTAAAGTATCATTATGATAGGCCCAACAAAATCCTCGCTGATTACAATTTTCATCCCACAGTGAGCAAGAGTGATCTAAAATAACTCCAAAGATTACCGGTCCAATTAAGCCACCTATTAAACGGGCAAAAGTACCCATCAATCCTACCGCAAAAGCATTTTGATTCTCTGGCACAGACCTAAAATTCGATTTTAGAGGCAACATATTACAAGTGAATAGATCGATATTCGTGAGCGTAAATAACTTGGCTATTAATATCTTGAAATACGTGCTATCCTTAAATTTTAGAAACTAATAGAGAATATTTTACGATAAGTATATATAGTATTAAATATTATGCTGCCAGATTGTGATTTCTGTTTAGAAGTCAACCCACAGAATATAGACTGTATCACAGACGCAAATATTCCACAGTACATTGACTTTACCATAAAAAATTATTCTAATTTTACTATCAAAGATGATATAATTGAAACTAATTCGACAGTAACTGAAAGAATAAGTAAAATTAAATCTAAATTACACTATAAATGTTTAGAATTGAATTAGTAGAGATGGAGTAGAAGGCTACTGTAATTGTTGATTAAAAGGATATAACATTGATACACCTTTCGATTGTGAGTTAATATCAAATATTTTGATGACTATGGTAGTTGATATCTATTTTTATTTGAACGAATGCATTTACTAGGTTGTATAAGCTTTAATTGAGGATCATTAATACTGATTCGTTTTAATTGGTTTTACCGTAGAATAATCTGCATTCCTGGTGCTACATTGAGAAATGTTGAGATCATAATAAAGGCCAATAAGATAAAGAAAGGAATAGACAGACTACATGATCCTTGGCAATTGCCGCCATAAGCCTCGCGAACAGGGATGGATAATGTGCCTTCCTTGCTTTGAAAGTCATCGCTTGTATTTATGCATTCACAGTCATAGTATTCCTGAAACATTTAATAATTACAAATAAAGATAGATTAAGTATGTTCTTTAACTACGTCAGTGTAATGTGTAGTTAGCCATCAAACTTAATTTTCGTGCAATAATTTGCGCTATAGCAACATGATTTCATCGCTACTCAATCGCTTACCATAATGTTAGTTTTTGAATTTAGTATCCTTTTCCTACATCCTGCATGACATGGTGAGAAATAGCTTTTCCCATCTAATCCACAAATTAGGTTGTACTTTACTTCATTGCAATGGCAGGGTAAATTGCAGTTGCCGGTAATGTTTGCAGTAAATAATGGATTGTAACTAAAAACGCGCATGAAAAAATTAGTACTTGTACTAATTTGGAAAAGTTGATGAATATTCATACTTGGAACTTATGTTTGTATGGTAAGGAATATTTACACCAGCAAATGGCGGACTATCACATTTGATTAGCAATCCAAGGCTCAGAAAGAGCCCAATTAGCGAAATTAGGGCGCAGAATTTAACCGTTTTATCTTCATATAGATTCAAATATTTCATTACAACTCCACCCTAAGTATAAAAGAAATCTAGGTTATTAGTAATGGATTACTGATACTTAATTACCATTTATAAGTTCTCACCAATTTGACTGCTACTGTAAATAATTAATGACTTACAATAATTATTCCTCCAGCTCCACCGACTACTGTAACGGCACCTGCAATGAGTACGGATGTTGATAGCCCAAGAGAGAATTGAGAGTCTATATATTTTGGTAAGAATGAAGATAATCCGGAAATATTAACTTCTTCGAACGCAAAAGCCATGATGGTACACATAAGAACTTTATTAGTTAATAGTTCATATAACGCTTTCGGGAAATCAGATAGGCGCCTTTTAAATTCAACATCTTCCTTAGCGGATGATAATGCTTTTCGTTCAGCTCTATAGCGCTGATAATTAGGTAAATGCTTCGGGAAACCGAGCATTGGAATCGCAATCAAGAAAAGTAAAATAGCAGTTATAACATAGCCTAGCCACCAGGCTCCGATCCATCTTGGATCCGACGGAGTCAGATCTAAAAATTAAAAATACCTTTCTTATGAGCGAGTTATTTGAAAATTGATGTTAGTTTATTCGCAAAATTACTTTTGATTTAAGATCGATAAACACTGTACTTATTAATATATAAACAGTACTATCTTACGTACGATAATTTAACAAACTGGCAATAAGGTGATTCCATTACACTTTAATACTGATAACACTTTTATACTGGTGCTAAAATTGCTACTAAATCTCTAAAACAGTTCCAAAAATTACTACCTGACGGCGTTGACGGCCAATCTATGTAGATATTGAGCAAAATTCCACCTAATAAGAATCCTAGTGCGGGACCTAATGCTGCCATAGAATTAATTATTCCAACGTAAATTGGAGATGATTTAGGGCTAACGTTTTCATCAGCATATGCAATACTAACATTATAGACTGTTGATACGCCTAATCCAATAATAATTTGTGCTCCAATAAAAATAGCTGTATATAAGTCTGAAGAATAAACTTTTTTTTGCTGGCAAGTATTGCCTGTAGAGGTATTTGATAAAACTGAAGATAAGCTGCAAAGATCAGATTGATTAATTAAGTCGGAATACACATATTTTTCGGTGATAAATTGAGGTGTACTGAAGAGCAGCGACCCTATCCCGAAAGTTAAAGCCCCATATCCCAACCATTGACCTTTGTGCCCTTGCGAAGCAAAATAGGTAAAAAGGACTGAACCAGCTGAAGCAGTAATCTCGTTAACACTGACAATGAGACCAACTTGAGTGCTAGTGATATTAAATCGACGTTCTAATGGCCTAACAACAACAGCTCGTAGCCCAGTAACTTGCATACTAGCAACAGTAAAGTACATTGCTATAATAAACAGCAACCAACGAGGTTTATTGATAACTTGTAAAAAATCAGGTGACCATTTAAAATAGCCAAATCTTGATTTGATAGTTGTATCTAAGGCATCGTGATATCTTTGATCTTGGTCAAGACTATTTCTTGCGCTATTAGTTCGATCTATATCGGCACAAAAATCTTGACTAGCTGCTTCTGTCCCAGCAGCCATAACAAATTTATTTCAATTATGTTTTGAAAATATCTTAATTAAGTCAATTACGAATCTTTGGATGAAAGAATAGTTCTTCAGCCGAGACTAAGTATCAGAAATGTTTCAAGTTTGCAGTCTTTAAGTGCTATCGCCAGCTAGAAAATAGCGTATGAGTGAATATAAGACAGGATAAGCGAAAATAAAAGTAGTAAAATAAAAATGGTGTCCTATTTCAAGGGGAGAAACAGCTTAGCTAACTAAAGCTAATTCTAAAGTGTCAGTAGGCACTGAATGATTAGCTTCAAGTCAAGGAGAAGCTTGGTTATTTGCTTTCAGTAAATTCTTATAAGTTAATAAGTTAGATCAATCTTTTTGATGCTTTCTTATTTGGAAGCACTGTAATTGCAAGTTGCACTCACTATGATAGCTATTCCAGTAGCGGAAAGTAAAAATATTCCAGCTTATATCGAATTTAGTAAGTAATCAAGGTAATACCGATATATTTCTCTTTCAAATGATAATTATAATTCAATATACCCTGCAAAGTTCGCATAGGGTAAATTATGATGCAGCTTGTTGAAATTTTGGAAGTCAATTTCATTAACAAAAAGGAAATGAATGTTTCTTCGTTTTAAAGTAAGATATGCTTTGATGAAATTACATAAGCCATCGATACCAATCCTTGCTGTAAAATTAGGAGCGACACTTCATAACTTAGATAAATGTCAAGCGATTAAAAAGATGTATCAGCAAGAGTCAATTAACAAAAAGGACTATACAGTAGTAGTCAGCAATGATAAAATATTCTTCCTTGAAATGAATCAAATAAATATTTCAGATGCAGAAACCATCTTGACATCAAATTAACTACAAAGTATCAAATCTAAATTCCTTGCCAAGCTTGTTAGAATATTAGAGAGAACTAACCGGCTAGAAGGCGCTACACTTTGAATATTAGTATTCACTTATCTTGATGATCGTAGAGAGATGATGACAATAATTTTAGTGTGGTTAAATTCAACCTATATTTTTCCTACTTCAACACTACTTATTAAAAATTGATATACCTGAATAGGGTTATAGACTTGTAGCCTAAAATAATCAGCTCTTGGGCTTGTTGCATGCCAAGGAAACTATGATCGCATCAGCTGACCGAGTTGTAGCGTTTTATGGCTCTAGGCTGGGACGTATTATGCTGAACGTGTAAATCATTGATTATAATTATTATATGTTGTCATAAGAAAGAATTTTACAATAGATAAATGAATAAATAAATAATGAATAAGAATGTCTGGTAAGCATATAAAATACGGTAGAGCATAGAATAATGAATAATTTATTTAAACTTATTTCTTAGGAGAATTATTACCGGCAAGAGGCTACACTTTGAACATTTGCATTCATTTATCTTAATAATCGTAGAAAGTGAAGAAGATAATAATTCTGTACGGTCAAATTCAACTGATACTTTCCCTACTCCAAGGCTAATAACCAAAATTTGATATGCGTAAGTAAGATTATAGATTTCTAGCCTAAATCAATCAGTTACTTGGCCTGTTGAATGACAAACAACAATAATCTCATCTGCCTACTAGATTATACAGTAGTATTTTACGTCTCTACAAGGGGTCACATAATTCTGTAAATGAGAATCATTATTAAATCATTATTATAGGTTACTGCAGAAAGGATTTAACATTGCTAAATAAATAAATAATGAATAAGAATGCCTAGTAAGCATATAAATTATCATACAGAATGATGAATCAGTTATTTCTTTAGAGAATTTTTATGCACAACGGACTACTGTCATTAGGGCTCTTAACTAGTAGGCGTAGAAAGTATCTGGGTAGTATATTATTCAGTATAAAAAGTATTGCCCCAAAGCATACGTAGCTGTAGTAAGTAACGCTAGCTCATAGTTTGTGATGGTTTTGCATATCGTATTCTGCACCATATAAAATGAGTCGAATTATGGAAATAGAAATTTTAATGGAGTATTATGTAAGTTTAATCAGCTAGTGAGTCTTTCTGAGAAGGATAGAAGCTAAAGATTACGCATAAAAATAACTTAATCAAGACCAAGCTAATACATATTCAATTTTAAATCATCATAATGGATATATTCAATTCAAAAAATTATATTCGCCTGCTTTTATGATCAATGCAAATACTTGACCAAGCATCTTTTTATTCACAGAAAATAATTGATTAAAATTTTTAGGATTAAATTATATAGCTAAAAAGCATGTTGAAAATGCAGAGTCGTAACGTTAAAGATCTCACATATTTATTAAATTAATGGATTATGTGTAAATATTTTAATTTAAAGCTAATGACATTCATAGGAAATAATTCACAAAGGAGTGTAAAATTGCCTTAAGGAGATGAATGAACATTTAGAGTGCTGAAATTTAGGGTACTAGATCTCCAACATGATTTATAAATTTTACCCTTTCCTTATTATAGGCATCGTCATTATTGAGTCAAAATATATGGTGGAGAATAAATTGGAACGCGTCCGTTTTTTACTTCTTTTACAATTCCACACGGTCACATAAAGGATTATTATGGAGAATATGAGTTATTTCCATAAAATTAGAACGATAAAGCAAGCATGGAATTATATTGTGTATTAATAATTAATATTGAAATTTTATTATATACTGTACTACTGCATGTATATTTTAACTTAATATTAAATAAATTTATAAATTTATTTAAAAGCAATTATTGCTATAGATTAGTGCAGTTGCTTAAAAAGCCGTAACATAACTGTTTCCAATTTCAACAGTGTTAATATCACAGTCCGCAAACGATGACATAGAAGGGGTCATAGGTAGGTCATTTTTACCTCGCCCTCTAGCTACTTTTTCTTCTTTACTATGAACATGCCACAGCAATATAAAAGTTAGTAATTTTAAAAATTTTAATATAGCAACGCACGCAAATAGATATAAGGACATTTTGACATTGTCATACTGCCAGCAGAATTTACTATCGCTACAGTTGGTGTTCCATAAAGAGCAGGAAAAATCGATAATTCCACCTATAGTAATGGTACCGATAATATTGCCAAATATTTTTGTAAAAAACCCCCGCAATGCAATTCCGTACGCTCTTTGATTTTCTGGAATATTTCTAAAAGCGGTTCGATAAATTGAAAAGATTAAAACAGTATTAGATGACTTTAGCAGAGATTATAGCTGCAATAAGTTTAACTAAGCAATCACAGTTTGTTTTTCTTTAGCTAGTCCGTAGCTGAATAATATCAAGCTATCCTATTGATTTTAAACGTAAGCTGATCAAAGTTAAGTGCATTACCTTAGGATAATGGAAATTGTTGGAGAGACGACGATAAATGATGCAAAAGATGATATGAACACGCCTATGAATAAGGGATATATTGCATCACAGTCCTTACGGCAGTATCCATTCGTAGCGATATTAAGATTATTGCTGGAGATACAGCTGCAATTGGTGAAGACCTGAAATTGAAATAAGGAATTGTCATATAAATGCTATTAAGTGGTAATTTTTGAAATGTATATATATATTATTAATTATATTGAAATGTTGATAACAACTCGTTGGATTAAATGAATTAGATATATTTTTACATTTATTCAAAATTTATAAACTAGTATCTAATAAAATTCAAACATCTATATCCTAAGTTAAGTTAGAGTAAAGAAGGATTGTTAATTAATAAAAAATATTGTTTATTAAATGCAGTTCCTAAATCACCAAGCTTATCTAGATAATGTGGCTTAGAAATATTTCTTGATATCATCAAGTATGAGGAACGTATAATGTAAGGACAGTTATGCTTCAAGATACGACATTGCTTATTCGTTCAAATTGTACAGTGATTTTAAATGCCATTACTACAATAGTTAAAAATATGATATTTTTAAATAGAAAGTTCCTAATTTAGAAATTGCATTTTTTGATCTACATTAGCGAGTTAGCAATTTGTTTCCTTTGTAGTAGTTCTGATAAGTAGACTGTACGATTAATGTCATTGTCGATTTTAATCAAAATAATAAACGCAGCAAATTATTTTAATAAATTAATAGCATTTATTGACTATTTATGAATTTATATGAAAGCATACCGGCAGCATCATTTGAAGTTAACGTAATCTTTTAAAGGTATTGTTGGTATAACTGTACTTGCATAAATTTTACTTTTAATACTTGACAAAATTCAGGCGAAGTCTTAGTAGTATAATGGGGTAACACATGATGAAATGCATTACAATACGAATGCATAATTTAGTTGATCTCATACGCAAATGCTATAGTCAATAATCGTTATAGTTTATGAAGCAAGTGATAATTATTGTCCAGGTATGTAATTGTAGCTTAATTACCACTTCATTCCTACTATTGATTGATTTCGTTCTGCAGCCAGCATTGCATGGTGAAGCATAAACTAACCCATCACTTCCACATATAGGGGAAAATTGTATATTTTGACAATTGCAGCCAGTGCTACACTGTGTTGCCGTTGCATATGCGGAAGAATACCTGAAAATCAAAAAATTATTACATTATTACAGACTCAGTTTAAATTGGTCAATGTAAGCAGCAACAAAAAAAAAATGAATTTTTCTATCAATAATGTTATTCATACGTCGTTGATAAGTTAAGACTATTAGGCTGATAATTATTGGAATTATTATTGGACCCAATTCCAATAATTGGTATATTTCCGCATTGTATTAACAGTACTCCCGAAGTTAAAAAATTTATAAAGCAAGCGTAAGCGCAAAATTTCGAAATAGCTGATCCTTGTAACTTCCATCGTTTTGTAAGATATCCACCCTAATTTATTTTAAAAATTTATAATCAATTTTTGAAAGCTCATCTATATAAGCAATAGCAACTAGGTATTTAATTGATGACAATAATTAAGATAAAGATTGCTAGTATAAATAAGAAATCACGCCAGTTATATATTATTAACATTGATTTTACCAAAAATTGGCCGACGCTGGAGCCAATAATCACTGCTCCTCCGCCTGCGATGCTAGATACGAATATGGATAAGCCAGTTTGTGACTGAACATACTTTGGTAGAAATGTAATTAATCCTCCGATCGTAATTTTTTCTAATGTTAAACCAATAGTTGGTAGCATAAATAGTGAATTGCAAACTAGTTGTCTTGTAACGGTGAGAAGTTGGCCTATAGTAGTTTCATAAGATTTATCATTATTACTAATTTCAGCCGATTGACACCGTCTTCTTGCCCTTTTACTATCTTTATAAGTTGATAAATGATGCGGAAAAGCGAAAAATAACGGAGCGAACAGTAATAATGCAGATCCTGTGCCTAGATAGCTTAGCCACCAAGCTCCAATCCATTTAACATCAGAAGGAAGAAGATCTAATTATAATTTGATGAATTTTAGTTAGAAATAATCAGCCTATAAAAATGGTTCTGCATCTCATTATTTGGATATTGTATTAAATAATTATAATAGATGCACACTATTCCAGTAATATGATGATACTGATCCCATAGCATTAAATTAATGTATTAATACTATTTAAGAAAAGGATTAAACAATCCTGCCATCCAAGTATTATGTAACGAATTTCAATTAAAGATAATTAGCCTAGATTTTACCTGTCGTGATAGTAGGCCAATTGATATAGATATTATTCATAATACCGCCTAAAAATAATCCACCAGAGGTACCGATAACTGACATCATATTAATAATTGCGATAAATAATGGCGATACTGTAGGCTTAACATTTTCATCTAAGTAAGCAATACCAAGGCAATATTGTATCGTCAAGCCGCAACCGACTGCAGATTGAGCAATAACAAATAGAAAAGTATAAACCCAATGGGACGATGAATCCGAAGTAGAGCAATTGGATTTAGTATGAGTAAAATTGTTACTATTAGAACATAAGCTATTGGTAATTTCAGATGTGCTATAGTGATAAAGTGGAGCAAGAAAATGAGGTAGCGCAAAGGTTAAAAAACCTAACCCAGTAATGACTATACTCCAACCTATCCATTTATTTTTATAACGTTGGGCGATCACAAATGTTAGTAAAGGGCCACATACACCACCTATAGCATCGTTAACGCTCATGATACTTCCTAAATAAGTTGAAGTCATATTGTATCTTTTCTCCAGAGATGGTACAATCGTGGCTTTAATTCCATGAGCTTGCATATGAGCGAGTAGAATGGTTGTGCATAAAAAAAATAAAAAGTACTTTGGGGAGTTAAATTGTTGAAGCCATGCTGGTTGATAGTTAAAGTAGCCACATTTACTTTGACGTAATTTGACTTTGAGTTTGCCATTTTGCGGATAATGGTTGTCTGTATTTTGTTGGTGCCGGTTGTGATCATGACATTTGTCTACTTTATCACTCTCATCGGCTTGATTTTCCTCGTTACAATTATATTTCAGAACATCATGATTATTATTGCGATGGAAATCATCGTTCTTACCGGGGTTATTATCATCGTTCTTGCCGGGATTATAGTCATCGCTTTGATGGCTATTGTCACTGCTGCCGTTGTGATCGCCATGACAAACCATACTCTCGTTCTTTTCATACAGATGATGATAAATACCGTCTATATTAACTATTCCATTGATATCCGTTTTAGGTAGAGACTGTGATTGATGATAAACTTGTTGACAAGTTTCGTTAGCCACTTTATCGAATTCAGGTTGATTAGTAATGTCAGTATTGAATTTATCACTATTGGAGGATTCAAGAACGTCCTTCATTTTGAGCGGAGAGAGTAATCACCTCGATGCTTAGTAGAAGTTTTGGTATTTTTCTCTGTCTAATGATAGGCTTTACACAAGTAGTCTTAACGATTTATAGTTTTCAATGTCGAACGATCATAATATTTGTAGAATCGAAAAAAAATTGGCAATTACTCTACTTAAGCGGTAGCCTTTTTTTCCTTTATTACGGTGTTTAAGTTATTTCAGGCCGCTACAGAGGCTAAATAGACTGTTTGTTTTAATTGAGGGAGAAAAATACAGGCAAATCATCATTCTTCACAGTGTTACCGGCGCACGGAGAGAAATTTATATTTCAATTGAGAGGAGTATATCTTACTATTTCGTTTTTTCTAGTTTAGAATCAGCACAAGGTAAAAGGAGATACTAAAGTCATAGTAAATAATGAAACATAGACCTATGAGTTAAGGCGGATATATGCAGTATGAATAGCTCCAAAATACTATTAAATGAAGCTACTAATTAATGTAGTAATCGTAGAAATTATTCGATACCTTTTTTAACCTATACGCACCGAGTTATTGGGAAGAATTGTATTAATATGATCAATTTATCCAACTTGGTAAAGCAGGATGACGGTAGTCAATTTTAAAATGAGTTTATTCTGACGTCGCAATTTCTACAATAAGAAATAAAACTATACAATCGAAAAAGTTCCTAAACATTCTATGATCGATGGCTGATTTCTATTTATGATAGTTAGAATAATTTGTTTGATATACAGTAATTACATTTGGATATTGTTCAGACTACTGTTTAACTATTGACCGTTGTTAAATTCAAATTGTGGGCCTCACGCTAATTTGCCTCAGGCAAGGTATAATTATTAGTCTTGTTAATATGGATACATGGACCTTAAAGATCAAAGAGTTGGGGATTTCCTATTTAAACTAGGCCTACTGCTAATGGATAGTCAACCAATAGAACTAATTAATCACTGATTATAACTAGTTGTTATTAATTGTAACATTTCTTAATTATGTTATCGCTGTTGCTACTTTTCCCTCTCTTTCTACCACGTCCTATCTTGAATGATTTATTTTACAGAAGAAAACACAAAATGACTCAACCCCATTTTGTTCTTTAATTTAGTAACATTAAGTTAATACAATTTTATTGCATTTTGTAAAGAAATGATAATACATAAAAAAAGTAGTCAATACAGCTGAATAAATAGGTTATTATTTTCTCATTTTGACTCCACGTGATGAAATCTATCTGGACGATTTATCACGTTGTTACAATATCCAATAGCGAATCAATGCTGTATGTTGGTATAAAAAAACACCAGGAAGAGGCGAAGTAAGAATGAATGTCTAATAAATTGTAGTCTAATTTCTTTTATTACTTGTAAAGGCGATCTTTTAATGCTAAGCATAGGGGTTAAATTATTGTCAATACAATGGAGACGTGGATGTTGTTTATAGTAATCATCATTGTAATATTATGATAGTGGACGATTTTGATTAGTCTATGACGCAGAACGAACAATATTGTTATGATAAACTAAAGGTTAATGAGGAAAACAAATATCGATGAAGAATTTCTTGGCAAGTCTTTGAAAACACATCGTAGGAGGAGAATTGATAATAAATCAATCATAATTTAATTGTTCTCCAACGGCCTATCTGCTGATGTCACTGAATATAGGCTAGCAAAAATCATTTAATTCAAGTAATTCGTTGGAACGAAAGCATTTCTATTGGACAATTATTGTCTTGGTCTAGTACTTAAATAAATCAGCAAGAATTTTTGGCATTCTTCGTCTAGGTTCATGATAATAATCGAAAAATAAGAAAGAGTTGTCATCCTTGCGTGAAGATTTAATTTCATAAGCCGAAATTTGTATACAGACATCTATAAATATCCATGACAGTAGTAATTCCTGCCTAGATTGAACGTTATTGTGTTCATTAATTCTAATTCGACCAAAAAGAAACTTTGATTGAATTTTTCTCGTCATCAAAAGGCAAGCTTCAAAGCGGATGAATTATTGCCAATTTCTTTCTTTTCAAATCAAGAAATGAATACAGAAGAAATGAAAACATGAATAGATACAAGTCTTTAAGCTAGAAGAATTGGATTATGAATACTTTCAAATCTCTTTTATTTTATCTTTGAAATAAATTACGCTGCCTTTTCATCAGGATAAGCAATCTATCTGCAACAGTTTGTTATTCTATTCCGTCATGCAGTCATTAACAAATAGATCTTCAATATTTACTCTAGCTCATCCTAAAATCGCTGTTAAGTGAATCAGAATGGCATTGATGACTTTTACTCTTGCAATTTGTTATGGTAAAGGGGTCCTTATTCTATTGATGGACTAATGGCGCTAGATAGAATCATGCCAGCTTTATACCACCATATTACTATCTAATGATTCATAGTGCAATAAAATAATATAGGGAGCCTAAGATCTTCTCAGTAGTTTGAACCGCTATAAATACAGTAAATGAGGGTCTAGGATGAATATCTTACTTATAGATACGAACAGCAATCAGTGCTAAGGAAGAATCTTTCTTTCTCACCGCTGATTGATTACTGCTAAGAGTTATTTGTACACAGAATAGGCGAACGGCATGGTAGGGAATAAATAGCTTACGATTAACGTCTCGGTTTTCTTTTGTCAGATGAAAGGGTAATAAGTGCAATAACAATAATAGAAGGAGAAGTTGGCCTCAAGGTCGATTAGTAATAATAAACTTTGGAGCATTAATTTCTCGACTAAGCTATGCGTAACAAAAAGTATAACCTACCTATAAAATCTTATGGAGTTGTCAGATGGAATAGGGACGTTTAATTTTAAAAACGATTGCAAGAATGACTATATTTGGCCGTTGATCAGTAGCGGTAAACTGTAAAAAAAAGTTTTGATTTCTCTGACTAGTAATAACCAATGCCATAGCTTAAAGAAAGCTTGGTTTAGATATGCAATAGATTAAAAAGCAATTAATGTATAGAAAAGAATGGAATCAGCGAAATGCCGCGTCAACAAATTAGAATCAATAAATACAAATAATTACAGTGCGTGGGTCTAATTATCCTTCTGAAAGATTATTAGTAATAAATGTAAAGATTGATATCGAATTGACCGATATCACTGATACGATCAAAAATAATTTGCATCATGTTCTATTATAGTCAATATAATATAGTAAGTAAGATTCTATCATAAGTTACGAGCAAATACTGAAGGCAATACGCGTATTTATTCCATAGTTAAACAATGGTCAATGTGATAGCCTAAAGCAACGTTATATTTTATCGCGCGAAGAATTGCTATAAGATAAGATCAATTATATTATTTATTATTGCGAGAAAGCATGCTATCTCATCCTAGGTTAATAGCAACAAATGCCACAACTAATGAAATTCTTCTTCTTCTCAGAGATTAATACTTTGAAGTAGAGTAACTAAAACATAAACCCCCAATATTTTCTAACAATAAAACCATTAAGATTGCCAAATGCAGTCGGCAATTTATTCTCTAAATATATCAAATAGTATTTGGCGCGATAAAGTCGATAATTAAATGAAGAGGCAGTTTATTTTGTCGCATAGGCCAACGTAGTTAGTATAGCTGCTTGTTATACAGTATTTTCTAATCACGAACAAGTAGAGTCAAATGGACGGAACTAAAGTAAGCAGCGAATCACAGAGTATTAGCAATGAAATACCGTTTGTAAATTGACTTTAATACTAGTGTGCAGATAGCTTAAACTACTGATCGGAACTAAATTTTTCTTATTGTATAAGCAATAAGGTAGTACAAGTAAGTAAAAATATTGTAAAATGTAGTATTAGCAATGCAGGTAATAAAAGTAATTTAGAGGATGTCCATTCTCTTCATAGATAGATAGGAAATCGGTGTTAAATGTAAACTGATAAAAGTATAATTAATGAAACAAGCAAAGTAAACATAACTTTCATGTTAATTGGTAGCAACAAAGCAATCCTGTAAAGCAAAGGTTAGTTATTCTGATCTCAAACTGGTAGAATATAAATAAGTAAGCTATTATCATACAACTATTGGTTATCTTTGCAATGAAGAAAGGTTAAGGAGTAAATTTATTTTAGCGCAGGTTTGTGATAGTAAGCCTAAAATGTCCAAGCCTAAATTATTTTTTTTTGTATCAACTAGTAGCTAAGTATAATATATTGATTAGATTAAAAGCGATCATCTCTTCCTTTAGATTGATAATCATAAATATAATGTTTTCAAGATCTTTGACTTATTTTAGCGATAAATTAGTCATCTGCTGGGGTTGGTGGTATCCTATTTCTATGATGACTATCTACTATCTACTATGATTGCCTGAGATAGGATATTACTGTATCATAAGCTGATAGTGTAATTCCAATCGCTGCGATTGCTGCTATTTTGACCTGAGTATCTGCAGCTTGCCGTTGTTTGCCTTTATTGTTTATTGAATAAACTAGATACTCTATTATTAATCTTGATGAAAATCTTGCCTAATCCTTTATTTTAAAAGCAAAGTTCAAAATAACAGTTTTAATTATACATATAATCTATTGCATAAGTAAAATTGAAAAAATTATTTTATTTTTATTAGCTAATCTTGCGTTACGTATCGTATGAATTATAGAGCTAACAAGAAAGCTCTTACACTTTCTGTAACCATGAATTAAATTAAATTATAACCAGAGTATCAGCATATGGCAATTGTAATCATCAAATCAAGACTACCATTATTCTTGCGTCATGTATCTTAGAAATTATAAAGAGCCAACAAGAACGTTCTTAAACTTTTTGTAGCTATGAATATATTACAATCAGACCATCAGTTGTGGTAATTATAATCATCAAGTCAAGACTATCACTAAACGAAGATTATATACTTTTTGGCTTAAAAGTTTATCTATCAGCACGTATCACATTTGCTATTAACGAAAATGTTGTCATAATAGCTGTTAGATGTCGTTTATTTTAATTGAAAGCGAATTAGATTAGGTACGGTAGTCTGCAGACAAGGATTAATTGATGCTTATCTTATTATTTTTCTAAATTATATTTCATTCTTTCTTTTCTTTTGATAATATACGGTAATTAAATGGCGTCATTTGGATCAAATGAAATTGGACATAGGTTGTCGATTGTTTTGTGTTAAAAATTTGGACAACGATGTCTATCAAATTTGAGTTTATTAATCAAAGCCTACCGGGATTTTAAATTAATTTTAGCTCTGCACAGTCATGAATTTTATCGAACTAATATATTGATATTTTGATATTTATGCTTGACTATTACTGATATTCGAAATGCAAGAAAAAGAAGGAGTGATCTCCTTAGAAACAAAGTGTAGGTAAGCCAAGCAACGGTTTTTTAATCAATCTTTCAAACTCTTTTTGTGTATACAGAATAAACATAAGTAACATGTAAAACTTCCTATTTGTTTATCTAACTGTTATTAATATTATGACGTCAATATTGAATTGAAAAATAATAAATATCAAGGAATTATAATCGTTTTCAATATTAATGTTAGTAAATATGTGTTCTTTAAAAGATATGCCTGTATACGGCTACTACTGAGATATTAATCAATATAACTGCAACTAATAAACTGTAACAGTCGCTCTTTGTTCTTACTAAAGGATAATTCCAATCAGTATCAAAGTTTATTCAAAGCAATTTATGTATCTATACTAGTAATCTTTTACCTGTCGAGCTGTTTTATCAAAATGGTTGTAGGATTAATTTCGTTAGTAGGCAAAATATTTTAAGCCCAATAGGAAACTATATGCAGCATAGATATCCCCAATTTAGGCCTTTTTAATATATCAAAGCCGCAATTTTTTATATATGCTCGAAAACAACCATTTTACAGCATCTGATCAATATAGTTTGTTGAAGTCCATCAATATGCTTCGTGTTTAGCTACTATTATTTAAATATGTTGGATACTCATGGAGAGAAATAGCTCTAAATTTGGCTGTTAAATATACCATTTTGGTTACTAGTCAACTTGAAATATTACTTGAAATCAAGGATACTAGACAAGCCAGTTTATATTAGTAATATCGATAACTATGGGATACCATCATGACAATACAGGTAGAAATATTTATTTAAAATCTGATCAAGGTCATCATTCTACGAAAAGTATACAATACATTTTATAATTGCAGAATAATATGGGATAATTAATTTAGTATGGTACTTAATATGACGTAATTTTATCCAAACTAGCGTCTAAATATATTTTATAGTATTTGAGTTCTAGCTAGCTAGATATAAGTACAAGAGGAATTGGCATAACACAAGGCAAAAGAGCTATATTTTCTGTTTTTCAGCATTTAAATCCAATTTCAACCTTAAATTTAAACATGACAATATCAATAGATAACATCCGCTAATCGAACAGATATTCTTTATTGGTAACTTAAATTTGTGATTCCATATTTTGAGGTGAATTATCAGTTGCCCGATCATTGTGGACTTTAACCTCTATCTCTTTTTCATCATGTTTTGCATCTTCAGCCTGTTTCTCTCCCTGATCTGCAGCTGCCGCCGCTGCTGCAAGATCTTCTTGCTGCTTATGGAAGTACCACAGAAAGCCATAAATCACCAATTTAATGGCTTTGCAGATGATTGTTGCTGTAAACATATACAACCCTAGCCTGGCGTTGTCATAGCGCCAACAAAATTGTCTTACATTGCATCTCTCATTCCATAATATGCAGGAAGCGTCCATAACATATCCATAGACTACTGGGCCAAGCAGTCCTCCTAGTATTCTATAGATGAGGCCTTCAACTCCCATTGCAAACGTAGTCTGACTTTCCGGAATACTCCTAGGTTTGGTTAAAGTTTTTAGTTTAAGAAATTAAAATTATTGCTGTTTTTAAATTAGATAAAATAATATCCAAGTAATTTAATTAAATTTAACTGTTTCTCGATATTACATATACTTAGCTAGCAAATTTCGACAATTTCCGCAATATTAAATTGATAGCGATAATTATGAATTTCTGAAGCAATTACTTTAGTCACCTTAAAATTACTGCTATTGTGGGTGAGAATGATATGGAGGTACTAACTACCATGACCATGATTCCTATTAGCAATGGATACATCAATCCACAACTTTCACCAGTGCAAATTCCTCTCCTGGCGATATTTTCAGCTTCAGGATTAATACAACTACATTTGGAATAGTTCTACAAATAATAATAAGTAAAAAAATTAAAATTGAATTAATCGTCGTATAAATATTAGTTCATTAAGAGTACAAACGTAACCAATCTAACAGGTTTTTAAGTTTTTGAGGAATTAAGCAGGACTGTATGTATTATTGCTGTAGCTAATATGAAAAACTTACGCCTGTAGGAGCGTTGCTGATAGTAACCATGGAACTACATCCAGCATGACAAGGAGACTGATAAGTCATTCCGTTAGCGCCACAAACTGGACTGAATAAGCTGCTATCACAATAGCACTTCGCATTGCATGTTGCCAGTGGTTGTATTGAAGATACAGCTCTAAGAAGATAAAATCAGTATGACTTTAATTTCAGTTTATCCTCATTATTGTTACTTAAACCAAATAAAGCAAAATCCAACATACTGTGAGCGGATTATACTTGTATTATTGGATGGTGATGGATAAGGAACGTAAACGCCTGCAATGTTGGGATTATGGCAGGAGATCAGGAAAATACAGGAAGATATTACGTTGGCTACACAGGCGTAGAAACAGAAGCGAGATATCTTGGAGCCTACTATCTTCCAGCGCTTAAGGATAATTCCGCTCTGTATGATATATTTAACACCAAATAATTAAAATTTAGGTGATCACATTATGCAAATGAATCTAGATTAATACAAATCTAACTTCTTATTTAAAGTACGTCAGGTAGGTGAGATTACAATGCAGTAGGTAGAATATTTAACGTACCGCTACTTGTCCGACAGCAGCACTAATGACAGCGGTTACTGCGGTCAATATTGTTGATAGAAGTAAAGATGCTCCACTTTGTGATTGAATATATTTTGGTAAAAATGTGACAAGACCGATTGTTGGAATTTGGTCCAGGCTTAGTCCCATGACTGCTAATAGAAATATTCGATTGCTAATGACTTCATAGAATGCACGAGGAAAATCAGCCCAACGTTTGCCGTACTTATTATCAACTCTTTTAACTGATTTAGTCATAGCAAGCCTTTTCGCTTTACTTTTTTGATAAGTAGGTAAGTGGTAGGGATATGCAAAGATGAATAGTGAAGATACAAAGGCAATAAGACCCACAATTAAATATCCTAACCACCAAGCACCAATCCATCGGGGATCATTTGGTTGAAGGTCTATAATGATAAATTATTTAGACATGATTTAATTATATACAATTGCTGGAACGAAGATTATTTTAGTACTAATATTTAACTTATGTATTTCAACTACTTATTTCATGATATATAATACTGTACAAGACTTGGAATAAAATATTAAACTGAGGTATTTCCATACATAGTAGTAAAATCGATTCAGTACGAAGTTTAATGAAAAATGATAGTGATTATCTTTGACTATTTGCACTGTAAATGTAATTCCATAACTTAACCTACCATTTGCAGTAGCTGGCCAATCAACATAAATATTGCTAAAAGCTCCACCTATCACGAAGCCTAATGTTGGTCCTAATACAGCTACCATATGAAAGATAGAGACATATACTGGTGAAATTATAGGGCTAACGTTTTCATCAATATAGGCTAAGCCTACGCTATACTGAATGCTATAACCAATGCCGCAAAGTACAAGACCTAGAACAAATATCATTGGGTAGGTCCATGGTGTACTCTGACTAGTAGCACTAGCACAGGCAGCACTGGAAGCATTAGAAGGATCAACGTTACACATCGTCGATGTAGTTCGTGTAGCATTGACCACCAATTCGCTGTAATAATATGGTCCAGCTATGAAATGGGGTAGAATAAATATAACCGAGCCAATACTGAGACAGATGATCCCATAGCCAATCCATTTACTTTTATGGCGTTGTCCAACATAGTATGACAACATAACACCGCAAAGTCCGTTGGAAATATCGACAGTACTCATAATTGAACCGGCTAATGTCGAAGTCATGTTGAATCGTTTTTCAATTTGTAGTACAGCAACACCACGAAAGCCTAGCAGCTCTAAGTTGACTACCACAGCATAAAAGCATAGCAGAGCTAATAGCCATGGAGGTGAATTAAAGAATTGCAAATAATCAGGTCTAAAACTAAACCAACCAAATCGGGTCGACTGATCCGCATTTTTTTCGTCATCGATTTGATTTTTTTCTGAATCGGATTGTTCATTGGCTTTTGATTTATCTTCGACAGTATTGGACATTTTTCTTGTTCTTTACGAAATTTTCACGGTCAAGAAATTCAGAAACTGTATTCAAACCTATTCTTGTAGATTTATGTGAATATCTATATCATATAAAATTGTCAATCGTAAGCATTCAGCGTTATATTATTGACGGTAAGCACAAGAGGCTGCTCAATGAGATAAACAATTCTATTCTATTACTTTTATGATCCTACTATCAACTTATTAAAATTGAAAATGCAAAATTCAAAATTTAAATTTAGCGAATACACAAATGAGGTTTGTACAGACAAGCTACAGTAAATAATTTCATAAATCAATTTTTTTTTGTACTCTTGAGCTACCGCGTATCTTAATTGCATAATCGAATTATTTTGCTGCACTATGTTAAAATCAATCACGATAAGATGCCATCGCTGAAGAACTTTACTAGTAACAATAAGGATTTTACTTCTTAAGCTATAGCTACCTTTACCTATTTGAAATACAGGCGTTCTCATCGCACGGTGGCACGAAATGAAGCTGTAAAATCCAATCATTGTCAAGTTTTATAGGTTAAGAAAAATTGTGTAGGCGTGCAACTCTTCGCAGAAAGGTCAAGGCAGGAATATCGCCGGGTGAAGTAGCATCCATTGTTAGTTATGAGGTAAATAAATAACATATTGCAATTGTCAAATATGCTTATTAGGATATTTGGGCCTATCGTAATCATATTTAATAGACAATACATAGCCTATGATTTAAAGTGCATAAATTAGAATACACTTGATGAAATGTGTTAAATTGATTTATTTCACCGTCTTTTTTTTACTATTTCTGTATGGATTTAAAGCTTGTAAGAAGTATAAGGTAATGCTTTAATTTATAAGTACAGTGTAAACTGTAATTCTCATGAGCGATTATAAATGCATTAAGACTGTTCTAGGTAATAGTTCTTGATCTCACCATTCTCTATTGATAAGATAAGGCGTAGATCACTAGATTAAAACCTAGTTTTCTCCTAGAGATCTGTAACCAAGGTCATTTCACTAAAGCGATAGCCTTTTAACCTGAAGGGTATAATGGTGTTTTCGCCATTATTGACTTATGTTTTAAGAATTGTTTATACAATAATTTAATATCCTTTAGATACTTTAATTTTATTGGATATGGTATATTACCAGCGTGCATTCGACAACCAATAAAATTGAATATTTATATTATTAGCATGACCTATCAGTTAGACACCTGATTTCCTTAGTAGTATTAAAACCTATACTGAACGGTTAGTTTTCTTATTAAGATTTCTTCAATAAGTTATCACGTCCTTATCGTATATACGTGCTAAAATGAGAAATAGATACTTTGGTGCTAGTTACGTAAGTCTCCATTGAAGCTGCAAATGTTGATGGCTTGTTACAATTCTCAATCCGCTTACTTAGTGATATTGATAAATAATAGTGTCAGGCCATTACTGGTACTAAAGATAATACTTACATAGTAAGGTATCATGATACTATTTCAACATTTTCTACTTATAGTAATGCAGATCAAAATATTTACATTAACTAGCAAGGCTCTTTTGAAATGACTAAAATTCTTAATTAAAATAAATGCAGAACTACTACTACCCGATATAGCGTACGCTTCTATCTATTGACGGTATAATCTATAAGTGAAAGTTAATTTCTACTACATTACAGTATTGTAAATTCAAATTTTATCGTCTTACATTTAACATTGACACGGTACAATTCTATTAATACTCCAATCCGATTATATTGCAGAAATTCCTAATCTAAAAGTAAGCTCTTCTTATATAAAAAGCTGTTTTAATGCATCTATCTAGTTTGTTCTCCTAGCTACACGATAAGCTTGCACGCCTGATCTATTCTACTACAGCAGCTATTCCACTAGTTTTCGTCACTGAATACTCTATAGCCTTACTTGGTTTTCCTTCTCGCACCAACTGCTATAAAGATTACTTTTCACTAATTTATTTCTCTTACACTTTCTTACTATTTTAACGAACACATAATCTTCCGAAGCATCCGATCCGATTTATTTAAAAATACGATTATAGTTTGAAGGAACAGTCGCTGCAATCACTCAAAGGTCTTAGCTCTTTTTAGTGTAGGCTAAACTTTAGATGAAAATAGCGAATATTGCTTTAATATTAGTTAAGAATAATTGTAGATCAGATCCAAGCCAAAATCGGTAGCTAGACAACTTTTATTCCTTTTAGCGTAGGAAAAGGTAGAATAATTAAATATGCTGTAGCTGTGCTGCAACTCAATTATATGACAGTAAACCATACGAGGATGTAAAAGCGGAACTAAAGTAATGGGTAGGAGGGTGGAATAAATAAACGAGAATTTCTATTTCTAAAATGAATATTCCATTTTTTATCTAGAGTATTAAGTTTCATCGATTATAGCGAAGGCACTCAATTATATAACGATACTGAAGGGGAATTTCTAATTCTCAAATAATTATTTAATTTTTTTCTATCTCGATTATACAGATTAGTCGACCATTGCTAAGGTGTTCAATAATATAACGTGAATATTTAATTTTTTCTATCTATAGTATGCAGTTTGATCGATTATTGCTAAGGTGTTCAATTATAATTATATAAAGTTACAAAAGAGGGATTTCTTTCATATATGATCGTTCAGTTTTTCCTACTAGGTAAGATAAGTAATGCCTTAGCGTGGATGTTGTTTGTGATAGTTCATTACATATTTGATATTGATTGTTATTGTGTTTACAAATTAGACGGTTCCTACATAAACAGGAACATTTGAGTTGAGTGGGGTGGTAAAAAGTTGTAGATGTGTCTTTGCTAATAAAAGTTTTATCTTTACAGTATTTTGCTGTGTGTGTTAAAAGTTAAGTAAAAGGGCGTTTAAGTCAGTAGCTACTTACAGACTTTTACTGTACGTTACCTTGTCGCGGAAGTGAAATTGTGACTGTTTGTATTTTAAGTTGCAAAGTCATTACCAAATTGTTAAACGTAAACGGTTTTTTTACCATAAAATTACTATTGATGTGGGTGTAAATGCTATAAAGGTACTAAATATCATGACCATGATACCAATCATGAGTGGATATATCATTGCACAACCTTCACTTGAACCTGGTCGCTATCTGATCAACTTTGTAGTTTATAATTAACTCAACTATATATACAACATGTAAATTCGGAAATTGAAAAATTAAAGCTGTAATAGGCTCATACGATAGAATTATTAATACGTTATTGTATAATTTTCTAAAACGAATGCAATGTCGAAGTATTGCAATAATTAAATAGCCAAATGGCTAAGCTGTTAAAAAATTGCACTTATACATTGAATGAAATATTCCAAAATGCGCATAAATGATTTACCCACTACACCAGCATTGACAGTCGTTAGCATGTTATTATATCCAGCATGATAAGGAGATTGGTAACTTATTCCATCGGTGCCGCAAACTGGATTGAATAAATTAGTATCGCAATGGCACTTTGCACGACACGTTGCAATTGGTTGTACGTTAAGACATAGCCCTAAATATTTAAAATTATGAATTCCATATTAGTTTCGAGAGGATCATCGGTAGTTGTTAGCTTCCGCTCTATTAAATAAATTTAGAAATGAACCTAAAAGCTGACATATAATGTATTATTATATAGCGATGGATAAGGTACACATGTAATAAAATGAAAAGTGTAGAGATCAAGCTACAAAACTTTAATAAACTTTGATTCTACTTTCGTTGCACTCCGGTCGACTTGTCGAAACTATCACACCAAATAAAATTTGGGGAAATAATCGATCAACAATTTATTCCCCAAAAAATGGAAAGAAGTATAAACCAAACAATCTTACAAATAATTATCTTTAAGTATTAATAAAATAAGTGACAGACTTAAAAAGTGTTAACAACCAAACAATCTTTCAAAAAGAAGAATGTTTTAACTTACGACAATTCGACCCCGAAGGCCTTTTAAATTCAACAAGTTCTTCAAAAGAATCTTCTTCTACTCTCTCCCTTTAAATTTTCTAATTGCACTATCATTTATAGGCTTCGTAGAGCCGTCAGAGGTATTTAAAACTAAGTATTTACTAACCAATCTCTCTTAAGATCCATTTTAGAAAACTACTTTGCACCATTTAAGAAAACAAAAATCATTCAAAGTTCAAACAAAATTTACCTTACGATTCCCTTACAAAACACTATAAAACCTATAAGTTAACTATGAATATACATCAAACTTCACTTCTAACATAATTTCTATCATTAATACACTATAAAAGTCTAAAAATTAACCTTTAAACATCAAGATTTAGTCATAAAAATAACAGTCTAACTACTTAACAATCAACACAACCTCTGCCAATTTCCATCTTATTTTCTATTTTCCTAACTAAACTTTCCTAATGTGACTTTCGTGTCACGTCATAAAATTCCAAAGTTTCAAATTCACAACAAAAAGATCAAATTTCAAAAATCAACTCTTACGATATTTTTCATAAACTAAAATCCAAAATTAAAACAGAAAAATTAAAACAGATAAATTAATACAGAAAAATTATATCAGACATAAATCCGACCGGTTCCGGAATCCGAATCCGAAAAATCCGGATTTTATAATGATCGCAGTAATCGCTTATCAAGAAATTTTATATGACTACTACGACTACTTTTCTGACATTAGTATCGCTTAGTATTGACAGTTGATATTTTAGCGTCAAGTTGTAAGGTGACTGTACGATTATAGACTACATTACAGTACTTTACTGTCATGTTATAAATCCCCTTTCTCTATGGATAGGGTTTTGTTACTAAGTCAAATTCATTTACAATTTGAATAGACTATCAAACGCCCTTTCTTTAGATTAGGCAATTGCTCTATGGCTACTCCTATAGTAATCTGTATATAATACCTTGTGAAATAATGAAGAAGAAAAGATGACGACATGATAATTTGGCAGGGTAAAACTTAAAGACACTATCACTTTATAGGTATTTTCTATAGTAAAATAATACTAGTTGCATACTAAAAGCTATAAAGGACTCCACTTTTAGTCCTTTATTACACATAAATGCCGGTATTGAGAGGATTATTGCAGTGCATAAGTAGTCCAAATGAAGAGAGGAGATTGCTACACCGGCATAGAAATAGAAACAAGATATCTTGGAGCCAAGTAAGTTACACCGCATCATGAAAATTCCGCTCCAAAATGTTAGATAAGATAATTAAGATTGAATTGAGTTTAATTTGAATCAACTTCTCATAAGAATATATTACTCACTTTGGTTGTAATTTGTCACAATTACAGCAAGAATTAGGAAAGTAGTCTTAATTATGGCTTAGGTGATGTTGAAGATTTGAAAAAGCAATGATTTGAGCTATAGTTATATGAAAGTTCAATTCAGTACTTGGTATTATTTCTATGCAATTGCGGAGAATGAGTTAACGTATTCATAGTCTGCACATTACAATAATCAAATCTACAAAAATGCTACTCCTACGATACATTTCAGAAATATTGTTGAGTTTAATCCTTACACTAGCTTGTGCTATGGCAGTGCTACCTATAACGGTTACACCTATTAATGTTGTCGTTACTAGAAAAGATCCTCTACTTTGTGATTGAATATATTTTAGTAAAAGTGTGGAAAGGTCAACCCGCAGGAATTTGGTCAGAAGTTAGGGCCATAACAGCTAACAGAAATATTCGATGGCTGGCGATGTCGTAAAGAGTGCGTGGGAAATTTGCCTAGTGTTTACGATATTGGTTATCGACTTTATTGACCGATACTAATTGAGCTAGTCTGTTCATTTACTTCTGGTAAGTAGGTAAGTGATGGGGAAATGCAAAGAATAATACATAAGTGATAATAGCTATAAGGCCTACAATTAAGAACCACTATGCATTAATCAAACATAGATCATTCTGCTTCAGATCTGTAAGATGATTAGGATATAATTAATGCATGTCTTCATGAAATTAGCTCTAAAATATTGCTCTTTGTCAAGCCATGAGTTTAGCATTGAAGTTGGATTCTTAGATAGAATTGAAATTGCTAATTTATGCCACAGTAACATGCAATACTCACCTAGTTGACCACGATTAGTTGCACGTGTCCTGAGAGGATATGGTATTACAATTCCTACGGTTAGCGCATGGAAGCGTGGAGATATGGATTAAGTATGATTGTAGCGCTGCTACTGCTACTTAATAGGTCTTGAGCTTGAATTTGTAAATGTATTCATCGAGTACATCGGAAGTTCTTCTTATCGATAGTTTGTTATAGATACTATTTCAGTTTTGGTTCATATTATAATAAAGCTTCGTTCGGTTTAATAAATCCAGCTAATCTGATTTATTGTGGATCCTAAGAATTAGCTTTACTATACTCGTAATATGCTTAGGTCGCTCTAGACTGCATCGATTGAATACGCGTATATCAGTTTTCGGACATTTTTGAAGGAATTAAGCTGTTAAATATCTCATTATATTAGCAATGCAAGGTATAGTTAACTAGAAGATCTATCGTCTTCAAATTTTTAATTTCTAACATGTGATTATTGTATTTGCTTACAGATAAGAGCTATATAAACTAATCTTGTAGGCTAATAGGACTTTGGAGTTGAAAGCCAATCGAATTAGATATTAGTAATAACTTCACTAATGACTTAGCCTAATGTTGGTCCGTCCCACCACATGCAAGACAGTGATGTATACTGGTGATATCTTAGGACTAACATTTCATCGATATAAGCCAAACTTACATCATGTTGAATACCCTAACCAATACCGCAAAGTATAGACCTCCAATGGAATATTACTAGATAAATCCATGGTAAGCTCTGATGCCTTCCACTAGTGCATAAAAATATTAGAAGTATTTAAATCATTTGAACTGCAAAATATACTAGTCATTTGTATATTATTGGTGGCTATATTGAGATAATAATATTGCCCTGCAAGGAAATGGGATATCATAAATATAGCCGAGCCAATGCTCAAGCAAACCATTCTATAACCAATTCATTTATTTTTATGACGTTATCCAACATAGTACGTTATTAGAAAATCATAAATTTAGCTAGAAATATCGACAGTACTCATAATAGAGCCGATAAATGTTGATATCAAATCGCTTATCAATCTCCGGAACTGCAACGCCACGGAATCCTAAAAGTTCCATATTCACTATGATGGCATGAAAGCACAGCTAACAGCCAACGAGGCAAGTTAAAAGTATTGCAAATAATCAGGTCTATGGCTAAGCCAGCCAAATTTAACCGAATATACTGCATCTACTCGGTCATGAATTTGATGTCCCTCCCAGAGTCTATTTGCACAATAACTTTAAGATTATCTTCGGTAGAGTCTGAAATTTATTTTTAATGACTTTATATATATAAATCTTGTTGGTGTTTAGATTCTTGATCTGGAGCAGATTCTGCGCCATCTTCTCCTGTTTTTCGTCTTTTCTGATTTGAGCTTGTTGTGTTAAGCTCTGCAAGATCGGACTTTTCATTTTGATCATCTCCCGATTTTAGATCGACCATGATTTCTTGACCAGTACGCTATTCGATTCTGAAGATTCAAGTACTTACTTTTCTTCAGTTCCTGATTTTTGACCGTCTGCAGGCTTATGAACTGAATTGGATTTCACAGAAACATAAAATTCTATTTCTTTTTCCGAGTTTGATCTCTGATTTCTTGATATGCATCAAATTCCATTTTCTTCAATATATAGTGAAATTTTTTGAGTGAGAATAGAATAATTATTTAACGTTGAAGTTGCTACAGCTAAATTCTATACGGTTAGATTTTTAAAGTTAGAGTACTTTTTGACACTTACTATGTGGTTTACTCGGCTACTCTCCAGGATTATGATTGGAATTTTATAAAATTCAAGATTTGGTTGCTGATAATTGAATAAATATAATGTTTAAAAATCAGCAGACAAGGCGTGTACTTGTGTTCTTATTCTTGGAAAATTAGAAAAAAGGAAAAGTTTTTATTCCGGGGTAGTGCTGTGCCATGTTTGATTATGCGGATAGCTACATTTGATTTAGTTAGGTTACTTTGAATAGATATTATCGTAAAGCGAGTATTAATAATTGCTGACTACTATATTAGAAATTGTTAATGACTAATATTAGCCAATTGACTAATTATAGTATAAGATTTATGTGGCTAGAAACACTGTAGTTGTTAAGATGCCTTTCGGAGAAAGTGGCTAGTCGTTAATAGAAGAGTAATGATATCTTAAGTAGAACCATTTTGATTGTAGAAAATATTGATGTACTATTTAAGAACAGCATTTTGTTTGATGACTCATATCGGATTATAGATTAATCAAGTTGTCATAAATGGATTTAACGAAATGTAGATGTTACGTAGCTAAGAAATACAGAGATGAGCTCACATGGGAGGAAAGACTTCAATCCGCTTTGAGCTCGGAATACTTCAGATTTATTCCGTATGGATAAACGAATTATCATCTTTATTGTGATAGTGATAACTATGGACTTTTATTTGTAATATACGCATGATTAACTTTTTCGCTTAAATAAACAAAATCGTATTTCTAGTAAATGGAATAACCATAAGAGTGGATGTTATAATAATAACCTATGATAAATTTTCCTTAGTTAATGATTGCAATATGTGATTTCATTTAAGTAATCTCTTCAATAGCTAAACTAAACTTATCATTTTGCATTACTTTTCGAAAGATATATGCTTATATGCGTATATAAACTCGACAAGGTAAGGGCCTTGGGCATTGCTGACCGCCATTATAAAGTATAATTCACTATACAACAATAAAACGGCATTAAAGGACATATACGCATGTACTAATAATGGCAATATTTTAAACATTTCTATATTAATACTGTAATTTAGAATAGCTTGCGTTAATATGATTAAAATTTTATTAGCTCAAAAAGATCATAAACTTATTCATGCAAGATTTTGATTTGCAACATGTTTGAGTTGTTTGCTTGATGTACAGGCAAAATGAAGGTACATTCTACGGTTGAAATTTGCGCCTTCAAGATACTACTGCGATAAAGTTAGCATATTTATTTAAAATGAAGTCAGAATATCAATTTTGGAGACAAAAATAAAAATACACACAACAGTTTTCAAAAGAACACGTTACACTACTTGACAAATTGGGTTGTACAGTACATAAATAAGCAATGTTATTTCAATTTTAGTGACGAATGTCATACAAAGAAGCTAAACTAAATAAAACTTATATATATATATATACGCAATTTTCATACCATATTTCATTTGCTTAGTTGTAGGATGGCTGTTCTCGTAGCAAAATAGTACCACTGGTAAATATTCTACTTTTATGCAGAATATTGAATTCTCTGGCTTTATAGAAAAATCTAGCAATATTAAACTAACATCTAGATATTAAACTGGTATTCTTGAAGGTATCTTAGGCTTGTGGCTCAGCATTTTGAGACGAAGTATCTAGTTCTTGTTCCTTGTTAACTTCTTTCTCTCCTTCAGATACTTCTTGTTCCTTACTAACTTCTTTATCTTCATCGGGTAGTTCTTGTTCCTTATTAACTTCCTTCTCTCCTTCAGATACTTCTTGTTCCTTGTTAGCTTCTTTCTCTTTATCAGAGAGTTCTTTTTCCTTGTTAAATTCTTCTTCTGCGTCAAATGCCTCTTCTTTTTCTTTGGTTTCTTCATGGTTTGCATCTGAAACAGGCTTTTCTTTCTGATCTGCGGTTGCTTCTGCTTCAGCCACTTCCTGCTGTTTGTGGAAATACCACAACAAGCCGTAAATAATTAATTTTATACCTTTGCAAATAATGGTTGCTGTAAACATGTAGAGCGAGAGCTTGCTATTATCATATCGCCAACAAAATTGTCTAGTATCGCATTCCTCATTCCATAATATGCAAGAAACATCCATGACATATCCGTAGACTACTGGACCGAGTAATCCTCCCACTATTCTAAAAATCAATCCTTCGACTCCCATTGCAAATGTAGTTTGACTTTCTGGGATACTCCTAAAATTTGGCGGACATAGATTATTTCAAAGTTACTTATTTATAAGCAGTTATATTATTATCTCTATCCAACCGGATTCACTATTATATCTTTAAAAAACTATTTTAATAGGCTACTTTTATAAATATACAATAGAACACAGATTTAGGTCGAATTTTTCGCTGTCAATACATAGCTCTATTGTATTAGTAGTTTAGAATTAATTCATATAATCAACTGCTTTTGGTATTCGCTCTAATCTATTAATGTAACATTACTATTTATTAGCTAGCTCTAGTTTTAATCCACTTCTATATATTAATAGATTTAGCATAAAGCAATAATTTAGATCCTGCAATTCATATCTGCATATACTTATATGTTGGGCGAAATTGATATACTAACACCCTTCTATTATAATTGGAATTTTCACTTGCTTACAAGTGCTTGTAAGGATATTAATAACGTACGACTTTAATTACCTCAGAATTATGGTTAACGTCGGCGAAAATGAAATAAAGGTGATAATCACCATAACGACGATACCAACCATTAGGGGATATACAATCGTGCAACTTTCACCTGAACAAAACCCTCTTATGGCTACCTTTTCTGTTTTAGAGTTAATACAACTACATCCAGTATAATTCTACATATAAAAATAAAGGTTGCTATAAATTAGGCTAAAGCTTATGTTAGTATTTGTTATAGATATTTTAGGTATAATTTTGTAACATTGTATGTGTATTAAAAATTCTATCAGTTGATATGTATATATAATAGAGTACCATTGTAGCAGGACTACCAGTGGCTAATAATGCATTGCATCCGGCGTGGCATGGAGATTGGTAAGTTATTCCGTTAGCGCCGCAAACAGGGCTGAATAAGCTATTATCGCAATGGCATTTGATATTACACGCTGCAGTCGGTTGTACGGATTGAGTTGTTGCCCTTAAAATGTCAAATCATCATTATCATCTTTTAGGTCTAAAATAGTACTTGTACAGTCACTATTAATTTTCCATTGCTAAATGTATATCTAAAATAAAAGTGAAACCTAACATACTGAGAACGCATTGTGATATTAGAAGGCGGATAAGGCGTATAAATGCCAGCAATGGTGGGATTACTACAGGACATGAGTAGTACACAGGCTGAGATTACATTGGCAATGGCGGCATAAAAGCAGAATCGAGATATTTTAGAGCCAACCAAGTTCCAGCGTTTAACGATAATTCCGCTCTGAAACATGTAATATAATATAACTTTGTGTTAGTTTAAAAAAAGCGATTATACGAAACCTAGAAATATTGGGAGTATACGGTATTTTAATTTTCTTAGTTAAGTTGGATGGGTAATAAATATTCGAGAGGTCATCTTCATCATTTCTTTACGATTGTCATCATCGTGTACTTTGCTTACTTTAATCGATTGCGACGATGTTATATTTTGAGTTACATTAATAGTTCTACCATCTTTATAATATATTACGTATGCTGTAAAGTACGAGTATCCATATCGATCATACAGAACTGTGAATTTCAACTGTAGTTGATAAGTTCCATTAACATGAAAATGCTGAAATATTACTTGCTGTAATCGTATTAAATATTAGAAAGTTTTATACTTACCGAGACTTGTCCGATAGCCGCGCTTACTACTGCAGTTACACCAGCCAACGTGGTCGCTGTTAGTAAAGATGCTCCGCTTTGTGATTGAATAAATTTTGGCAGAAATGTTAGAAGGCCAATTGTTGGAATTTGATCCAGACTTAAACCTAGTACTGCTAGCAAAAATATTCGATTGCTGATAACGTCATAGAAAGCACGGGGGAAATCAGCCCATCGCTTGCCATATTGATTATCAACTTTTTTAGATGTCTTGGATAGAGCAAGTCTTTTCTCTTTACTTTTTTGATAAGTAGGCAAATGATATGGAAATGCGAATATTAAAAGTGAAGTGACAAATGCAATTGCACCCACAATTAAGTAGCCTAACCACCAAGCGCCAATCCAGCGTGGATCGTCCTGCTTAAGATCTGCAACGATAAATGAGTATTAAGAATTTTATTGCAAATTCTATTGTTTATAATATAAAAATTATATCCACGGGCAGCAGTCAGCTGTGCCTTTACTAAATATTTTATATGGATATGACCTTCTAATAATGTAGACATATACGTATAGTCATTAAATTTGACGGCATATACAACAAAAATAAATTACTAATTATGTACATGTATTTGCAGTTAGCACTCAGTTATGCTTTTATTATTATAAATATTTCACAAACAATACGGTCGTTTTAATGATATAGATATATACTTATATTATTAAATTTGACGGTAAATTTAACAAATATATAATACTCATAATCGGTGTACCACTTGGAAAATTAATAGTTCATTATTCTTAAAAGTTATCAATACCTTTTGGAGTTGCAGGCCAATCGACGTAGACATTGCTAAAAACTCCACCCACTACATAGCCTAATGTTGGTCCTATAACAGCCACCATATGAAATAGAGCAATGTATACTGGTGATATCTTAGGGCTAACATTTTCATCAATATAAGCTAAGCCTACATTATATTGAATACTGTAACCAATACCACAAAACACAAGGCCTCCAATAAATATTACTGGATAAATCCATGGTGAACTCTGATGTGTTGCACTAGTGCACAAATTATTAGAAACGTTCATAGCATTAGAACTGCATAATGTGCTAGTAGTTTGCGTGTTATTGGTGGCTATATTGAGATAATAATATGGCCCTGCAATGAAATGGGGCAACGCAAATATAACCGAGCCAAAACTTAAACAAATAATTCCATAACCAATCCATTTACTTTTATGACGTTGTCCGACGTAATATGTTAATAAAACACCACAAATTCCGCTTGAAATATCGACAGTACTCATAATTGAGCCAATAAATGTTGATGTCATATTAAATCGCTTTTCAATCTGCGGTACTACTACACCACGAAATCCTAAAAGTTCTATATTCACTATGACGGCATAAAAGCACAGCAGCGCTAATAGCCAACGAGGTGAGTTAAACCGTTGTAGATAATCAGGTCGATAGCTAAGCCAGCCAAATTTAACTGGATGTACTGCTCCTACTTGGTCATCAATTTCATTTTCCTTAGAGTCTATTTGCACAATAACTTTAGGATTATCTTCGGTAGAGTCTGGAATTTGTTTTTCATGGCTTTGTAAATTTTGCTGATCAGATTCCGCGGCATCTTTCTCTTTTTCATCATTTTCTGATTTTTGTTGATCTGTCGTTTCCTTTTCATCCTTTACTGACGTTTGATCCATGTTTTCTTGAGCAGTATTAGATTCTGCAGAATCTGAAATTTCCTTTTCATCATTTTCTGATTTTTGATCATCCGTGGATTCTTGAAGCGAGTTCGATTCTTCAGAATCGGCTTCTACCTTAGGATCGTTTTCTGATTTCTGGTCATCTTGAGGTGGATTAGATTCCACGGAATTAGGTGTTTCCTTCTCATCATTCTCTTGCTTTTTATTGTCTATTGATTCTTGAACTGTCTCGGATTCCATTTTTGATAAAATGCAGTCCTTTATTATCTAGAATAGAGCAAATAATAAATGTTGAAATCAGGATAATTTTATGAAGTACAATTAGGTAATTATAACAGCTCTACATTTTGAAAATTATGCCGGGTTATTATTAAGTGAACTGCATTCATTCAGATTGATGATTTTACGATCCGTTCAAAAATCGGTAGGATTGATTAAAACTAGAAGAGTATAAATTTACCTAAAATAATGTTTTTAATAAAAACTAGAGGGGTATGAATTCCCAAAGATAACATTTTAGTATCCATTGGTAAATCAAGTACTAAGGCATGTGCTTTTATAGAATGACCTTTAAGTTTTAATATAAGTAGAAATGTTCTTAAACTATATCCAATACAGTACCTTTTAAATTTCAAGCACTCCTGTCCACTGAGTATACAAATTGGAATGAGGATAATTCAGCCTTTGCTACGATTAAATGGTCAAGGAAAAATGCGTAGGTGTTTTACACTTCGCGGAAAGGTCAGAAAAAGGGCAGTATAATATTAAGCATGGAAGCAAGTGGATTGTCCTACTTAGCCTTTAGAAAATATGACCCTAGATTAATTATAAACAATACGTTAACTACGATAAACAAATGGCATATTGCAGTTATAAAATCAGTATTATATCTAATACCATGGAAAAACTTATATGAATTCTATCAGCAACTAGCACATGATTTGTTGTTTGTTAGGCGACGCATTATCTGATAGGCAGCTGGCTAGATTTATTTTGGATTAAGTCTGGGTGTTATTGATTTTTAAATGTTTCAGTATCAATCTTATACCGCATGGATATCCAATATTAGCAATTTTCTTATCTATAGCGCTGTTTCCTCTCTGAAACTAAAAATAGGGTACAACTTTTCGATATCACTAATAAGAAGATTTCCAATGATCATCTCATGACCTAAACGGCTGTACATTTGTGCTACAAGCATACGGTAGTATATGGACTTGGCTGTTGGGAGAATCTTGCTGATACGCATTTCATTTTGAAAATTAGACTTGACGTTTCTTCTCTAAATACATAAACGTTGCGAAAAGAGATATTTTACCTAGTAATTTAGGCTAGGAGGCAATACTTTAATAACTTTAACTAATTCATTTCAAATATAATAACGGTCTATGTTATAGGGCAAGAATAGAAATTTATGCTGTGAGCAACCTTTAACAAGCAGATTTAAAATATGCAATAGATACATATTGCCATTACTATGCTATGACAATATATTTATGTTTTTCTTCTCTATCTTCTGTATAAATTTTTGATCTCTGCTATGGATTTAAAGCTAGCAATATCTAGCTAATCTACGACATAATTTAATTTATTAACTACTATTTATGACACATGACGTGGTTATGTGCTTAGACTAGTAGCTATCATCATTTGTGGCTCCAAATTCTAGATAGCTAGTTACCCCATTTTTATTGCCTTAATTCCATTTTTAATCTTTTCTTTTCTCTTGGTTTGCATCTGAAGCATGTTTACTTTCCGATTTTGAAGCCTTCCTTTATAAACTCATTTTTCTTATTTTCGTGGAATATCATATAGAACTGCATGTAACTAGTTTAGCACCTTTGCAGGATAATTACCGCTAATTTGCCGTAAATTCAAGAAAAGCTAGTTTTTCACTCTCATATCGCTAATAAATTGTCTCATACTATATTCCTCATTTCACGATATATAAGCAAACTTATAAGATATTCGTTGACTACTAAATCATAGACTTGTTAGAATTTCCTGCTAGACAAATTAATTTCCTCCATATTTTAAAAATTAGTTCTGAAACTTCTAATGCTAAAGCTATCAAATTTTTCGGATACCTCTAGTTAGGGTGGTAAGTTTACTTAAGGGTTATTTATATTTTAATTTCTGAAAAATTGAAGCCTTGTTTGAGGATGAGATTTCAAATAAGGTATTGTTGTATTCATAAAATTTGTTATTTGATTCGATACAGTAGATCTTTCCTTTACATTTTTAACAAATGGATTAGTTATAGGAATGGCTAAAATGTAAAAGCGAGGATATAAATGTAAGGCATCTACAATGAGATATCTCATGCACCCATCAATCGTCAATCATTCTATGTCAGAGCTGCATATATAGATACCAGATTCTATCTACACAAAGTTTTTCAAAACTCGTTTTATTGTAGTACTTAGATACGCCTAAATATTATCGGTACTTTTTGTTGATATTACTGGAATTTATATGCTTAAAATTATTGATGATTTTCAATCAAATCTGGATAAAGCATAACATGTTGGGCAGCTTACTAGTAATAAAATACGAAGTTATGATTTCTATCGGTCTTTAGTCTAGGCGGGCTGAGCTCTTGCTGAGTTACGAATTTGCGTCCATACTACTTGTATGATAATCTATTGTTACGGAGCAAAGCACCTTACTTGCTAATTAAATAGATTTTGTCAGTATTCAGCTAATGGATCATATTGGTAATTATTAGATCGTGTACGAGAAGGTACTCGGCTACTCTCTACTAATAAAAACTATACTAATCTTTTAGAACAGTCTTATCCCTGTGTGACCGAAAGTAGTAAACAATTACCATACAGTAGATCTCCAGGTGTAGTGGAGCAAGGCATAAGTAATCTATTAGTTTAGTGTAGTAGTTCGCAACATAAGTTTGTGACATCTATATAAAAATCATTTTACGCTGCTAATGGTCTACTACCGTTCTAAATCATAATGTACCATTTCCGGTTATTTTAGTAGATCAACAAAAATGCTTATATGGTCTAAAATCTGGCCTGCTATAATTAATATGTGAAAGATTGCGATTTACACTGTTAAAATTACAAGCTATACACGCGGATATGGAATATTTTAGCTAATGCCGTCCATACAAGACCAACAGTGAAAAGATTAATAAATCTAGTATTTATTGTGGTGTCTCAGGCTGTTATATAATTTACTATTAACATTAAATGGATTGAAACTTGGTAGAAAATTAGTTTATGTTCAATTATGAGTCCTATGACTCTGTCATGAAATTATGTGACACAAATATTATAAAGTAGAATATTTAAATAAATGATTTTATAATCTGTCCGTCCACTTTATAATGTCCAGCAAAAAAACTACAAAATTAGCAACACTTTTACCGGAAATATTGATAGCATCTATCTCTGTATCTGATAAATATTGATCTGTATAAGTATAAGATCTTGATAAGTATCTGATAGATATTGATATCATTAATCGTTTTTAATTTATGGTACTGCAACACTACCCTACCCTTAAAGGTAGTGCATTTCTACTATTTCTGCATTAAAGCATGGTATATACTCATGGCCAATGAGTCTAGTTACAGCAATGAAACTAATAGGCTGTACAGCTTAATTAATCAACCATATTTAGCCTACTAGATCAATAAGGCTGGCTCCAGCTAAAATTTTTAGGAATGCACTCGTGTTTGTTAACTATGATGGATTCTAAATAATTTTAAAATTTTCATTTTACGCAATTCAAGATGTTATGCTTTTATAGAATGAATGGATACCGATATTAAAGATGATGTTCTTGATCACATTATGCGATCCTTTAGGTTGTTGACATTGAATTCTGTCTATCTGCAGATTGGAATAGCCTGGAATAGGACAGTCAAACCATAGTTAAGCTTAAAAAGTTAGTAAATATGTGCCTAGGTTCATCGCTTCTTACGGGAAAGGTCAAGAAAAGGTTAAGCATATAAATATGCTAGCGTAAATTATATTGCTGCTATTTCTTCTGATATTGTAGCTGTAATCTAATTACGCGTCTGAATCTTACTAAGTAAATAATTGCCATATTGCATTTATGGAAAATGTATTGTAGTTGATTGCAGGATAGAAATGGGCGGGTTTTTCATTTTTGCGGCCATGCAAGCTATGATCTAAAGCATACAAGGTGTTTATACATACCTATGTACATCTTATGTTTCAATCGATTTCCAAAGGTTTCATAAATTTTCTGGTAACAATGTCAATTTTACCCTAGAGGGAGTCGGAGATTAATAATCTTGTCTACTGTAAGGTAATTTATTAATAATAAACCTTAAGTGTAATAAGATTTCTAACTTTCTAACAGCAACACTTCAAACGATGCTTACAACGGAGTAGCTTAGTGTATCTTCTAGTCAATTGCTAGTGAGGAATTCTGAGTTTCTACAGTTGCTAATGATCGTTTTAGGGCCGGTTTACTTGATCACCTTCCAATTTAAATACCCATACGAGTATTTGGATCTTGTTAGTATTTTTGCGACTTATTTGTAATTCTTAGAAGCTATTGGCCTTCTTCTATGTAATGATCAAATACCGTCTTAAAGATTCCTCAATTTTATTAAATGCTGTAAAAATGCTATTTTAACTCTCCAATAAAGTTAAATATTTGCTTTATCTAGGCACTTAAAGCTTTAAAATCAGCTGCTTCAATATTATTGATGATTTATAGTATTCTTGATACTTAAAAATTATGCTTTTGATAGATTACAACGAAGCTTTTACATTAATATAATACTAATGGGCTATTGTCGGTGCCAGTTACGCAAAGCTCCATTGTATAGTACTTACAGACACTGCTAATTCGTATTTTTGCTTCTGATTTTTAAACAATTTTGACTTGCTTAATAGTATTTGAGTTATTAACATGGTTTCACAGTTTATTGTATCTGTGGTATATGGAATACCTTGTAGTCCTATGTTCGAAGGAGTTTGTTGTCTTCCGTAAGGTGTAGACGCTATTCTCCAAATTAAATTAAATTATTTTATCTACTGCATAAATTGGATTATAAGACATATTTCGAGTTTGTAAGGCAATAGATGAATTGATGATGGACTACTATATTCTCAATTATCATGATGAAATGCTGTGATTGCATGATTAAGAATAGCCATTTCAGAAGGAATAATTACTTTAGTATCAGTAGCATGTTGCGGTATACATAGAATAGCATAATCTGCAGTTGTACAATGTTGGAAAATTTATTACCTTTAGCTGATACGAATGATGTCTCCCCAAAAATGTGTACAATTGAAAAATTGATCCGTCTACTAAAATCGATAGTAATTTTCCTCTCATAGGTTTAACATTGTGGACCGTAGAGTAATATCGAAACATTAAGGATAGTGAGAACGCCTACTGTTATACGATATAAACAGATGTAGTCGTAAATAATATTCGTATATGTAAGCCAATACTCATAACCTCATGCTTTCACTTCTTAAGAAGGCTTAAATAAATTCTTCAGATAGCTCAAAAACTATTTAGAACGGTTGATGATCATGAAAATTCGTGTTCAATTTACACGATACAAATTTATTATTGCTTAGTATATATGGTACTATTTAATTTAAGCTGTATGCAAAATAGCGATTTGCGCTAGTTAAAGATGCTAACTTTAGGAGTAAGGTACCATATCTAGTTAAATCTTTGATAAATTACATTTAAGAGGGAGATATTATATCGCATCTTTCTTAAATTTATTAGTTGCAAAGCGTATAAATGTTTCAGCTATCTTAAAGCGAAATTGCACTAAAAGTTAAAAATATGTAGTAGCGTGACCTGTAAAATTTATTAATATTACCAAGCTACAGTTATGTTCTAGCTAACACTATGACGATCGTTGAAAAAATTATAATAATGTTCTTGTACTATCTATGAATGCGTACATATTCATATTGATCGTATATTTTAAACTTGAGTTTCTAGAGGAAATGCATAAACTACAGCGGCAGTTGTTCTTTCAGAACTAATTTTAGGTTCAACTGTAGATCCCAATCCGTTCTTTTCGTTGTTGCCATTTGCTAATGAAGATTTTTCCTTTTCTTCTGCATTTATTTTACCAGCAGAATACATTTCTTCTCTGCGATGAAAGTACCATAACATTGCATAAATAAACACTTTAAGGCATTTGCAAGCAAGAGCAATGTAAAATATGTATAATGCTAGTTTTTGGTTATCGTATCGCCAGCAAAATTGTCTTTGGTCACATTGCTCATTCCACAACGAGCATGAACTATCCATAGCATATCCAAATATAACTGGACCAAGTAATCCACCTGATATTCGATATATTACCCCTTCAACGCCCATTCCAAACGTCGTTTGACTTTCAGGAATACTCCTATGTTGATAAATGATTGACAATAGGATTGTATCATACAAACATTGATATCGAATGATAAGATGGTGGTTAGATTTGTATTTTAAGTACGAAATCAGTTTGTGATTAAGTAGCATATTTTTAATTGTAATATACCTTAATACTACGGTTAACGTAGGTGTAAAAGATAAGAACGTGGTGAAAACCATAATCATAATTCCAATTATTAAAGGATATATCAGGGAACAGGTTTGGCTTAAACATGCTCCAGTTGAAACAATGTTCTCGCTGCCAGAGTTTATGCAGCTACATCTAGAGTAATTCTATATATGATAATTGTAAAACGTTGATGTTATTAGTGATGATAATCATTCTTAATACTTGGATATACTATTTCTAATTATCAATTTATTCATTCTATTCTTGCATAGAGACAATAATATCTTTAATCGTAATAATAGAACTGATGCTTAGTTTCTTTACGGAACTTACTGTATTAATTATATTGCCATTGCTAATTGTGATATTACACCCAGCATGACAGGGAGACTGGTAAGTAATGCTATTTTCTCCACAGACAGGACTAAATAGATTTTGGTCACAATAGCATTTGGCGTTGCAAGCTACTAATGGATTAATAGGGTTCACCATTCTGTTAATAAGAATTTTTGCATGTATGTATTAATAGCGGCAGATTATATACAGCCTAATAAATCGCAGGCATACTCTATAATGAAATGAATTCTAATATCCTAACATACCTGAGAGATTTTGAACTCATAGTAACGTTAGATGAATGAGGATATGGCACGAATAAACCAGCAATTTTAGGATTATCACAAGAAATGAGTAGTACAAACGTGGAAAGGGAACTCATAATACAGACAAAGAAGCAAAATTTGGATATTTTAGAGCCCACTAAATTCCAGCGCTTTGTAATGAATCCACCCTAATAAAGGTATTAGAATGATATATGGCAGTTTGCATTGATTTCGCTTAACTCAGACATATCCAATCATCAACTGGATAAATTGAACATTCTGGCCATTTTAAATTTCATTTCAGTCAAAGTAAGTACTCATACAGCACGACACTATAAAGGGTTATGCTTAATCTCAAATATCTTGTTCTAAATAATTCTCGCGCATTTTCTATCTCTAAAATGAAAATTAATTTATGAGAATATGGCTCTATTAAAAATATTCTGAGACTGTCTTTTGGTCTATCGTTGCTGAATTTTGCTTTAGGGTGATCATTAGTAGCTATCCTACATATGTATTAATGTCGGAGAATCTATACAGCGATAGAATATTCGATATAGATGATTATGTAGACAAAATCCACATCAATTTTAATATCGATACAAAAATATTTCTTATGGATGCTGTATTCACTTAATATAGGGTAAAAGAAACGATTCTATACACTGCATCGACTACTATAATATGATATATATAATATGCGGAAAGATCACAAGATTGTAAATTTTTAGATAGTCTATTTTTGAAGGGTCTTACCAAGATTTGTCCAATACCTGCACTAATGACAACAGTTGTACCAGAGATTGTCGTTGCTGTTAGTAAAGATGCTCCACTTTGCGATTGAATGTATTTAGGTAAAAAAGTGGAAAAGCCAATAACTAGAACTTGGTCGATACTTATGCCAGCAACTGCTAGTAAGAATATTCGATTGCTGACAACGTTATAGAAAGCACGCGGAAAATCAGCCCAACGTTTACCATACTGACTGTCATCTACAGGTTTATTAGTCGATTTTGATTGAATAAGTCTTTTAATTCTACTTTTTTGATAAGTAGGCAAGTGATAGGGGAATGCAAAGATGAAAATTGATGATACCAAGGTGATGCATCCGACAATTAAATACCCTAGCCACCAAGCACCGATCCATCGAGGATCACTAGAATTCAAGTCTGTATTCAATTTACAGTTAACAATTTAGATTTATTAAATTGTTGAAATTAAGCATTTCATTTAATATTAATATTCTGTTCATTCCAGTTGAAATTTGCGAATAAGTCAATGAAACCTCGTATTAACAATTTTATAAACTGGAGGGAATTAGAAATAATTTAAAAGAATTAAAATAAAGTTTACAATCTTTAGTGAATCGATTAAAGCACAATACTAGCATTTGCTAAATTAGTAATTATATTATTGCGCATTAGTTATTTTACGTGTTATTTTCTAGATATGTTTAAATTAGTCAACCAAGTCTTATTATTAGACATGTACTATTTAGCTCTAGAACAGCTTTAACTAATGTATGCTATAATAGCATTCATACCTTTTGGAACAACTGGCCAATCAATGTATATATTGCTAAAGATTCCGCCCACAACATAGCCTAGTGTGGGTCCTAATACAGCCATCATATGAAAAATAGCAATATATAATGGCGAAATAGTTGGGCTAACGTTCTCATCGATGAAAGCTAAACCTACATTGTATTCAATACTAAACCCGATACCACATAATGTGAGACCCACAATAAATATTAATGGATAAACCCACGGTGTACTCTGATGAGCTATATTATTACAAAAAGCATGGGAAGCATTGAAGGAATGACTTCTACATAGAATATTGGTTTGTGAAGAATTATTAATAGTTATATCTCCATAGTAGTACGAGCCAGCTATAAAATGTGGTATTAGCAATACGAAAGAGCCAACACTAAAGCTAATAATTCCGTAGCCAATCCATTTGCTTTTATGGCGTTGTCCAACATAGTAAGTTAACAAAATACCACTAACTCCGTTAGCAATATCGACAGAACTCATAATTGTACCAATAAAGGTAGAAGTCATATTAAATCGCTTCTCAATTTGTGGCACAACAACACCGCGAAACCCCAATAGTGAGACATTGATTGCTGTTACATAAAGGCATAATACCGCTAATAGCCAACGTGGTGTGTTAAAACGTTGCAAGTAATCCGGCCTATAGTTAAAATAACCCAATCTTGTTGATGGTTTTTTTACTTGTTGATCATCAACTCGACTCGAGTTACTTTCATTGGATTGATTTCTATCCAAATCGTCGCTATCCTTTGGAGATTTCATGGTGTATTCCGCAAGTTTGAAATTATATTGTGGCTTAACTGCATAAATTCGGTCTTATATTGCTCTCTAGATGTGGGATATTAGGAAAAAGAAATGTTATTGATAGGTACATTAAAAAGGTACAATGAGAGCAAAGTTGAAGGGATAAAATGTCTCCAAATTATCTCTCAAATCCACGAAAATAACGAATACTTCGCTATTTCATGTAAAATGTAAGCTGATTTATAGTAAGCGGAATTGCATTAGGCATCTATGGCAAAATTTGTAAGTTAGCATTAACTTTGGGCTTTCAGATTTTAAATTTACAGTCGTTCCTTCACAATTTATAGTTCATCTAGTTTGTTGACATGAGGATTAGTAATTATATAGTCTATGCCTTGATACATGTAGTAGTGGTATCGTAAGTAATTGGTTGTATTACATTCTACTGTATAACAGAAAATATTAGGAGAAAGAAATATTAGATATGAAAGCAAAGAAAAGGGTATAAATGTCCTCAAATTATCTCTTAAATCGACGAAAATAACTTCAAAGCGTAAACTGTTAAACGACCATAAATATGAATACTTTTCTATTTCGTGTAAGACGTAAACTGCTCTATAATTAAAGTAATTACATTAAGCATCTATGAAAAATTTTTATGTTACTATTAATTTTGAGCTTTCAGATTTTAAATTTACAGCTGTCTTTACAATTTGTACTTTACGTAGTCTGTTAACAGGAGGATTATCAATCTAGATTTTGATACATGTAGCAATGCTATCGTAGGTAAATTATACCAGCAAAAAAGGTAAAGCGGCATCAAAAATGATTATTTAATTAGCATGGATAGAAAAACAATAAAATTGCAGATACATTCCAGGAAGCATTGTTTCATAGTAGTATAAAATTAATGAAATTGGATGTTTACCTATAAATTCTAGTAGCAGGATATGATCTTGATTCTCTCGAAATAGCTAGAGTAAAGACTTTTACTCTTCTGCTACTGCCTTATTAATAGTCTTTAACATTATTGTTTAGCAGTCATTATATATTTAAATGACGTAGCATAATTTGGCATTCATACAGGGGGCAATCCTTATTGTACTCCGGCTTTAATTATTAACTCTTCATGGATAATTTATTTCAAGATGGATCTTATAAATTTAGGAGAGATAAAGTGGATACTAGCATTCATATGCGTACGCTAATCAATCTTTACGTAACGTTCTATGTTCGCTGTGTAGTAGCTTCTTGGATTATAAAATATCTATTTCATTTATGACGCACCTTTAAAACTTGTAAGTTGCTGTTTATATACTTTTAATATGCAACACTGGCGAGTTTTTCAAGGCGTTAGTACCTTTACAGTGATCAAGATATCCCTGCTATTTGATGAAATAGTTATCTAGCTGTTGATAACACTTATCTAGTCGCTGTATTGATTGATGATTTAGAATTCCTTGTAACTGAACTATATATCTAGACTGATTTTAATCGTTCGTCTGACAATATGATTTAATGAGCTGACTATATAATAGTAAATGATCTATTTGATTAGTCAGGAATATATTATTTTCTAGCTCTGCTTAACAGCCAATTGCCATGATTGATTATGCTAATAGGTAAAATAAGGTTATAGGGTCATTGAAGGGTTTTATTATCACCTTAACTGCTGATTGCAAATCAGGTGATCGAATATCTTCAGCAAATTCCTAATTAGTATAGTTGATAAGAATGATGCAGGTACTTAACCATTGGTAAGAAGTCACTTTTAAAACAGTTAACGCTGCATTATGAGCTTTGATTTGAGGCATTGTTGCAAGCAACTGTAAAAAAGTATTAACGTTTAAAATACCATCTCTTCTTCGAATAAGGGCGGTCTTTAAATTCTTTAAATTAAATTAATATTTCCATTTTTTATCACTACTTGATGAAAACCTTACTATGTGGAGTATCAAACTGTATATCTGCAATGTAATTGACATTGCTTCATGGCACTAGCATCGCAACAAGTTATGCTATACTGTATACTGTATGTAGATTGTTAGTCATTGGTTAGATACCTAGTTTATAGAAGAGTTAAAAAGGTTAAATCATGTTCTAATCATTGTTAATCTTATGTTATATACGTGCTCTAACGTATTTTAAAGTAAAGCTTAAAGTTATGCTAATTTAAATCTAAGAATATACAACTGCGGATATTAATTAATTATTCGTATTAATTTAAGTTCCATGTATAAATATATATGCAGTAGCATCTCACAAATAGATAGAAGGTATAAAATCGAGTTGCTTTTATAATAAAGAGAGTTCTAGTTTTGATCTTAATGAAGACTGGTGTCAGTGCTTAACTGTCATTGAAAGCAGTTTCTGTGTTACAAAAGTGGCAGCAATATAGTCATGTAGATTTAAATTGCAATAGTTTACATTAAAAAGCAAAGGTCATTGCATATTGTATTGCCTTTAGGGCTACTTAGGAATTTATTCTACCCATATTGAGTATATCTTTTACCATAGTCATGATATCCAAAATTTTAGTCTGCTGCATAGAGAACATGAAACGTCAATTTTAGAAGGCTCTCATAAACGTTTAAAAAAATTCCTAAAGCAATAATTAAAACTGTCTACGCTTAATGATATTAGCTATGCTATCTTAGCTGGTATGAAGTTAGTTATGCTAGCCTAAGCATTTCTCTATGTATTTTGTTCGCTAATTAAATATCGAGATCAGGGTAACTAGTAAGTTATCCGCTGGTGTCATGGGTCTTTGAATCATCTACGTAATCCTCAGCAAATCAATACTTACTCAGTAGCTTAAAAATGATACGTTGTGTAGATCTCCACGCCAGTGAATTGCTACTGATATATGTGGAGGCAATTTTATATGCTTCCATTTCAATCTTTCTAATCACAGGTTTTTCTTCTATTTAATATGATCTACAACAGTAAATTATCAGTTTTTATCGATCTGATTACTAATTTATTGGATTATCATTTTCGGTTGTAACCTATATTTTGAAAATTTATGCATTAAGATATATATCAGTAATAGTTCCATTTCCTAATTTGCAGTATCTTTCAGTTAGCTTTACACAAATTTATACAGTATCAAGACTTATACAATGCTATTTTGTTTTAGTAAGAGAATTTATGAGATTTAACTGCGTAAAGGAGAGTATTTATTTAGATATTATAAGATAGAAACCTAAAACACCGGTAAAATATTATTTTAAAATGATAGTATTCGTACCATAACGTATACCATAATGTTCTAAATTATGCTGGTTATCCAGAATTTACATCTAAAGTTTACAAGCAAACGCTGCTGATGCTAGGAAACTATAATATTATACTGTTAGCACCTGATATAACTTAATATTCTTTACTTAAACTTGCGCTATAAAATTAAGTACTACATGCTATGTCAGATCTAACTTCAGATCTGATTTGTATTGCAATCCTATTCTTCCGCATTTACGCGACCATTTATTTATTCTGACTGTCTACTATTTCACCTACAATCTCGTTATACTCTAAATCCTTTCTTGTTTCCTATGAAAGTACCATAGAAATGAATAGATAGCTTAATTAAGGCTTTTTCAAGTAATAACTAAAATGAATATGTATATATTGATAATCTGCAATTGCTATATCGCCAGTAAAACTGTCTTTCGTGACATTGCTCGTTCTACAATGAACATGAGGCATCTATAGTATATCCAAAAATAGTTGAACCGAGTAGTTCTCCTTATAATCCATATATACTAATCCATGGACACCCATTCCAAAAGTTCTTTGGCTTTCAGGTATATTCCTAAGTTGATAAATAGCCGATAACCATAACAACTACATATTTGTCAGAACTTAATACACTATGATATTAATGTAATATCTAGCGTTGCTGCAAAAATTGGGATTAAACTGTTAATGGTTTTCCATAAACAAATAGTGAAATTATCGATCAAATGTACCTTAGTAACTCGGTTAATGTAGGAGAAAAGGATAAAAATGTTAGGGCAACCATAATCGTAATTCCAATTATCAAAAGATATATGAGAGAGCAATTTTAGCTTGGCATATTCCATAAGTAACAATATTCTTATCAATAGAGCTAATGCAGCTGCATCTGGAATAATTCTATACCCGTATTAACCAAATTATAAATTGCAACATTATTCATTATTTCCTAAGTTCTCCTTATATTACTTTCAAGGAAGGGAAAAACTCAGCTTTGTCAGCTCTATTACTACAGAATTCAACACCACCTTTAATATCATTAATAAAGTCTAAAAATTTTCTCTAATAGAATAGCTGATACCATTATCTTCGCATACTGGGCTAAATAAATTTTGATCGTAATGTCATTTGATATTATATGCGGCAGTTAAAGTTAATTGAGTTACAATTTTGTGAAATATAATGATTACCTATTTAGATATGTGTACAAATATATACCAAGTTTATCGCTTTTGTAATAGATGCAAGGTTTATTATCTGCTACCTTGGATAACTTGAGGTCACAGTAGTATTGGATGGATGGGAATAAGATATGAATAAGCCAGCAATCGCAGGGTTCTCGCAAGACATCAGTAGTGCAAATGAAAGGAGAAAGTTCAAAATACGTTCATAGAAGCGGAATTGAGTTATTTTGGAACCGACTAGATTCTAGTATTTCGTAAGGAATCCATGCTCAATATATAATAAAATTTAAACTTGTTTCATATTTACATGTCTGCATTAATATGCTGCATATTAGAACATGCAATCATCAATTAAATGAAAATACTGGCAATACAATGATTTTTCAGTTTTGGTAAGAAGATTAAAACTAGCAATCAGTTATTAAATGTCTATTAAGAATATAATGATAGCGTTAGATCTTGTACCGAGATAATTTCTTCAAAATGGACTAAATCATCATTTCCTTGTAATGGAATTCGAAGTCTGATAGCTTATTGTAAATGGATATAAATAAGCCCTCTCGTTAGATCACAGATCTTACGGACAGAAAGTGACAAAGCGTATAGTATAATACTGATTCTAACAACAAGATGCTATCTAGATCTTCCTGAAGTAAATTAAGGATTAGATTTTATTTCTATGCTGCTAGCTAGCTTACAGATATTGTCATTATAAATAAGCTAATGTGAAAAAAACGATTGATTTTAATCTTAGTAATTAATTAGCATAGCTTACTTTGCCATAAGATCTTTAGATTTTAAGAAATTAGTATACGAGTCAAACTTATGACTGGGAAATAGTGATGAATTATAATTTAGATTAACATTAATCCAATAAAATATAATCAAAATAATATTGAACGAAAACTATCATTTTAGCATGAAAGCATTCCGGTAAGATTGTAAAATCAAAACAAATGAACAGGAAAGGGATATCGTCCTATTTTATTCCTTAGAATGATTTACTTGAGCTTTAATAAATCGACTAAGATAATTTCAGAAATTGGTATTGCTAACATGCAGCACTTCCCTTTAGTACGATTTGTACCGTAGGTCAAATGGATAGATTTAAGCTGCACTTCTAACTTCTAAGTCAGTATATTTACTGTAAGAGCTCAATTTGAAACCTTCACTAAGTCTTTTTATGAAGTATCTAACTAACTGGCAGAAATTAAGCTTAACTACCACATTTGCTAACGTGATTAGACTACTTACAAGTATGTAATTTATAAGAAGATTAAATTAGCTGAAGGAGGAGCAGACTATGCATTTAACAGATTGTGTGTCAGTAATTGTAATCAATAAATTTAAATGATACTCTCGTTACGTAGCATATGTATTAAATTATCATTTTGAGCGAAGAAGAGTTTGAAATAAATAAATAAATTGATCTATTATCATCTACAGTTCAAATTCTACGATATTACGTAAATATTATTTGCTATTAATAATGAAAATAATTCCTGCAATTAATCCTAATTCGTGCTTTAAAATTACTAATAACATTGATAAATCCTCTGCATTGTTCTTATACGTATCTGACTAGCATGAGAATTTTGCCTGAAGGTAATTATTTTTAATTCTAGAAGACACGCAAGCTATTAATTATATGCTTTGGTGCCATAGATATTTTTATCTAGGTTTTCAGTAGCTACTCCGTTCGTACAGCGTATTTAATAAGAAAATGCGAAGAATAAAGTTCTGAGTATTGTTAAATACAGTAGGGAATGTGCAATTATACTGTACGTATTTAATAATAACTCGGGAAAAATTTAAATTCTCTATACGCTCGCTAGAGGTGAGATCAAATGCTAAGATATAGCCTTAAGTAGGGACAAACTAAATCCCGAACAGAATTCGTGTTATTTTCTGTAAACTCGGAATATAAAATCTAGTCACAGGGCTTCGGTTGGCAATGTCATTATCTGCCTTGTTGTAGCTACGTATTAGTAATGAAATCGTAACTAGATCTAATTTATAGTTGCTCTGTTCAATAGAATATTGTCTAAATTTTAGCTAGCAAGATAACATCAGGAAAAAATGGTATAATTTTAGTTGATTGTAGCAAGAATACGGTGTACTGGATTTTTACATCTCGTATAGTTTAACGGTACAGATCCTACTAAGTCGTTGATTGCCATTGACATGTTGTTCATATTTGATTTACGACAGTATCATAAATTTAACATTACCATTAATACATACAAGAATTCACAATAATTTGTGAAATAAGAGGAATAACCGTTAGTTCACATAATGTTTATTGCCAATCGTTTATTATTTGCCACTGTAATATTATGTATTGTAGTAAATATTACAGCTGAGTCTAGTTATGAATATAAGTTAGGTGAAAATCAGATTACCTGATGCAAGGAATATTTACCAGCAAATTTTCCTAATTTTTGTAACTTACATTTATCTTACCCATAGTCGATAAGATCTTAAAGATACAGTAGATTGGTACTTAAAATTTTTTATCGAAATCAGCAAGTTAGGCCTGTTCAATTAATAAGATTAATAGATAAAATAAATTTTCCTGGAAGACAAACTAAAAATATAACGCCAATTTCTTCTGTTAATATCTGTTGTCGTATAACAGACTGTACAATTGTACATCACACTAACTATTACGACACAATAGAAATAGGAACTACACGTATATTAATTAGGGTAATCTAGAGTGATAAACAGTGGCACAGTACTAGAATGCTATCTAAGGCGCATATTGCAAGACCGTCGTTTGTTGTTTACTTCCATTAACAGTATTTTCGAAAGCATCTAAAAGACATCAATGATCAGCTGATTTTCCACAACAAGATAATTTCTTAAAGCATTACAAATTATACAGTAGTTTCATATACAGGGGTGCTAAGATATTTTTCTATAATTCCAAAAAGATCTTCTTTACAACCTAGTACATGGGCATATTAACGCTTAAACTTGAGTTTCATGTGAAATTACAGTAAAGCGATCTTTTCTTTCGTCTTGATTATACTTTTTATCCTTTCTTGCTGCCGGTATACTACTATCCTTTATATCTTTGCTTTCTGTCTCTTGGTTGACATCATGCATGTCTTGTCGTCGATGATAGTACCACAGGAATCCATATACAACTAATTTAAGTCCTTTGACCAAAACTACAGCTAAAAATGTGTATAGAGATAACTTTGCATTATCGTATTGCCAACAAAATTGTTTCTTGCCACAATCTTCCTTCCAAAACGTACAAGAATTGTCCATTAAAAAACCAAAAATTAATGGACCAAGGAGTCCTCCACCAATTCTAAAAATTAGTCCTTCGATTCCCATTCCAAATGCAGTTTGATTGTCTGGTAGACTCCTAAATGACAGAACACATTAAATTTTTTGTTCATCACTAAATGGGCGATACAAAGTAGCTACGAATAGATAGTATACTGTAAAGGGAATTGGATATCCAGACAATACGTTAAACGCAATGAAGTACCTAAAGACTACAACTATGACGATGCTAGATATCTTATATCTTTATCATACATCGCATAAAGTATTCGTAGATTTATGGTAAATGAATGCCGCGATATATAATTTACCTCAGGATTATCGAAATAGTTGGAGAAAATGATAAGAAAGTAATTATTACTAAAAGGATTATCCCAGCCAGCAGTAGATACAGGGCAGGGCAAGCATCCATTGGACACAATCCAGCTTTGGCTGTTTGTTCAACAAATGCGTTAACGCAACTACAGTTTGAATACGCCTACAAAAATATCATATTAAAATAGCTTAGATTTCAATTCAAAATTGGTGAGAGTGATTCTTTAATTACAATGGTTTAAAAAATCTTTGATATCAGATAACAGTATGCATAAGATGACATAATCGTAGAGTTAACTGCAGGCTTTATCAAGAGTATCACTATTACATAGTTGCCAATCTTGTTGACCAGATGAAGCTCAGAAGACCCACGACAACCAGCCAGGCAGGGTGATATATAAGACAACTTGTCGGCACCACATACTGGTTTAAAGACATTAGCATTGCAAGCACAATTTTGGTGGCAAATTGCTAGCATAGTTACGTTCGCCAGAGGGCTATAATTTGTTGTAAAAGCATGTGATTTAAGTGTTAGGTACAAAAATATTGGCTTACAAATAGCGATTGCATCGGCACACATAATATCCGTTACTGCAATTGATTAATTGAGGCTTTTACCTATTACGTTGGGCAACGATCTGTTTCGTAGCTAGGTGATACGAGGGATATTTTGCATTAATACCAGCAATAACTGGACTGTTGCAATGTATGAGAAGCACAAACGAAAATAAGACATTTACGATGCAAACGTAAAAGCAATATCGAGATATTTGTGATCCAATAAGATTCCATCGCTTCATCATATAACCACCCTACAAATTTTACCAATGTTAATACAAAAAATAATACATTTGTTTAGATAGATATTATGAACAGCGTACATCATTGAAAATGTATTTTGTTACAAGGCCTATAATTACTGCAGATCATTGTAAGATTAATAACATTTAGTTTCAAAGTTTGATTATTAATTAATCTTAATATGGTTGTAGACAATGTTTTATGCTAACGAAGTCATACTGTACTGTACTCAGGGGGTGACAATTGGCTTTGTAAAGGGTGCACACTAGGGTAGAAATTGAATTGGCGAAATGGTCTACGCGTATAGTAATATAAGCATTATTTCTTTCCTACCAGGATTTGGCCAATGGCAGCACTGATAACGACACCGGCTCCTCCAATGGTTGTAGAGACTAGTAACGAAAAACCACTTTGTGACTGAATAAATTTTGGTAAGAATGTGGCCAATCCTATTACTGGAATTTGGTCAATTGTCAAACCAACGGCGGCTAGCAAAAATATCCGATTACTTATAATGCAGTAGAAAGATTTCAGAAAAGCAGTTAATTGTGAGCTATCATCTTTAACGGTAGGAGCCTTGCTAGTTTTAGTAGCCAACGCTTGACGTTTCTGCTTGCTCTTTTCATAACTTGGTAGACGATATGGAAATCCAATGATAAATATGGCAGAAACCAATGAAAATAATCCACATATAAGGTAGCCCAGCCACCAGGCACCGATCCATCTCGGATCATCTGGAGTTAAATCTAGAAGATGGAAAATCAAATTAGCAAATGGCTTCCATAATTGGAATAGTATAACTTTACACCTTGAATTCATTTGAATTTAAATTTTGTATCACTGATGATGGTTGCATTATCAGTCAGTTTATTTTACATGTATTATTGTAAGTATGCGTGGAAGAAATTAACTCGGACTATAACTCTATTTCACGTTCATGACACCTTTTGGAGATGCAGGCCAATCGATGAAAACATTGCTGAATACACCTCCAAATACATATCCTAGTGATGGCCCAACTATTCCCATTGTGTGGTAGATACCAATGTAGAGGGGAGAAGCTCGTGGACTAACGTTTTCATCCAAGTAGGAAATACCAGCGTTATATTGAATGCTTGCACCTACACCAGTGAATATCAGTCCAACTACAAATAACGTCGGATAAATCCAAGAGTTGCCACTGTCACTCAAGCTTGTACAATCAGCTGCTGAAGTGTTATAACCTGATGAGTTAAAAGAGCATAAATCGGCAGCAGTACTGTTTTGTGTAATAGCATTATAACCATAATAGTAAGGTCCAGCCACGAAGTGAGGTATAATAAAAATAAGGGAGCCTAAGGCAGTGATGACGACACCATAGCCAACCCATTTTCCCTTATTTTGTTGGCCAACACAGTACGCTAACCAAACACCGCATATACCTCCAGAAATATCAACAGTACTCATAATAGAGCCTATATAAGCAGATGTCATATTAAATCTCTTCTCTACCTGTGGAATGACGACACCACGAAAACCAATGATTTGCATACTCATAGTTACACTGTAGAAACATAAAATCAGTAGCAGCCATTTTGATGTATTGAAGGTTTGTAGAAAATCCGGTCTAAATTGTAAATATCCGCATCTCAGTGATTTTGTACTATCTATGATGTCAGAGTTTTCATCGGCTTGATCAGAGATGCTATCCTTATGTAACGCCTGGATTGGAGGATTATCTGAATTGGTGGACACGATATCATCGTTATGACCGTTAGTCGATATTTTATCGTGGCTAGCGATGCCGTTGGAGGTTGTATTTCTTTCCGACATGATGGATCACTTTAGATCATCAATCAGCACAAAAACTGCAAGATAAATAAGAGAAATAGTACGTATGTTACTTTTAAAACATATCATTACCTATTTTCAATCATATTCAAATATATGAAAGGACCTAAAAATACGTACAGTCTTACCCACTAGGCTAAGTAGGTGGATAATTATTCTAATGATTAAGGGTTCTTTAACGAGTTGTTTACTTTGTCGGTGTCTTCTTTACTCTAGCAGACTAAATTAAATTTCTTGCTCCTACCTATAATCCCTTGCCACCTGTAACGTAAAGCTTCTCACTGAAAATATAGTCTAAGATCGCGTTCACGTTTCCCTTTCAGTCCTTGATGACGGCGTGATCGATGCGAATTCAAATCTTCCTGCAAGATCTCTGCGATGAATTAATTTTTTTTTTTTTGAAGGGGGGGAAACGGTACTAGGCCTGCGTACTATCCCCTTTTGTACAGTATGCCTTAGCATGGGAGTGCGTTTCAAGAGTTGAGGTGGTCGGAATGTCCTTTCCGTATACCTGAATCCGGTCGATGAATGATAGAGAGTACGCATGCTCGATGCTTTGACTGCATGTCAATTTTCCCAGTGGTTTTCTGGCCATGAACTTCTAGCATAATTACTGTATAATTATTCCGAATTTACTATATATACAGTAGTCTAGAAGTGTTGTTGATTGTTTTATTCTAGTTTCTGTGGTAGCTATAGTAGGTTAGCATTGCTGACTGTTACAGTAGTCCTAGAATGGAGCAGGGAGTGCTGGAGGAATCCAAGATAGAGAAGTTACGGGCTCGTTTGACGTTGGTAGGAGATATCACATTTAAAGCTCTCTACCAATACAGTCATTAGGCCATCAAGTATTCAGGATGGTTCAAACTACGGAAGAAAGGGTAGGTCTGATTCTATCGTTAGGACCCAATGGAAATTGATCTCAACCGGATTTTTGCAGCTGCATCTTAGTAGAATGACCTCTCATTCGCTGTCACTAAAAGGTCATTGCGATGTGCAAAAAGTTTTGCAAATGTACTACTGGACACTATACATTACTGTCGTCTTATTACAAGTCCCCGGTACTGTCATAGACTACTTCGACTGTACTGTTGTGTACAGTACAGTCAGACCATGGTTGGGCGGGTTGAGTCAACAAACCCTTCAATACGGTGGATATTATCAGGGTTAAAAGTCCCACAACTAAGCCTTGCGGTCGTTGTAAATCAATGGCGGTATCGACTTGTTAAATAAACTCAATTAGCGTTGGCAGGACTAAAGGTTCCAACCCGCTCAACAGCAGACTTTATGGTACAGCGCAGCACAAATAAATTGCGATCAATTTGCTACAAATTGATCGCAAAATTGTTGTATCGAATGTAGCAGATGACGTCATATCGCAGAGCGTGAGCCCGGATGGACACTGCATGTACACTTGTACAGTACTGTAACAAAACCACAATTCGCTACTGTTATTACAGTACGATACTCCACGACTAGACCTGACCACGACAGGCAGTACAGCATGTGGAGGGAGATTCAGAAACATGAAAAATTGATTAACAAATTTTTTCACCATCAGTTTGAAATTTCTCCGGAGTTGGGATATGAAAATAGTAAATGAAGATCTCTGCGCTACACCAGCAAAAGCTACTAGCTTTTCAAAACGCATTCGTGCAGTACACTGCTACGTGCTGCATAACAGATCAATTACTGTATATTCTTATTTTGAAGGTGATCAACGTACCACGGCATACCATACTCGTACAACAGTGGCCATTTTTACGACATGCATGGAAAGAAACAATTTTACTAGTGCAATATCAACGTCTACTAGAAATACCTGTATTGTCAAGGTGGATAACTGAGTAAATCAACTGTATAAGATATGCAGTACGTAGAACGCTATACAATACCAGAATCCAAAGATAAAGTGATAAAAATCTGTAAATGAGAATCAATTTAATTGACCGAATCCATCGAATCCAATCAATTTGATTGTCTATTAGAGTAGATGCACAATCAAGCATCCATAAACTTGCATTAAGATTGTTACTAAAATAGGTAGAATACTACCTATTATTATCTTTACAAGAAAATGAAATTTTTAATTTTTAAAAGGCACGTTGCAAACAAAGTTTGTACAGTATAGACAGACTAATACCTACAGGGATAGTTAATAAAATAAGCGACTTCTATTTCTCTTTTTGGAATAATTCATTTTATTTCAAATATCATTACTCGTATTTGAATTCTATTCTTTTGACCATATCCAAATTTTCCATGTTACAACCTATGAATAATGCTTCATATTTTTATGCATGTTCGCATACACCATTAGATTCATCTTATCGAATTTAATTGCATATGCATCGATATTGCTGAATGTGAACGAAAATAAATTCACTAACTCACATTAACCAAGTTGAAATTTACAGATATTGAATAAATATAGCTAATAAAGCTTATAACTTGTTAAAAGTTGTCATTGCAATTAGTTGCCATCTAAAATTCAACCCTAAAAAGCAATCTTTAATTAAATTCGGAAATATACAGTCTTACATAATCTAAAAGGCTGGATAACCACTTAATTATGACATACTCTGATCAAGTTCTATATATTTAGTATAGGAATCCAGATTACTAACTTTGCATTATTGAATTGTAACCTAAACTATTTTTTACTTTTCTCCAACGATGAAAATAATCACTGCAACTCATTCCTATAATTATAGCCTGATAACTGATATGTATTCTTGATATTATTGCAAAAAATGACCCTTGATTGGTAAAGAATAACATCATCTATCGAAGTATGATACATAGAGTCAGATACAAGCATCTACTGAAGTAGAATTTTTAATTGGACAATTTAACCTAATCATAGTTCAAATTCAAGGCACAGCCTTGAATAAATTAAAAGTTCATATTTGGGTTTATATCATTTTCTAACTGTTACTAGTTGCCTACCGTAGATTGCTATCAAGGCGTATACCGTCAATAATACAATACAAATGCTAACAGATATTTATCAACAACAATTTCAAAAGAAAGTGTTATAACTGGCTACTCATATCGAATTTATAATCAAGTTGTAATTATCCCTACAAATTCGAAATAAAATTTCTATTCTATGTACAAAGGACAATATAAAATTTACCATTTCAGACAGAGTTTCGAAAAAGTAATCTATAATTAAAGTTGCATCTTTATATTATTAAACTTTATGAACTAATCAAAGTACTGTACGCAATGAGCATGATATTAAAAATTAGAATTGTAAATAATACAGTATCGTATGTCCTCAACACGCCTTAATAGGAACTACTACGGTAGTAATTAAATATTGAGCGATGTAAGAGAAAGCAAAGCAATTCTATCTTTCCTTAGATTATTGTTTCTCGAGACTTTTGTGATCCATAATTTAGGCGGAATTCTGCTGATGCTGCACTAGAGAAGATGTTGTCGCTAGCTGTTGTACTTAAAGTTACGTTAGTAGCGATACTTAAGTTTTTATCTTGTCCCATAGCATTCTCTTCATCACTAACATTATCTTGGTTACTGCTATAGGTGTACCAAGCCATAAAATAGCCTATACTAGCAATCCCTTTGAAGAAAACACCAGCGCCTAAAATTAAAAATCTCATTAAATTGTTATCGTAGAACCAACAGGAACTTTTTTGACCACATTCGATTTTCCATACGTGGCACGAATTATCAATTATCCAACCCATGATGATTGGCCCAGGAACACTGCCAAGTAAGCGCAAGAAAAGCCATTCAATGCCAAGTGCAAAAGATCTTTGACTATCTGGCACACATCTACAAAATAATTATATCGATAATAACAAGAGTCAGTTTATGGCCTAGATCCAGATTAAATTTTATTTTAGTTTAGGTACAATTTTACTGATCTAGCATTATTATTCTTAACAATAAATTAACAATTTATGCAATAGCATATCATATACTATTCATTAATATCAATGACCATCAATAGGCATATTTCGTTTTTAATCTTCACCTGAAAATAACTTCGGTTGCCGGTACCGCTTTGATATAGGTTAGTACCATCATTGCAAAGAGTAAAATTAAGAAGGGCGCTAAATTTGAACATTCCTGATCGCATATGCCTTCTATTGCGGTATTTTTCATCGCAGATGGTAGTGTACTATTTCCATAATTGCTCGGTGTCATAATACAACTGCAATTGTAATATTTCTACAAGCAACATGAGATAGATTACATCATATAAGTAACTAATAAAATTGATTACGCAAAGATAGATGAAAGATAAGTTAATTATACCATAAGCCTATTATAAAATATAGGATCTAATTAACCAACAGCCAATTTTCTACACTTACTCTGTTCGATATTGGCAATGACATATTTACTACTACACAGCCAGCATGACATGGAGAAAAATATGTTATACCGTTAACACCACAAACGGGTTGATATTTTTGCTTTTCGCAATGGCATTGATTATTACAGGATGATGTTAAATATGTTTCGTTAACTGAGCGAATGTCGCTACCTTGGGTAAGCCTGTTTGGAAAAATATTAATAAGTAAGAGTTACCATAGTTATCGTCTAAATTCGGTAGCGTACCATAAAAAATATTAAGCTATTTTCTCCATATTTATCGTCAATATTTTACTGAAATAATTCACATACTATCTACTGTATGGTATTGATTAAAAGATTGACAACACTATTATTACTAAGAATGTAATTTCATTTCCAAGGGAATCGATTTTGCAACGAGTTTATTACATATATTCATACCCGTTATTAACATTCAATTGTGGGTAGGCTATGTTAACACCAGCGAATTTAGCTGTTGGACAACTGAGAGCAAATAAAGTGCAGGCTATTGTGCCTACTACACTTAAAACGGTGTTAAATTTAGCACTAGTAGCCCCATTAAAGCCAAAACGTTTGACAATATATCCACCCTATAAGAAATCATCAATTAGATGTATAAGTACAAGCTGAGTATAACCTTAACATGACTGTTTCATGATAGCAATAAATTGCAATTATCATTATCGTTGCAATGTTCAAAATTTAGAACTAGTAAGTATTCATACTTTGATAAACTATTTGCTCTATAAAAACTCACCAATATCATACCGCCACCTGCACCAGGCACTACAATTAAGCCAGTAATTATACTTGATACAGATGATGTTAAAGCAAATTGATATTCAATAAATTTGGGTAAGAAAGTAGCAAATCCATTAGCAGCAATGCTTTCTAAAGTTGCAGCTATAACGGACCAAATGAAGGGCTTATTTGTTATTAAATCTCTGGTAGCTTGAGGTAAATCCTTCAATTTATTGCCGTAATTGTGGTCAGCAGTAGGTTTAACATCAACTCGCGCTAAGCGCATAGCTTTATATTTTTCATAGCCTGATAAATGAGGAGGATATGCTAATAAAGGTAATGCAATTAAAAGTAGTAAAAAGCCTGTGATGATAAATCCTAGCCACCATGCTCCAACCCATCTAGCATCTTCAGGAATTAGACCTATTTTAATAAGCAGTAATAATGAGAATGTAAACGCGTTTCAAATACTGTACTTAATACAATGTCTTGTAATAGTAGTAATAATAGGTTAATTCAAAGCTAAAACACATACACTAGTTGTCCTATATAAGTAGGATCAATATGATCTTCAAAGTTAACGATATTTTAACAAAAAAATTTCACGAGACTTACTATAAAGTACAATTAGCAACATGTTGTAGACTAGTCGAAAAAGATTACGGTATTATCATACTTAAGTGGTTCAATTAAGGTGTTAATATCTAGTTTATATCATTTTGGAATCATACTGGCGCAACAAAATTATATACTGAAAGATCACCGTATCGATTAGATAAATTAAATGAGAATTTTTAGGCTGGCTGCTATGTTTAAAAATTCACGATTAAACAATAAGAAATAAACTAGTTATTAATTTTGGGCTTTAAAAAATTTCAGTGCATAAAATATCTATCAACATCTTTGTGCGCATAATTTAATAGAGGGAAGTAGAATTTTCGTAAACTTCTAAACTCGATAGACTTAAAGCTACAAATATATCATTAACTAACTATGAAATTAGAATTTACTCGTAGTCTAATTTAAATAATATTTGATATCATTTAATCTAGAACTTCAAATGTTGCAGAATTTTCGTTATGGCTATATTTCAATTGGCATATCATTGTAATTAGTTTTAACGATATGATAGATACCTGGAGATCGAACAGGCCAGTCGACATAAATTCTCATAAAAGCACCACCAAGAAGATAACCAATTGCAGGTCCAAGAGCTGAAAGAGCCATCATAATGGCGATATAAATAGATGAGACATTAGGACTAACATTTTCATCCATACAAGCCATGCCAACATTCCATAGCAGATTATTACCAGCCCCAACTAACACTTGTCCAATCAAGATAATATAAATGAAATTACGTAAAGCACTACTAGCGCTGCACAACAAGTCAGTAGTGGTGATATCGGTAGTAACTGAAGGAGAAGTTGTCATATTAGTCAATTCAGGCCGGTAACACAATCCAGAATTTTGATTGGAAGCTTTGGAATAATATTCGCCTGAAATAAAATGCGGCAAGGCAAATATAAATGCTCCGAGTGACATTGTAATAGCACCATAAGCTAAAACTTTGGGCTTATGGCCTTGACAAGCATAAAAGCTAACGATAGTACCAACAATAGCTGCTGATATCTCATAAACACTCGCTATAAACGCTGTTTCAGTGCTTCTTAATTCGTAGCGTTTCTCTAACGATGTAATAATGACACCAGTGAATCCCGTCGCTTGCATACCGGCAATAACGATAAAACTACAAATGAAAAACAACAACCAGTGTTGGTGGTTGAAAAATTGTAGCCAACTTGGTGTAAATCTACCATAGCCAAATCGATTGATTTTATTTTCCTTTGGATACATTACATCTTGATCATTCCATTTAGTCGATAAAATTGACGATGGCGGTAGTTGATTGGAGTTTATAGTATCATCTCCAGAATGTACTTGTCCGTTAGAATCCATTGATATGAATATTTTTAAAATGCTAGCATAAAGGATAGTAGTTCCGGCTGAAAAGTGAAAACTGATTAATACTGCGGTAGTTCTTTCTGTTCAGAAAGCTGATAGACTTGATGATACTATCAAGTATCACAGAAGAAATAGATTGTCTTTAATCACTGCTCTTCTTTTTCTTCAATAATCGAGTAGTATACGCATTTATTGAATAATTTTAAAGTGCTAAAACCTTATTTTGCTATACTAATTTTGGTTATACTAAACTGCTAATGCTTAAACATAAGGAAAATAGCCATTGAATGACAAGACTAATGATAAACAGAGCCAAGTAGAAACAGCTTGATCAATCTATAGTTTCTAAGAAGAGAATTCATATCAAATATGTTTCTATTAAACATTTAGTTATAGTGTAATCCAGCAGGGTAGCTTTTTATAGTACATATTTAATTAAAATAAGCCTCTGTATGGTACGTTGAGCGATAATTTTAAGTTAAACTGAATAGAAAATATCAAGTTTTAAAATTAGCGACAATATGTTGGCCGTGCGTAAGTTGATGACGTGAGTTGTTGATCCTTCAACACCAAATTTTCATTGGCTCAAATATTAATTGCCCTTGAAAATGATGACATTACTCCAAATGATCAACCCTAGCAGATGTTTTAGCCATTCTCTTTGGGCATTAGGTATGATACTACAGCGTACTGAAATAGAGTATAGCTAAAGTAAGTATATTTGATCTGAGAAACCGTTCTGCACTAAGTCATCATGACCTATAACATTTTACCAAATCTTAGTTAAGTTGACTTTATCCTATGTAAAGGATCGACCGACAATGAAAAAGTTTTTCACTGCTTTTTTCTTTTAAATTTGTCATCTTACTCAGCTTTGCACTAACACTTTGGTGGCTTTATAATAATTTTGATCTCGATTGCAATCATATTTAAAGATTTCGTCATTTGAAACGAGACTGTATAAATCGGTGTTATTGCCATTAGATTTTACTTAAAATCTATAACATTTTTAAACACGTCAGAAAAATACTTAAGTAAGAGTATAGCCAAGAAATAAATATATTAATTTGTATTTTGACACCTAATAATAGATGCTAGAGGCTTTATTATAACGCATGCAATGAGAGATTAAGGATTAAATGAAGAGAGCAGCAATAATTTAGGGTTGGTCAATATCATCGGCAAGTACGATAGGCGCTCTAAATCAATATCTTTAATAATGTTCACCCGTTTATTTCTAAAAACTTTCTTCATAACAGACGATTTTCTTATTCCTGTTAGATTAACTAAATAATACTGTAACAGTAATGAATTAATCGTCTATTCAATTTCTGTTTATACCACGAAATGAATACTTTTCTTGTTACAATATCGATGGAAACAATAGCTGAGTATCCTTGTTATGAATAACGTTATCAGAAGATTATTTGCTTTGCAATGTACAGTGCGTACATTTTATTAACAGTCATAGAGCCAAAGTCCAATTTACTGCGAATTTTACCTTGTGATAAACAGTAAATCAGAAAATATTACAACCCGTTTTACATCTAGTGATTATATTATAGGATACCACAGTTATACTTCAAAAGCAAGTAAATACTATAGACTGAAATTACTATTTTCATTAAAGTTTTTCCGATAAAATTAAGGAAGAGCGCTGCTAAAGGCACTAGATAGAAATTGCAATTTATATCAAAATTTGCTGCCTATCATCCATTCCTTTTTGGATATACTATTATTTTACATAGAAGGAATGATTCGTGTTCACTTTTGCATTATTTCTAGAGATATATAAATAGAAAAATCTCGTGATTTACGTGACGTACAGCAATGAATGAAATTAGCTCATTCCTATTAGCGAAAGAATTTTCAGGATCTACCCATCATCCATGCCTACAACACAAGATTAGTTATTGGGGTTAAGCATTATGATAATTCAATTAATGTAATTTAATTATGGGTATATACCTATATAAATACGATATGATTTATTTATTACACTCGTATATTGGTATTAAAAGGCAGCATGCTAATGAGAATTTATAGCACTGCACTTTTGGTATTGCTTCACTAATAGTAACAAATAATTGAAAAAGGATTTATATAGCAATATCTAGTAAAGTGTAGAATAATATTTCACCTTTATTGATGAACTGTAAGTCAATTAAAAGTATTGAATCATTTTAGTATTCAGACTGAGTATTTAGAAGTTTTATCACCATACACATCTCATGGTTTCCTTCGTAAGGAAATTTGATTCTCGATCTTGTCCGCTGCATGTCGCATACTCGTAACGCAAAAGAATTTCTCCTTATGATCTCTTTCTTCATCATTCTACAGCTTTACAGCATTAGTTGAGTTATGGCAAAATTGTTGTCATTTTTGTACCAGTTTTTTTTTTAATAAATGATTACTAATGACTAGACGATGAAAAATGATGTTCTAAATCGTTAAATAAGCGACAGCATATCGAACAATCGCTGTGTGAAATAGTTTCAAAATCAAGGAAGATGGCGTATGTCGACTGGATTGCTATTTTGGTAGCTTCCTCCTATATACATAGCGTCTACTATGCTTACACTAAAATGGGCTTAGACATATTAGTACGCATGCTGCTATACGCTACACTGCAAATAAATAATTTATAGTTTGATCTATGTATCTTAATACGCAAAATAGAACAATTTCAGTTACGTACGGTATTATGACACGAGTCAAATGATTGAATTTTGGACTGACAGTTCTTCTTACCCTTAGGCATATGGCATAGTTGACAAATTCTTCATGTGATATGACTAATTGCATAGCTAAAAATACAAATAATGGTTACTATTTTTAAATCTGCTAAAAATTTAGACTGTAAACTGAGTGTAAAGACACCATGATTGCAAATGCCCTAAGGTACAAACGGTATTTACGTACTGTACTTTAACAAATGTCTAATTAACAGGATTCTCAATTAGTCTTCTATTTGCCTTAAAAATATTAGTTTTCGGTAGGTGATGTTCCACGTTAGTTTATCTACTTATATTTCAATTTTACACTTTACGAAAGTCAAAAATGATGGCTAGTGATTCCTTTTGTGAGATATTAAGCATCTTTCGAATAGAATTAATTCGTATACTGATTTGAAGTGGGGAAAAAACAACAATATCTTTAAATATTTTATTGATCAATCGTACAGTAAAAGCCGAATGCATTGAATTCTTATTTAGACTTCGGTTTGCTACATAATATACCGTGCACATTATGGTAGCTACAGTATAGTGCACAATATCGTTAGCAGTAGATGGGAAAAGGCAAATCGAACACAGGTATTTGGATGCTGGAGAGCAGCTAAGTACGGTACCGTATGATTTGCTTGGCACAGAATCACGGCAGCATTCCACCTATAAAGGGCTGTATCATATGATATAATCTTAATGCAGTTTTTAAATTGAGATGATGCTTTAACTAGTTTTACAATTTAATAAATTTAATACTATCCATGGCAATTTTTACTAACAGGCCAGTATTGGCTATACCCTATATGCTAGGTTACGCCTAATAAATCATCCAAAGAATTAAGATATAGTGATACATATAGGTTTTACTGCGGTAGATCAGTAAAAAATACACGCCAGAATCATCGTAATTACTTTTTTGACGATATTTGATAAATAGAGTTACGATAACACGAAATATTGGTCCAGGATCGATCAGAGGTACTGAAAAACACTTATAAATATTACAATTAAAATCATTAGCCTATTTAGTGTTATCGCATAGAGACTACGCGTACACTTCAGAATAAATTGACCTAAAGTTTACTAATGTATCATTAAATCACGTAAAAATATCTTATTATGTAGGGAATGTAATTCAAAATGAAATAGTTAAAGTTTTCCAGGATATCTTAATTAAATTACACGAAAAAATGTTCTATAGCTAATATTGGAAGAAAGATGTTAGGATTGTTATTTATAATTGTCGTTCGGATGGAAATAAAGGAAAAGCCACCCAATGACGCGTTGACTTGTGTGCCTAGGCGCATCCAAGATAACGGGTCCTATTAAAAATGGTATTAGTTAAAATATTAAGATAATCAAATTTATACTAGACATCATGGTAGAAGATAACAATCTCCATGATTGTAGAATTTTAGGAGATAGTTTCTCATCGTAACTTTATAAGAAAAACAGACTATACTTAATAGGGCAATTGTACCCATAGATGAGAGCCTTTGATTACCTTATTTCACTATAGTAGGAAGCAATAAATTATATCCGCAAGTATTAAATTGAAGAAACAGGACGTATAGTTTGGATGTCTGTACAGAAGGTAAAAATATTTGCAAAATTTAATTACGAAAGAGCTCAATAAGATGCCGAACATCAGTATGCATCTCACATAATGCATACTGCGAGGTAAAGGCAAATAAGAAATATCTAAGGTGTAGCAGTGTAACACATTTTAATGTTAGCGGCAGTAAATGAAAATCTAGCGCAAAGCTTAAGAAATAGTTTAACGAATCCAGGAATAAATTTTATCAGTTTAGAAATCTGATAATGAAACTATGATTCCTACTTAATTCTTTTTTTATCTGTAGATATCTAACTTGCTATGCAAATTAGTATCTTATTAATATACACTAGCTAAACCCGTGGAAATTCCACGGAATATAGTCCAGTTTTGAGTTAATAGACAATTAGAATCCGGATTAACAGCGTGACACACGTACAATCACATTAATATGATTTGATGTTATACCGTTATCCTGTGATGCGGCAATAACTTTAGCTCTATGTGGTTCTCGGGAAATAAATTTATAACCGGCTACGTCCTGAAAATTATTAAAGTCCTCTTTATTGTAGCTGATAACGTCTTGAAATGTTGCTTTCTTCATGCTATTGAAATTTGAATTCGACATGAGCTGTTTTTCGTAAATATTATCGTCATCCTTCTGCTCATTTTTAATTTCAGTTCGGCAATAATACCAAGCTAAAGCAAAAAAAACAGTGCTAGCACCTTTGCAAATTATAACAAAAGCGAACACTAGATAGCCCATTTGACGATTATTGTATAGCCAACATGAAGTCTTTTCGCCACATTCGATGTTCCATACATTGCATGATGTATCGATTATTAAGCCGATTAATAGCGGTCCGGGGATATCACCAAGTAATCGGATAAGTAGCCATTGTAAGCCTAGCGCAAACGAACGTTGGCTTTCAGGTACAGTCCTATTATCATGAAAATTAAACATTAATTGAAGATGTATGGCTAGATTAGGATTATTTCGATATAAGCTATTAATAAGCTAAACCAAAAGTTCATTTTCATGCCTCACAATTGCAATAAGGGAAAATTACCAACCTCAAAACAACTTGCGTACTTGGTACTGATTTGACATAAGTGCAAATCATTTGAATAAATAACACGACCAAAAAAGGAATCAAATTATTGCAGTTTTGCGCACATAAGCCCCGTTGAGCATCAAACGGAACTTCAAGCTCGCTATCATTAGCATTATTTTGAGTCAATATACAAGTGCAATTCGAGAATGTCTATAAACATAAATGAAGTAAAAATTTTCAGTTTCTGTATGATGATATTTATTGCAATCGCCCTAGATGTTATTTGTCTTACAGCTTATACCAGTTGCGGTTCCTATTATACACGTACCTTAGATTTATTTTAAAATCTGAAAGATCAAATGAAAGGTAAATTTTTCACCCTACCTGTTGATTGAAGGGAATAGAAGTGTCAATATCTTGACAGCCGGCATGGCACGGTGAGAAGTATGCAATACCATTAATGCCACAGATTGGGTCGAATTTATCACGTAGACATCCGCAATTGATATTGCATTCACTAGTAATATTTCCAACTTCTGCTTGAGGACTTGGTTGTCTATTAAGTTACAGAAAATAGTAGTAATATGAAGTGTAAGTGCAGACCTATAGCTATCATCTTAAAACTGTTCAGTTTTTCGAAGACAAATTATCTCTAATTATCAAATCCAATTGAAGTCAAAATAATTAGAAATATATAGTAGAGTAGAAAGTACTGCAGATTTCCGTGTAAAAATATCGTATCCTCACATCATTGTTGATTCAACTGGCGTATTTGCACCAGCAAATGGTATAGCATCGCAGCCAATAAGAAAAGCTAAGCAGGATATACAACTTAGAAAGCCAAAGACAACGTTAAGTTTGCATGCTCTTAGCTTGTCCATTCTAAAATATTTCATCAACAGACTGCCCTAAATTTGATTATTTAATGAAGCAATGATTTAAATCTTGCAACTGGCAATCATTTATTATCTTTACTCTTCAGTTTAAAATTAGGAAGATACGTAATCGTAAGTAAACTCGAATCTTTGGATAAGAGCACTCTCAATTACAATTTATATTTGCGTCTATATTTGGATTTACCAAAATCATCCCTCCTCCAGCTCCCGGTACAACAACAATCCCGGAGATAAAACTTGCACCAGATGATGTAGTAGAAAATTGTGACTGAATAAATTTTGGTAGAAAGGGAGCAAAGCCATTCGTAACGAGTGCTTCTGCTGTGGCAGCTAAAACTGTAAAGATGAACGGCTTGTTAAGAATCAATTCTTTAGTTGCTCTGGGAAGATCAGTAATTGAATTTCCATATTCATTATCTACTCTGGATTTTCCAATAGTTGTTTTTTGTCTTTGAAGTTTGTGTTTTTGAAAATCGGGTAGATGACGAGGATAAGCAAATAATGGAATCGATATAATGAACATACCGACTGCACAAACAAGGAATCCCAGCCACCATGCACCGACCCATCGTGGATCTGTCGGCACTATTCCTATAAGAGTTTATATCAATGTCACTCTTCTTATGGAAATTTTTACAAATTAATCGAATATAGATGTTCATAAAAAGCTAAAAACGTAAGTTCAAGTTTATGACTTTATAATGAGGGCTCTAAAAAGAGAGTGGGTAGATTTGCAATGTCGTGGGGCTTATAAATTAATACCGAATATCATACATAATTCAAATCATATAAAATGCGATTAATTTATTAGATTAACATTATCATGATCGACCATAATATTATCATCAAATCTGTCAGGCCCTCACTGTTCAATGCGGATAGCTGCATAGATTTAGTTAAAAGTTTAGGGCATATCGCTATAAGCCCTACAAGAGGAGATTACTTTACGCCTCTCTAAATAGTACGACTTAATGGAGAAGTTACCAAAAAGGCGATAAACAATGGAATAACGTAGAAAATGGAAGGTAACCGATTTCTAAATTACTATTCGTATTGGATCATCAATTTGTTCAATACGGCATGTAATTTGCGTAATTTAGATCTGTAAGGGTATTTCAGAATTTTGAATTATCCAATCACACAGAAAGTAGTTAAATCTATAATGACTAGAAAGATCGTATGGGAACTGATTGATACCATGTAAAACAAGAATTATTATACTACAGGTACGCTAACTATCGTCTCTGGTAATCCATCCATATTACTTTATTTATCACGTAAAACCTCTATGTTAACCATATCAATTTAATTGATACTTTTACAATGGCAATATAGCTATATGTTAAGACCTGTTGGTTACGTCGTAAATAATTCTAAAATACTGTGATATGAAGGTAATACGCCTAACCTTGTGATGGATTAGGCCAATCAACCCAAAGGTTAAGAAAAATGCCTCCCAGCAAGAAACCAATTGCTGGGCCAATAGCTGCTACTGTTACCATTATTCCTACATAGACAGATGATGTCGTAGGGCTGACATTTTCGTCGATATAGGCCATTCCTGTTGTCCATACAATATTATTTCCAGCACCAATTAAAGCTTGTGCTAAGAGAAATACGTATAAAAACACTCGAACTGGAGAAGCTAAATTAGCACAAACGCTAGTTGAGCTTTGGTTCATTGTGACATTATAATGGCATAGCTCAGAGCCAATAGTTCCCTCGGCTACATAATTGCTAGTAATCCAATGGGGTAAAGCAAAGATTAAAGCTCCTATACTAATAACAACTGCACTAGCAGCTAAATAGCGACCTTTATGACCTTGTCCAGCGTAGTAACTAGTAATAATTCCGAAGAATGCAGCGGCTACCTCATACGCACTATACAAAGTTCCGGATTCTGTACTACGTAATTCAAAGCGTGTTTCTAGCGAAGTAATTGCCACTGCCGTAAATCCTGATATCAACATGCTTGCAATGATAATATAGCTGCTAGTGAAGACTAATAACCATTTAGGACTATTGAACCATTGGCAAAATTGAAATTGACAACGACCCAAGCCAAATTGCATATGGTATGATTGCTGGGAAGAATTATCATCAGGTGACGGATCATTAAACTTGTTTTGCAGCATCTTGATTCTATTAGCATCCAGAGTAAGGCTAATAAACTAATCTTAAACGGTAAATTGATAGACAAAAATATTATGTAAGGATATATTATCTCACTGCATAATATGAAGATATAGAACAGCGTACGTAAGCTGTTCTTTGGTTTGTGATAATTGATCATACTGTAAACGAAAAGTAATAATGGTTGCACTTTACTTAAAATAAGAGTAACACATTTACGAAATTGAAATTGAATGGATAAAAATAGTTGTCATTTATCACCTTTGAGTTGAGATCTGTATTGGTAATTACTAACAATTGGAATAAAACTAGTATGTATTCAGGTTGACTACTATTTTAATTTGATGAATGTTAAACCAACGCCATTAGACATGCTAAATGATGTGACCTAACAAGTTTATGCCTTTAATAGTTGCCTAAAGTAGACAGCTGCTTGCTATATTATTTGTAAAGCTATCGGTTGAAGTACAAATGTACATTTTTGGAATGGCAAAATAGAGCATCGTGTTAACCGAAAAAACTGATTAATTTAGCACACGTGTATTAAATTTAATAATAAAACAGCCAATAAGCGAATTCGATCCAAAGTTAGAATCCTTTTAATAATTTTACTATGAGTATTTACAGATATTAAATATGTTGCTAACGATAGAATTCGTGATTTTCATTCGATTGTAATATGTAGTATATCATCGATTTACCTGTTCAATCTGTGCTTTATTTTGAAGTATCAAAATTAATCGTCAATTTTTACTAATAGGATATTTCCATATTCAAGTACTTCTCTAAAATTAAATGAAACGTAGATTTTCTTACTTCTATATCATTCCACCAGTAGACTAATGTTAGGGTCAATACTATTGCTGGCTACTGTTAATGTTTTCCCTAGAGGCATAGCTAGTTTAAACGGCTTGAATTCAAATGCGTCCCTTGGTTTTCTTTCAATGAAAGTATGAAATCATTCATAGCTCCCATGCTGGTGATGCGATAATGTCAGGGTACACTATCCACTGCTATGGCACCATATCTGTATTAATTACTTACAATGTAGTGCTCACTCGATCAAGAAACTTTCTAGAAGATACACCGGATAAAATCAATTTGAAAATTAAAACTAGAATAGACCCAGTGAGGTGATCTTTCCCAAATACTTAAGGCGATAACCTGTAAACACGGTAACAAATTTCGATTTTTTTAGAAATCAGCCTCTCAGAAAAGAATGCCTCTTTAGTTTTATAATACAATCGATAGTTGTTACTTCGGGGTAATATGGAATCACCGATTCGTTTGTTATTGTAATAGAAGTATTAACAGTTTGAAACAAGACTGATTAGAGCCGTTGTTAAACTTTGTCTTTAAATAATTTAACTATGTAACAATAGTAAAGCATTTATTCCATAGGGATAGTTAAAATTTTAGCAACGTTTTCGCTCTTATAATTATTACTGTAAATTTAAATATAGCTGCGATGGATAGTGGTTACAAGACAAGTGAAATAGTTGTCAATTTTATTTCTCAAGTATTGCTATCTTTAATGTGAATTAGCAACTTGCATCGTAAGCAAAGGAATGTCGACAGAATAGATCATTGTTTTATATAGACCTTAAGACAGTCTTTGATTTAGAATATTTTTCCATTAAGGGCACGATTTAATCTGCTTGTATTAATAATATATAGAAAGTAAACTGTAACATTTTCAAACCTTCCCACGCTTTTCAAATTAAGGAAGTTATTTAAAGAATATTCAACGGTTCAACGAGTAAATAAATTCAAAACTGAGTACACAATGAAAATATGGATAAATAGAATTTAGTTCCAATGGCGTTAAATGATAAAGGGAAGCTCACTCTCTAAAGATTGATACTATAACCAGCAAGTAGATTTAATTCGATGCAAAGGATAAATATACGCAAGTTCTGCCTGCGACGAATGAAAGAGATACTGCAGATTTGATACCATGACTGGCTAGTAGATTTAATTCAACAAGAATATAGGCTGATGCAAGGGATAAATATAACGTAGGTTCTTTCTACGATACATGAAAGAGAATTTTCTAATATTTAATATAGCAAAACAGAAATATATCCTCTAATACAAATATAGACTGACGGAGGAAGTTTTCCTCTTAACTTTAGGTGGGTATAGAATCGAAGAATAAAATCCCACCCACGCACCCTTGATACTAGCAGCGCGGGGGTATTTATACTACTGTTAGATGACTTTGATTATGGGTTCATTTCAATAGGTCAGTATAAGATTCTTACAGTACTTTTTACCTCAAGATTTCTTCATGTAAAACGAATAGCTCTAAGGTAGTAATTTCTACAGAGAACTGATTATTAAAATAGTATTCGTTATATTACCGTGCATTTGTACAGCATACAGTACAGTACACGGTATAAAGTTACTGAACCTCTGACAGGTCTAAGTACACGGTAAAAAGTTACTGAACCTCTGACAGGTCTATCAAATGGTAATACTATCTGTTAAATGAGCACATTATCGTAAACCGTCCGCAAAGCGACGGGAGTTTGCATTAGTAAAACTAAAAGAAAGATAATATAGGCAGCTAATTTAGGACTAACCTTTCCATATGTGTTTGGTGATTATTTTAGGTTTTATAGGGAGATACAATTTTGGCAAATCTAATTTTCGCTAGAATACCACCCGGCAAAATGAGCATTTCCGAAAAATAAAGTTCCGAAAGTATCAGAAAATTGGGATCTTTCTAATGTGCATATATAACATTTATAAATACTGCAAATTGACATCATAATTTTATTAAAGAAATAGCCGATTGATGGAAAGTCTTCGTTAAAACAATGTTGGTCAAGATCGTTATCTTAAGATACGAGCTATAATATGAAGTAGCGTTCAGTGTTCTCAGTATTTGGTCTATATGCAGTAGTTAAAATGTTTCTACTGAAAGACTGTCTAGATCTCGGGAGGAAAGAATTTACTCAAATTTACTAGATCAGCGATAGTACTTAGTCAAGATTAAATTTTCGATTAGCCAATTAACAACAAATTTTCTAGACTTTATATTATTGCAATAATTTTAAGATCGACATTATGGTATTCTTTCATGAAAGCAGATACTTTTAGCAAAACTCATACCTAAACTACAGAGACATGGATGTTAGGTTTACTCAACAATGTACCGGACAGGATAAATGATCAGCTCTGTTCGGATTAATGATGGAGAAATTATACGACTAAGTAACCTAGGTAAAACTCCTTATTCATAGATGGCAAATTCACGGACTAATAGATAGATTACCCTATTATCTTATTTGTTTTACTCAAAAATGCTGAGATTAATTTCAAATACAATAAAACCCGATTAGATTTCTATCCCTAACATTATAGAACTTAAAGGTAAACGAGGTTGAGGCTATTATTTTTTATCATTCGGATGTCTTAAAAGCGTATGTAACGAACAGTCGCCAATACAAAGTTAACCTTTTAAGATGAAATATTGAATCTTGCTAATTTATGTTACATCTACCCAGAGAACTAAATGAAATTTTTACAAGGCTCTTTTTATCAGGAATTCTACCTGCTTCATATGATCTAAATTTATCCCGTCATGATGTCATGGAATTATGATTTTACTTACTTTGTTGCTACATAATAAATTAATACCTTCAATGTAATCCTGGCAAATTATTCATCCTCTCGGAGGCGATTCTCAGCACTAGTGCTTGAGTTAGTAGGTTACAGTGCTGTAGTTATAACATATATATTGGACTTAAATTAATGTTAAAGATGGACAAAGTTAATGATGGCCAGATGCCGTACTATAGCTTCTATAGGAAGTAGTTGCAAGAGCATGGAAATTGCTATCCATAAAAAAATTAATATACTAATACTGTAGCTAAATGCTTTCTTCCTAGCTACTGAAGCGATATGAAAATGATAGCGGACAAAAAAATTTTTGAACGCCAGGATACAAAATATTGTCCAGAAAACATATAGCGGTTAGCTAAGCAGCGGCAGGATGATAAACTGGCAGCACTTAAAAAATATTTTGTTAACATATTGGAAACTGAGGGAAATTGAATGCAGTGATCCTTAAAGAATGCTGTGATTAAAGACTACAAAGATATGCGTAGAACTATGCAGAAATATAAAAAATAAGCAGGTTACGAGTAACTTGCTATGGCTATCTGAGTAAAATATTTAAAATGATAAAAGAAAATTCATCTCTAAGAATGAGCAATATAGATGATTTTATAACCAAGTATAGCGGGGGCTTTATTGTTGCAAAGTAAATAATGAACTGTTGAAACCGTAGTAGTCAAAAAAAATATTTCGAGTTAATATGCACTGATGTAAATGGATATAGCACCTACTGTACTAGCAAGAAAAAGAAATTTTACAGAATTTACTAATGTTAAATTGGATATTCACATCCAAGCATCCAATCGTAAGTAGGTACCGTAGTAAGTTTGCTAAAGTTTTCTGAGATGAAATCACAAAATATTTGGCGTACTAAATACCTACAGTATAACTACTTGTAATCTTCGATTTTAGAAGAACAGAAATTGCTTATTCAAACTACGAGATAGAAAATGCATCAAAATCAATAACGAAGCTGATAGAATTAAAATTTTAGCTAGCTAGAGTATTCTATGAAATAAATTATAAACTACTCGTACAACATTTTAAAAATGGACGCCCGCTTTATCATTTCAATTTCTTTCATAGCAATATATTTTAGTATGCATTTTGAGTATCGTTTTTTATCAATGCTACCTAACGAATCCTTAAAATGTTCTACTTTAAAAAGTGACGGCTTCTTCACTCTTTTCTTTCTTAATGCTATTTGAACTAGTATCGGTTGCTAAGTGTTTTTCTTCTACATCATCTTCCTTACGCTGGTCATTAATCACTTCTGCTCGATAAAAGTACCATGCCAAGAAGAAAAAGAGGGTGCCTAAGGCTTTAAATGACAAACCAAAGGCTAATACAAGATAGCCCATCTGGCGGTTATCATATAACCAACATGAGGTTCTTTCACCACATTCAATATTCCATAAAACACATGATGTATCAATCATCAAGCCAATTAATAGCGGCCCCGGAAGGTTGCCTAATAATCGTACTAATAGCCACTGTAAACCTAACGCAAATGAACGCTGGCTTTCGGGTACAGTCCTATCAATAATTTAATAGAATCAATGAGTAACAAGAAATGACAAGAACAGTTTCGTAGGGTTAATGGAGAATTGTTTGATCAATCAGAATACGAAATTACCATCTCGTATATTAACAGAAAGTAGTACCTAAGAACAACTTGAGTAGCCGGCACTGATTTCACGTAGGTACATAACATTTGAATGAATAAGACGGCCAGAAATGGTATCATATTATTACAAGTCTGTGCACATACTCCTCGCCGAGCTGTACGCTGGATAGTTCCACTAGAATTGGCAGTCGTCTGACTAGGTATGCAGGTACAATTGGAAAATACCTGTCGGATAAAAACAGACAAATAAATTACCAAAAAGGCTAATTGATTATCAAGTAAAGGTTAGTATTGCTAATTAACGCTTATTAAAATACTGCGTAGCACTATTGATCTACTATATATACTCATAATTTTCAATGTAAATCTGAATTTACCTGCCGTTCAAGTGTAGCAGAGTTGTTAATAGCTTGACAGCCAGCATGACATGGTGAAAAATAAGTAATTCCATTGATGCCACAGATTGGATCGAACTGATTTTGAGGACATCCACAATTCCCATTACATTGACCAGTGAGATTGCCAACTTGTGCTTGAGCAATAGGTTGTCTATGTTGTACAATGTAGATTAAAATACTCATCTCCAATACTATATAAAAGTACATCAATAAAATATTTATGATAGACGGGTAATAATGCATTCCTATTTGCTTTACATTGTTAGGGCTCCTACTGGTGTATTTGCACCAGCAAATGGGACAGTATCGCAACCAATAAGAAAGGCCAAAACGCTTACGCAGCTTAGAAATCCGAAAACAAAGTTAAATTTGGACGCACTTAATCCAGACATCCTGAAGTATTTCATGAGAACACCACCCTACGAGTGATCGTTAATTAATGAATAGTATGGCGTTAATAGCTTATAAAGATCACGCTTTATCCTATATACAGTAGTTTGTGACATTATTGTTGTCAGTAGAAAATTTTATTGTATTCTAGAGTCAATGGATAGAAAAAAATTGTGTGCTTATGAATAAAATGATTTAGTCGCACGTAAATCTGTTCTATAATTTATATCGCTGACTGACACATGATTAAAGCATGCAAGCGTAAGTATCTGTACATTGTATGCGATATTTGAATCTATTTTATTTACCAATATCATGCCACCTCCTGCGCCTGGCACAACAATAATTCCCGATATAAAACTTGCATTAGATGCTGTAGTAGAAAATTGTGCTTGAATAAATTTGGGTAAGAAAGCAGCAAAACCATTAGTGACAAGTGCTTCTGATGTTGCAGCCAAAACTGTAAAGATATAGGGTCTATTAAGGATTAATTCTTTGGAAGCTTTTGGAAAGTCGGCAATTGAATTTCCATATTCTTTGTCCACTTTCGATTTGCCAATAGTCGCTTTTTGTCTCTGGAGTTTATACTTTTGAAAATTGGGTAGATTGCGAGGAAAAGCAAATAATGGAATCGACACGACAAGCATACCAACACCACAGACAATAAATCCCAACCACCATGCGCCAACCCAGCGCGGGTCTGTCGGCAGAATACCTACAAACGATTTAGAATGTTAGCAGAAAGATATCTAAAGTAAAAGTTAACATCGTATTATATTACATTGTAGAATTAAATGGAAAATAGATATTTTATTCCTGGTATAATAAAGATTATTAAATTTATAATTAATTAACCAAGTGATTTTAAAATAAATTTACAAGGATATCAATAAATTAATTATTGAAGATGAAGTAATAATACTTTAGTCTCATCATAGTGGAATAGAAAATTTACTTGAAATATGAAACAACGGCAATTATATTCTATTCGAAGCAATTTTCAAAACAGAGGAGTAATCATATTTTACGGTAGAGAAATAAATATTTTATGATTACAATTGGCACTACTGCTGTGTCTGCACATTACTTACCGTATATAATGCATAATAAACTATAGGATTATCATCTCATCTTTGAATTTGTGAATATGCCAAAAAAATTACAGTAAAATATTAAAATTATCCAACGTCAGTCCGAGAGCTAAGGAACTAATAGAATGCTATTGTACCCTCATTGTGATAAATAGCGAGCGCAAAGAACTAAAAATGAAATATTAGTCCAAAATTTGAAGTAAATTGACATTAAAATAATTTTTTTTTTTAGATTAAAAATTGTAGGAAGCTAATTTGCCATCTCGCACAAGTTAACGCAGTATCTTAATACATAGTGTACTAGTAGTAGTCTTGCCCTACTTATTCGAATTATGAAGTGTGAGATAGTTGTTGCCATACTACTCAAAAACAAAGGAAATTTGTCACGAATAGCGTAGAAGAATTAACTATAAATCATGATGACTATTTCAATTACAGCATGAATTTATTTTTCTTTGTTTAAGATAATGATTGAGGAAGTTTGGTAATTTTAATCGTACACAAGTTTTGAAGTAGACTAGAATGAGAATGTTAAATTAGCGGTATAGACACACTAGAAGTGTAATAAGCGTTAGAATAATATATAATATCATTTTTAACAACGTTGAATAATTTCTAATCATATTTTACGGTTATTTTGATTACAAGATTTGGATAATGGCTAAATGCTAAATTGTGGATCTTTTCATAAAAAATATCTAAGTACTTGATGTAAGTACTTTATTATGCGACCAAGATCGTAGGCAGATTCCATAACGATCAGTCAATATATCTGCCCTGTAATTATTAATTATAATTATCAATTATTCATTTTTATTGTTCTAACCTTGTGAATTGCTTGGCCAATCTACCCAAAGATTAAGAAAAACACCTCCAAGTAAAAACCCTATTGCTGGACCCATTGCTGCTAGTGTCACAACTATTGCAACGTAGACAGAGGATGATGTAGGACTGACATTTTCGTCGATATAGGCCATTCCTGTTGTCCACAAAACATTATTTCCAGCACCGACTAAGACTTGTGCGAAAATGAAAACGTACAAAAACACTCGAACAGGAGAACCCAGATTATTACAAACGTTAGCAGAATTTTGGCTTATTGTGGCATTATGATAGCATAATCCAGAGCCAACGGTTCCCTCAGCTACATAATTATCAGTAATCCAATGGGGTAAAGCAAAGACCAAGCCTCCGATACCAATAATAACTGCACTAACGGCTAAATATCGACCTTTATGGCCTTGTCCGGCGTAAAAGCTAGTGACGATGCCAATGATAGCAGCGGCCACTTCATAAGCGCTGTACAAGCTTCCAGATTCTGTACTACGTAATTCAAATCGTGTTTCCAACGAAGTAATTGCCACTGCCGTAAATCCTGATATCATCATACCAGAAATGATAACATACAAGCTAGTAAAAGCTAATAGCCACTTCGGATTATTTAACGTTTGGCAAAACTGAAATTGACAGCGACCTAAACCAAATCGCATGTCATATGGATGAACATCAGGATCATTATCCTCAGGCACGACTTCTAACTTCTTAATTGCCATAGTGATTTGATAATATTTCAAGATAGAAATTAATTTTATAAACCCTTGAATTTATTTCGTAGCGATTTGAAATTTCGGCCAATTCTTTAATACCAATTTGAAAGATATAAAGTGATGGTGGCTGTAAATTAAAATTGTCTATAGGTTAATATTCAATACCAAATCAAATCCAATATTTATAATGAGAAAAAATACGGATCGTGGAAAGAAATTTGAGCAAATAGAGATCAAATAATAATGATCATGCAAGGCTAGCACCTGCTACAAAGAGAGTAAGCTTTCAAGAATGTATCGGCACGTTAAAAACAATAGTGTACCAGGTACAGGTTATCTTGCTATGAGAGCAATAGCAGACGGTTAAGTTACAGTCGTAAATAAACGCTGGTATCTGTATAGATTAGCATAACTAAATCTGAAATAGTATCTATGTGCAATTTCTAAAGCAGGTAAACTACACACCTACCTGACCCCTTGTTGCGATGGTATCTTACTATTAATCAATATAATTGCTAGGCTAATTAACAAGACAAAGCATAAATTTGTTGGCCTTGATATTTTCGTGTGAAGCTGATTGCTAAGATAATTTTCACGAAAATAGCCAGTTGGTTAATTATGGCTTTCTTATAACCCTAATTTTTACTCGCTTTAAACAAAGAATTTCCACTATTGTGCATACCGCACATGTCGCACAAAATATTTATATAATATAAATGATTGTTAGTGACTAATTAGAGATAATTTAGTCAAGTTCAATATACGATAAACCCACAGTAGATAAGGTATGTGGTATGTTAGATAAGAATATTTGGCTAACTTACCAGGCGTCTAACACTGCTTCTTGACTTATAGTAATAAATAACCTCTTATTATCGCTGCTTGACGGTTATAAGCAAGTCACGGTAGATTATTTATTCAATGATACGGCCGTTCCGTTTAAGGTCATGTCAATACGTTTATCTAAGCTCTATTTATCTCTACTACAGTCTGTCCTGTTAGATACAATCGAACTTTGCGATAGATATAACCGAATGTTACATTTTAAGAATTGTAATGTTATATTTTATTTATCACGTGATTAAATCTTTATTGGGCAACAATGATATCTATATTTATTTGTATAGATAAGTAAAGATATTGGGCGTTGGTATATATTTATTTTTCTCCCTAGATCTTTATTGGCGAGGTTAGTTCTATTTGGGTTCATTATAAAGGTAAAAGTTCATCATCTCTTTTATCAATCGGTTTGTACAAGATAGCGCTGATCTATTGTTTTATAGCAAGCTTTCATTCGGTACTATACTACTATCTATAGGTTGAAGATAGGTGTATAAGTACTTAATAAGAATCATATTTTACTATTTATAATAAATAATGTCTTACTATAGGCATTCATGCTTGTTTGCTTCTGTAGTAATCATATCATCTAAGTTCTAGGAGACCCTAAGTAGAAGCAACTACAGAAGATAAGATGGACTTTCGATCTGAGTTGATAAGAATTGGATAACGTTGATAGTAGGATTAACCTGAGGCTTTTCATAGCTAAACTTATTAATATAGTCTTTACATTATTTAGAATACAATAAATCATGCACAAAATTGAACAAAATTAATAATGCCCAAAAAATTAATTAAAGTTAATGAGTAAAGCGACGATAGTAAGCATGGATACTAGTTTCAATTTAAATGAAAAAAATTACTATAGATAGCTTAAATTGTAAGATCTGTAGTATAGGGGTTACAACTAACTAACTTTCAAGCATTAGTAAACTTGCCTCATGTTCCTTACAATAGGGGCATATCCTCTCCACGATAGGAAATCATGGGTAGGATTTAAAGTAATTATTTACGTACGGTGTATGAAGTACATAAATTAGATGTAGTCGTAGTAGGTAATATGGGCTTTTGTCCTTCGATAATGAGAACTGGATAATCCAGAGATGAGGACTAATGCTCCAGCAATAGTGAATCAGCTTCGGTTATCACTATCTAGAATCTAAGAGATTTTGTGTTGGATTGAAATAAATTGAATATTTTAAGTTTATTGAAACCTGCTAAACAATCTTGATTTATTCGTAAGGAGGGAGAGGGGAGGGGAGACGGAGTGGTTTTAACATAATAATAGTAATTTACTATTGAACAAGATAGAAATATTATATTGGTTATTAGTTAAGGTCATTCAGATACGAATATAAATAGCTAAAGTTGAGGAAAATGGGAGATAGAAAAGTTTGATATGGTAAAGTAGAAGCTGAGATAGTTAGTCATTAAACAATATAACTAGAAAAACTTCCTAATACGAAGATCAATCAAATTATTCTACTATAAAGCATTAACTGTAAATATGGTACTAAATTCTTCACTCCCTGACATTAATTAAGCAAAAGTAAGCGTAGCTAATATTTTCTAATATATATAATTTTCCTTGCGGGTGAATCTGTTGATACGTAGATAATTTGACAATCTCTGGCAATGTAGATAGTCTAAATTCCTATTACAGTTTGTACAAAGCTTTTCATGATATTGGAAGTATCAGAAAATCCGTATTACATAGTAAGCGGAAAGTTGCTATCATGAGATTGCTAACAATTTAGAAAGATTGTCTGCTTACCCTATCAATTAGGTATACAGTATGAATACTAAGGACCTGTTTTTGAACAAAAGGCATGGTTAATTAACATCCTGAAGTACCAATACTACAGTCGCAGAAAATGAGTACAACATAGTATTGTATGAAAGATATAAGTGAACTGTACTGCATTTTTAAATTAGTACTGCACTCTTCTTTGTTTAGTATACGATACAGGAAAACATAGCAACGATGATCTTTCATTTAACAGAGTTGGTATTTTATAAGTCGTATTAATTATGACAACGTTAATAGAATTAAAAGTAATCGATATGAACATTCCAATAAATGCGCTCTTCCTAATAGATAGATTGCTTTGTAATAGTGTATAGGTTACTAAAGTATTTCTCGAATAAAGTAAAGGATAAACAAGTCGCGTTAAAGTGCAAACTTGTGTACATAGCATTCTGGTGATCGAGCGATCTACATGAGTCCTAAATGCATTTAGTGCTCCGCCAATTCTATCCCTTAACGAAGTCATAATGGTCTTAACAATAGTTATACCAAAATACCTTTCTACTTTTCGAATTTGCAGTCCTAAATTAAAGTAACATCCGATAATATCTGATAATAATGAATTAATCATTACAAATTACATGCTTACTGTGAGCGGCTAAGATTAATAAATCACCCAGCCTGGATAGGATAATCAAGTTAATTGAAATAGCAATTATTTCGCAGTAAATACTTTATTAGCCAAACATTGTGCTTATATAATATAATAGGCCAATAGCAAAGGTTAATACTCCTTATTGCATCGAATCTTTGGTAAGACCAGTAATCACAATACATCGTTATTTATGATAACAGTCAAATTACTATTCGATACTTGTAAACTGCATCGATTGGATGCAGAACCGTTGCTAGCATTCAAGAATATACGCTAAAAGGTAACGCTTATAAATTGATCCAATAGACTGCCATATACATAAATGTACTTTGATTAGTGGTGTTTCGATTCTACTTAGAAACTATGGCCAATGCGTGCATTAGTATCATCAAATCATTGCAGTATCGCTTATAATACAATAGTTATCTTAGTAAGTATACTATTAAGTGCAAGTTTATAATTTAAGAAGTAACTCGCCAAGTAAATACGAAATGAATGTCATTACAAGATAGATTTTACACTCATAAGAATAGCGTGTAGGTTATTTACAGATCTTAATTTAAGAGCAAATTTCAACTGTAATAAATAGATAGCCGAATTGAAGATCTCACAATTGTTCACATTGCACATTAGACAATAATGTACATCAACTGTGACTAATTTGCTAAATAGCATATTGTACACAAACACTGACGCAGATATAGACTTCAAGGCGAAGTAAAATCATTGTGCGTACATAGCCACCATACTATTGCGCATACAGATATCAAAAACTAAAATTAGTGAAATAGAAATTGCTGGACGCCAATTTCAGTAATACTAATTACTGGTTCTACAGAAGAGATAAAATTTATATCCTAATATGAATCGCTAAGTGGCTTAATAACTAAGATAGCTCATTGAGAAAATTCTGATACAACTAACAGAATCTGCTACTTTAAGAACGAATATCACCAAGTTAATATCTGGACAAATATATGACTACCGGAAATCTTTTTGATCATTTTTACATAGCATAAGGACATAACGGTGTGTCTATAATTGTGAAATAACAAAAAGAGGTTATAAAACTCGCACTAAAAGCCCCAAATAAGAAATATTTTGGTTGTATATTCACTCTGATGGATCTTAATTCCTGTCCACTTGATATCAACACACAAATATACCAATATGATGAAGCCGTAGTGACATTACCACCGCAAAGAAAGTCAATTGTAACAAAAACCTCAGTATCATGCATAAAAAGAAATGACAAAAATAATCAGTTACGTCATTAAGGTTCTTCAATAAATATAGCCTCAAATCCAGATAATTTACACAGCATAGCTTGATATTAAACAATTTTTGTGCTTGTATAAGTGCAGAAGATCGGCACGAGAGTTACAGTCATTATTCCATGCAAAGAATCAAGCTGGTATTACCCAAGACTTTATCGGTACGTGGGGTAGGATAAGAATCCATAATATGTTCATTTAGGTGTGAACTTCAGTCCGTTCCATGATATATAATAACTACTTTGCCGATATCATTCTAATATTTCGTAGAATAGCGTTGGTATAATTGATAAGTCGATTGGCACTTTCAAAAACGGCGTCAGCGCTGAAATTAAAATTTTAGTAAGATTAATCATGACAACTGCCTTATGCCTTAACAGGAAGTATCTAATTCTTACTTCTCCTCTTTAAAATATCGCTTTAGAGTGTCACTGAAATTCTTTGATTGCTGGATAAATTCTTTTTTTTGAACTTCTAAAAGCTAAAAGTACCCGTTACCGTCAATAACTGCAGTATAGAAATGATGACCATAATGGTACCTTAATGATGTATTATTTATTACACGTCTAGGATACCTTTTTAAAGTCCTTGTGCTTTTTGCATACATCATTTAAAGCATCTAACATTTCTTTTATAGCCGACGCGATACTCCTTTTATAAATAGTAAACATTGTAAGTTCGCATGCAAATATATTACTACCGGATTGCAATATTCATAAGGTAATTTCCGTATTAACTTACTTTATTGTGTTCAAGAATTTCGATCTATCTCCAATGTCGTCAGGTATCCTACTTAGGATCGACTTTAACGCTAATAAATAGATAAAGATGAACACAATTAGTTGTACAGTATAGCTTTATCGCAAGAATATGCAGAGGTACCAATAAGAAACACAAGCCCCATTTCTTACGCTTATCATAACTTATAGATATTACCCAGCTATATAATATTCGATGAATATTATTGGGTAACATAAACTGCATGGCTTAGTTATTAGTGACTAAAAATTTTTACTTCAATCTTGTATTCACTTATGATACCTGTAGATCTACTTGATAATCTTACAAATTCCTTTTCAGGACGATCAAGTTGATATTCTACAAAAGGAATATCATAACATATATATTTATTAACATTGGTTTCATCTGCATAAAACGAGTTGTGGTTGATTTCAACATAGAATTAAAATTTCTTCAACATTATAAATAATAGCACTTTCGCTATATTTGCAATAAACCAACACAGAATGCAAATTATTAAACATGCTCCAAAGGTAATGAAAGGATAATCTTATCATTACTAAAATAATAAACGTAAAAATTATAGATTTGAGTCATTTTATTCTCATAAGATGAGAAATTACTCATACTGTAGATAACTTACCTTTACAAGGAGTAACAGCATAACGTAACATGGATTGTTCAAAGTTTAAATCAGTTTTCGAATTATCTGTAACATCAAATGATCAATACGTGATTATCGAGAAAGGAGAATGGATAACTAGCCGAAAATGCAGTCATTGAATAAATGCATTAATTTGAAGTTGTAAGAATAGACTGAACCGTCTCCAACATTTATTATTGCAGGTCGTACATTTGATTTACTGAATATATGCATGATAATACGTAGATACAATTTACTATGATGTTCTAACATTGATATCATACTCGTACAGCATAATGATTGCAACAAATCTACAGCATATAAAAAGATGAATGTCTTTGATATTTCCTAAATTGATATTATACTAGTATGATGACATTGATAAATCTGTCGCGAATGAAATATTAGCGTCGCAATAAAATCTATCCTAAGAAAGAGAATGCTAAAGTAGCTAAAGTCTTTAGGAATAACTGAGTGCTTAACCATAGCATTGCACTCGCGGTAAATCACACAACGAATAAATTTCAGTATTGATTAAATGATAGGGTAAGCAAGAATATCCAAATTGAACAATGAACAAGCTATACCTGATTCTATGATAGCATTCAGAAATTGGTGCGTAATGCCAGGAATTTGACTCTCTATGTTAACGAAGGCATCGCGTAATATTTTGGCTCCATGGGTGTTCTGTCCTTGCTGTAACTGTTAATAACAACGATAGAGATGAATTATTGATATCGTCGTATTTTTACCATCCAAAGTTACATAATCGTATGCGAAGAAAAAACTGATTTGTATAATTAAAACGACTATCTATCAAATAGGCTTGTACATTAGAGCAAATATCCCAAATTTAAATACGGTTGTTAATTACGTTACTACACGAAAAACGAACCGATCACCTGCGAACTGACAATTCGATACAATCAACGCAATTATGTCGGGGAACGAATTAAAAGCCAGCGTAGGCTACTATTCTATAATAGGTTCATGACATAATTTTCTATCTTGTAGTAAATGCGAATACTTAGTAAACTGATTGCTAGCTAATCGTTTAACAAACTATGTAGTAGTAAATAAGTTTAATAAACACATTGTCTATTAGTTCTATGAGATAGAATCCCGACGATGTATTTTCTATCCAGTAGAAGAAAATTTAACAAACCCATTGACGACGCAATTATCTACTTGTAAGCAATCAGTTTAACAAACTATCTTGTAGTAAATAAGTTTAGCCAACTCACTGCGTTTAATAGTTCTATGAATTAGAATTGCGACGATGTAACTTTGTATCTAGTAGGTAGAAGTAAGTTTAACAAACATATTGACGATGTAATTTTCTATGCGGCAGTCAATAAGTTCAACAAACAGATTGTTCACTAAAATTGTATGAGATAGAATTTTGATTACTATTTATCTATCATGTTATTAGTAATTAATCCGTTGAACAGATTACCTTACGGTAGTTATGAGTAGCTATCGCTTGATAGAAATCGCAACGAAATAAAATTCTACCTTGAACTAAATACACTTCATACAAAGGATTGTTAACTAGTCTAGGCGCTGAAAGATATAAAATCCTGACTATGTAATTGTCGATCTTGTACGGAATAGGATTAACCGACACTGCCAACTTTGAAAAGCGAAATAGAATTTGGACGATAAATGTTTTTATCTTGTAGTAAATATGCTCAACAAATCGATTGTCAACGAAGTTATGAGATCGAATCATTATGGTATAATAATTTCTAACCTGTAGTGAATTGCTTAACAAAAAGATTGTTAACTAATACATGATTTAATTTTCGATTTTATAGTGATTCCTCTTAAGTAGGTTGTTCTTAACACACATGCCTATCAGAAAGGATCGAAAGGACATCATTTTCAACCCGGTAGTCAATACGTTTAACAAGACTATTGTTCACTCATAGGGATAGAAATTACATCAGCAGTCACTTTCGTTCATGGAATGGCGAATTGACTAGACAAGTAATTCAAGTATTGCCTTTTAAGGTATGCAATAGAATGTTTCAATTTATGGAGCGGTTAGAGTCGTCCATTGATAAATAGACCTTGTACAGAAGAAGGCCGCTTACAAACTGCATGATACAGTAGAGTCAGCATATCAGCAAGGTGAAATCAACTCTTGCAATGGCTGCACTTTCAGCTAGCTGAGCATCGATAGTGTTGATCCATCTTGATCAATTGTACAGTATGATGAATGTTTAAGTTGTCTTGGATTCGATTGCGTCGCGCTATATAGTATAGCTATTCGTATCGCGATGTGAAGCTCGTAGCCGCGGTCCTGAAGAAGGGACGAAGCTGTGGAAAAGAATACAGTAGATCATCGTTATACGATAACGATGCCTTTTGGATGATATGATAAAAGTGCTTTCTCTCTTTTATCCATGACTATCCTAAAAACTACCCATAGAACTGTTTGGACCGACGATCACCGTAGTCTAGGACTTTAAAGTGTAGAGTAGAAGTGGAAAATGGACAAGGAAGAAGCTTTCTATCGCCTTTTTCGCTATCTCTCAATGGCAACAGCGACGAGATGGATGGGTATGCTATGTCGTGCACAGGTATACCTACCTCATCGATCGTCGGCAGTACCATTCCATGTAATGCTAAGGAAGCCACCACCTTTTGCTCTTTCGAAGCAGAAGTAGCCATATTACTGCCTAATTGTATCTATCAAATGATGATTGAAAAAAAAATGAATTAATTAATTAATCGATCTTGCTAGTCCATCAATCCAAGCGTATTATCATCATTTTATGGAAAAATCAATCGATCAAATACACTATCTCTATCTGGTCATTGGGTACAATCTTACAGCTCAAGATTGGCTGATCAATGGAGACATTTTGGATTTTTTCCCATTGATTTTTTTTTCTTTAATTTTAATCAACAATTTATTTTGTTTGTTGTTTTTAATTGGATGGATGATGATTCGAGAATCGTTCATTTGACTCTTACAACTACAATGATCAAGGATAATTTATCGCTATCAATTTTAATAGCACATACAAATTGTATTTTCAATGAAGACGATTCATAATGTCGTACTGTCCATGGGATGGAGTTTGATCGCGATGGACAGTAAAGCTAAATATGAATCACTTCTCTGGCAGCAACTTGGCCAGAATAAACCGCATTGTCATCGTTTAGCATGGATAACGCCCGACCAACGCAGCAGCGACAAGATCGATGCGTAGAAATGAATATACACCACCTGATCAACACTTTCATTACCCTACCATTAGTCATGGTTAATCTTACCCTATTTGAAGTAATTTCAGATTTGCAATGACTGTGGTCAAGAGATGGACGAAGGATAAAGTTAGAAGTCCATGGAAGAAAATGAAGCAAGTTTTACTTTGACGCCTTTATTTTGCATACAATCTGGTTTTCAAAACATCTGACTTTCTTTTCTCCTCCCGCTGGGCTAAGGTCTTGACGTCCAGTAGTCCAGATGCAGGTCGGCCGTAGTCCAGGCGTCCGAAACCGCACCGTGCAACTACAGTACACTACACGTCGTAGTCCAGATGCAGGTCTGACGTAGTCCAGGCGTCCGAAACCGTACCGTGCATCTACTGTACACTACTAGTGTACACTGTACAGTACGCGTAATAGTCCAGATGCAGGTCTGCCGTAGTCCAGGCGTCCGAAACCGTACCGTGCATCTACTGTACACTACTAGTGTACAGTGTACAGTACGCGTAATAGTCCAGATGCAGGCCTGCCGTAGTCCAGGCGTCCGAAACCGTACAGTGCAACTACAGTACTGTACAGTGTACTGTACTGTACAGTACACGTCGTAGTCCAGATGCAGGTCTGCCGTAGTCCAGGCGTCCGAAACCGCACCGTGCAACTACAGTCCAGTACACATAAAAGTCCAGATGCAGGTCTGACGTACAGTAGTCCAGGCGTCCGAAACCGTACCATGTATCTACACTACTAGCGTACTGTACAGTGTACACTACACGTAATAGTCCAGATGCAGGTATGCCGCAGTCCGGGCGTCCGAAACCATACAGTGCAACTGCAGTACTGTACAGTGTACAGTGTACAGTACACGTCGTAGTCCAGAGGCAGGTCTGCCGTAGTCCAGGCGTCCGAAACCGACTACAGTCCTGTACAACGTGATTGGCTGCTCTTTGAACTCATACAGGACTCTACTTTACGCCGTGATTCAGTTGCTATTACTATACCGTACAGTACAGTACAGTACAGTAACCCTAACCCTATACGGTACAGTACAGTCCATGGTACGGTGGCCCAAAACTATGACACTGTAAGAACCTTTCATACAGTACAGTACAGTACAGGACAGTTCAGTACTGTACACTGTACACTGTACAGCAGCAGAAATATACTGTACTGCGACTCACCTATCACCACGTGACTTTAACTCGGTTGATTTGGATCTACCACTGACTGATTGATTGATTGTTTTGCATTTAAAATTTCAATCCAAGAAATAAAACTAATCAATACTGCAATAAAAAGTAATTCAAAATAGCAAGAGGCAATTGCTTAAGGCTGAACTGATCTGTCGACGTTGAATTGAAGCCAAATTTTAAAGGATATTTCTTCAAAATTGACAGATAGAGTTGAAGGCAACACTGCATCTAAACAGCTTGAGTTGACTACAGCACAGCAATGTACTGGACTATCAATGCATTTTGCCAACACATAACGATTGCAATGAGCTAAAATCATGACACAGGCTCTAGGCCCAATTCACTTTTTGTTTTGAATATCTAAAAGTCAATTTAAAAATTAGGAAAAAGAATTGGGTCTATAGATTGGGTATATTTCAACCGGTACAATGAGCATGCAGTGCCGTCGTTTTAGTGACATTTCCAGAAATGTCGCGCAAGACCAATGATTTCCATCTCTTTCATATCATCACCGACTGTCAAGACAGACCTCAAAAACAAGACTACACTAACTACCATACTAATATAATCGCTCGGGATTGATTTTGTCGCCAGTTTAGATTTTAAATAATTACACTATACGCGCATAGATTACGTAAACGAATGGCATAGAGTCGTCTTAGCTGCCTTCATGACATGGGATTAATGACTCTATTAACGTAAGGAAGCATCATTTCATTATGAGAGCAACACACTGAAGACTGAACGTAAATTGAAAATCACTGTGCTTTAAAAATTTTATTAATATAAATCAGCGGTTCAAGTAGATTGTCGATAGAAAAACGCAAGTGAATGATAAGCTGTTTTTCTTCACAACATTATTGCTCCTATTAACCTATTCTTACAAGGGACAGAATCAGTAAAATAATAAAGATATTCGTTATAGGGATACAAATGAACAACCAACGGTGCCTTTTCTTAACCACTATAGAATATAAGCAAAAACATCAGAAATTTTTCTTGGGTTGAATAAGCAAGATCAAAGATTCCATCTAAAATTGAGGTAAATTCGTGTCATACGTACATTAAATTACGGGTGTAATATTATGTCACTAAATGTAAGTATAATAATGAATTGCAGTAATAGAATCAATCGTGTACTAAGTCAGATGAATATACAGTTGATAAAGTAAAAAATTACTAGGAAAATCAGTGCAATACTACTTTAATTTAACTTGAATCTGTATAACAGGTATACCAATAATTATAATTAATTAATCAATCTGTCTAGTGAGTTCTATACAAGATGAATACTTTACATGAAAACATATTATGCAAGAAATAAACTTTCAGCCATAAACTCATCCCATATCTTACTATCCAATTATTATTAATCCTGCTAGTGTGTTTGTTATGCCTGTTATCTCGTACAAGCGGATTAATAAAAAATATATTAAATTATACATAAATCATACCATAAAAGTATATAGCAGTTTATATAAAGTCGAACAAACTGAAGTTTTATACACTAGATACATCATTTTACACGCCTAACAGTATCCAGCCTATCCTTGCATTTAGAATACAAGCTAGAATCTTACATACTTATTTCAGTGCAATTAATTAGCCTTTCAATGAAGTCTCCGCTTGTTGCAAACATCAATTTTTGTCTATCGTAAGGCCCAGAGCTGGAGGTTAATTACTCTAGATCTATTGACATTTTATAAAGTTCTTCTTCGGTATATTTCTTTACATCACATATTCTAGCTAATACTTAATGTACAGAAAATTGATAGATACAGTAGATGCTAAAATGATATTATCAATTTACATACCGATTGGAAGAAATATTTTTCTTTCTGAAATCGTTTCATCTCTTCCAGGACGACATACATATAACGCCTTTTCGTTAAATTAATTAAACCACCTCGCAAGTAATCTGGATTGCCGTCAGTAGCGAACGTTAAATCTTTTAAATAGATGCCTGATATGAAAAAAATGGACGGAAGATTTTTCTCTTAGTGATAAATTGATACTGCCTACGATAGTGCATAAATTTGGTATTCATAGCTACTAAAATTATAATTATCGATAATCAATATTACCGAAATAAGGAACAGCAGGAGTAGGCGCTGTCTTTATAGCGTCACGATATTCTTTGTAATTGCTCTATTGTAAAATGAATCAGACAGGACGTTAACTACAAAGAATAGCAAAGTTTAATCACATGGAGGAATGTAAATGGGATAACATCAATTATACACTCATTTATAATACAGCATGATTTTTCTACTTCTATTTCTTATGCTATAGAACAGAGACGCGATCTGGCCAAAAGACTTTATTGTCATCAATCAATATACCTTAGGATCCATCAAAATTTCCATATTATCATATTCGGCCAGAATTTCTTTCGAAATAAGCTACAGTATCAAACGCGGGAATAACATTAGAAAATCGAAATGAATCTTCTTTTCTACATCTAGAAATAGTAGCGTAATCTGTATGGTTTTGCTGTTATTTTAAAGTCAGAAATTAATTTACGGTACTACAGCATTAAAACTAATATTTAAGATTTATCTAATAAGAGATGAGATAAAACATTTTTAAATACCGCTTTCGTTTTTTCTAATCGGCGAATTGGACTGCTTCCAAGTCCGGCAACAACAATTGCCATAACCGCATTGTAATTTGCGAATTGCAAGCAATGCTACAAATAAATTTTATGAATATAAGATGATGTAACTTTGAGATTATTGTAGCATCCAAGCCATAGAGTGGATATCTATCAGTAAACTCTGTATTGTGCATGGTAGGGTATACTATATATTTACTGTATTTGTAATGAGGCTACGTTAATAGTTTAGTTACCTTGGCCGTTAATATAAATTGGCAAAGTATATGCGCTCTAACTTCGATATCCTTTTCCATTAATACAGAAGCAGTTACCCACTGACTTAACTAAAATATCAAAGAAGCAGAATATTCTTATGTCGATTAAACTTGAATAAAATAAAGTCTGTAGCCAGCATAATTTAATTAACTGAAAATAAAAGTAGTCCAATTTGTCATTGAAGACAGAGAAATAATTCTTTCATGCTTAGTATCAAGGTAAAGTTGCCATGATTAGGCCTTGAAAATGTTTTAAAGTGCCTTTATAGTCGCATACCTTATTAAATCTTTCAGCAAATCCCTGGATAGGATTATTCTCATCAAAATGTCTTTTCTTTTTCGACACACTTGAAAATTTTTTATGACACTCACTAACAGTGACTTGACGGAATAAATCTGTAATAGCATTACAACAATTACCAAGAGTCATATGTAATTAAGCCTATCTTAACTTGAAATAAAAAATTCTAGTGAAGTAAAGACGAATGCAACGTGCTTATTAACGCAGTAGTGTCCTATCAAACTTTATACTGAAATAGCTTTTATCTTAAATTCAATTTTACTGTATATTAGAATTTATTAATTATAAGAATATATAAAAATTCATTTGTTGTCCGTTATTAATCTAAATAGCTTACGGTGATCGATCAAGGTTATTTGCTTTGCCAGTTCTCTAGGATAACGTAAAAGATCGATATTTCTACAATACGATTAAATTATTAAAAGAAATTGAATAAGTATACGTCTATTTCCGTACAGTAAGTAGTTTAGGCGATTAGCAGGATGGCGATGAAGTATTAAGAGGTACAGTACAAAATCTTCTTTACTTACGTTATACTTTCTAGGTCCAATTCTGGCAAGTCCGGATCTGGTGGGCAAGGACATTTTGGGAAATCCACTACAATTCCATAACTTTCAATTGATTTAACGCCAGCCGGTTTAACCATATCCCTTCTTGAGAGGCTGCTCTCAGTTGATTTATTACTATTACTATAACCTAATTCGCTTTCTAGACTACCAAAAGTAGAATTTCTTGGTAATTTCTTTGTCTCATTTGTAGTTAAACTTTCCGCGATGCTGCTTGATGTTGATGCACGACTAATACTCCTTCCTTTAGAAGTATCATTAGCGTAAGCTTCATCTACTATGGTGCTAACATCGATAAAAGAATCGGTTGGTGAACTTGTAACGAAGGACGATTTACGGTAATCGTCGTTGGTATTTTTATTCTCAGCTAGAGAGAGATTGAGCGAAGTATTACTATCTTCACGAGGAATGGTATTGGATTGATGACGATCTCTTTGAGCTAGCCTAGGCGAAGTTCGCACGGTCTGATTTCTTTTACTTCTTGAATCTGGTGATGACGGATGATTGCGACGATACCATGTATTGGATTGGTCATCTAATAAAGAAGTACCGGTAGCTGGGGTCTGTGTAGACTCCCCAGATGATGATGATCGCCTTTCCACATAAACCCAGCTTTCATCTAATGAGGCATCAGAGTTCACAGAGTCGCGAGAAACTTGCTTCTTAATTGCTGGCGGCTGACTAAGTGCCCACACTTGCCTCATGCGCCACTTTGGAGTATCTGATGGAGGTTTCATGGGCGATCCACGTCCTTCTATATTTTGAGTTACGATATTACCATGCAAACATGAATACGAATCAAATTAATTTATTTATACAGGTACAAACAATCATCGACAGAAACAGTTGCATTATTGCCGTATGTCTTAACGTATTAGACATCATGACCAAATTCAAATACAAAAATTACATACGCGTACATAATTAGTATATAAAGGTATTATTAATGTAGATATGAAAAAAGTTTAAGTTACAATATGGCAGGCTGAAATAAATATGAAAAGCAAGAAAAGTAGCTGATGATATACCATAAAAATGATCGATATAGTAGCCTCTAAGTTCGTTTATGACGTAATTATTTATCCCTTTAATCTATTGAACATTACCATTATTTTGATGTGATCTTCTTCGCATTGGAACTGATCTTAGCCGTTCATCAACGTCCTTGCCGCTTGAATAAGAACTTCCATTAGAAGACTGTTTGGCAGTACTACTTCGACGAAGAGTTACACTTCCTGATCCTAAAGAAGACAAACTACCACCGTGGCTGACGGTTTTTGCTTTTAACTCTGCTACACTATGATAATTTTCAAGATCTTCTTCGGTAGCCGTAGAACTACTCAATCTTGCTGCAGCCTGAACAGTAATCGTTCTAGCATGTGCTGCCGCTGCCGCTCGACCCCAAGTCTGAGTTTCCTCAGCTAGTTTACTCCAGGGAGTTTTACTCATCTTTGAGATTCGCTATGAGAACAACAATTTAAACTAGTTAAAGTATAACCAATAATTATAATAATCATAATATACGATTATTCTCCTTTACTAACGTATATCACCAATGCAGCAATCTTACCTGCCAGTCTAATTCTTCAATACATGCCCAAAATAGCAGATCTAATTCCTGCCATTGCCTATTCAAATACAAACAGAAATCATGAATATAAACAAAGTAATCTAAATGCTGCATGGAATCAATTCATTTTTCACTGTAATTATTATTAGGATTTGAAATTACATACTGTTCATCCTCCAGAAGGAAGGTATGTGCTTTATTCGTAAAAGTCAACTGCATCGTAACCACATGGCCAAAATGTCCTGGTTCCCAACGTTTTAGTGTTTGAAAGCTATTATACGAGATCTTTTCCTAATTTTGGATATAGAAAATTACAGTTTCAGATAAATTAGTCACCATTTAAATCTAGTTGATAATATTTTTTTCGTAACTACTATCCATGTCGCAGCAAGTCACGGCCAGACATCAGATTGCGATAGAATGATTGTTATTATCTACCTGTAGAGCAATTAAAGCCATTGCTAATAAGAGAATGTAAATGATCTTACCTTTGTTTTAGCATCAATCATAATGACATGTTTTGGATGTATACATAGCAATCGTTTCTCGTATTCTGCTTTGGGACGTTTGTGCTTACTATTGGCGACAACAATCACTTCCTGGATATTATCAGAAGTTAAGATATACAAGATGTCAGATTTTTATAGAATGCAGTGATGTATTTTGCGTATGTTAGGGTGGCAGTACCTCTAAATTAAAGACGCAGCAACCATACGTTGTTAACGATTGGCAATAATCGATGTAAGAATGCTTCGCGTTTCGCTCTGATGGATTATCTAGACATAAATCTTCGTGCAGTTCTTTGACCCTAACCAAAAAAAAGTGTTTCAATATCACTAGAGGGAATTTTTTATGATGCGAAGAATGATATTAAGTACACTAACTGCGTCATTATTTATAGTACGTATTGGTTTTGAACGATAATTCTAACTTATAATACATTTACGTATCCTCAGCTTATGAATTCTTGACCTACATTTTAGTTGCCAATTTTGATTTTGCAAAGACGTTAGGCAAGCAATACTTTATTCGGCTACTAGATGCTCTATAATTAAGAGATAATATCAAATTCATGTTACCAGCGAATTAAATAGTAATGCATATTAAATATTGAATTACAAATATTATATCGCACACTATAGAAATGAACACAAATTAATTTCAGAAGTATTGGGATATTGTGACATATTTATCATCATAATAACTACGGTATTTATCCTACGATGTTATCTGAAAGTATTTATTTCAATTTCAACCTGCTAACAACCAAATCCTGGTCAGGATTATTGATTAAAATTTGTTTCTTTGGCTTTAGGAAGTGTAATGAATAGTTATTGTCATGATTTTCTTCTATAACACCGGTGATATCCTAATTAAGTCCATATAACAACAATTTAAGTGATTTTATCATTAATTAAATAAACTGGATGAAAGCCATGATGACAGATTCGATAAACATCTATCGAAGATCATACCTCAATATAAAGCTGAATGCTAGCGAGTTTTGCAGCTTCTTCGATAGAGCAAGGTTGCGTTCCACCGATAATATCAAACTTACACTATTATATAGAAATCATGCATAATATTAATATCTAAAATAGTGAAGGTAAATGACAAAAGAAATATTTAAAGTATTCACTAATTTATCTACTCATTTAAATGAACATTGCAAGCAAACTTGCAATCTATTATAAGAATAACAGCGCACTGGATATAAATTTTAACCTGTTCATATAGTTTATTATGGATCGCTTCAAAGGAACCTGTTCCCTCAAGGTTAGAGTCAGATAATTTTCGGGTCTGAAATAAAAAGTTGCAATAAGTGACAGTCGCTTTAAGTTTGAAACGTTAGTTTCATGCCAATCAGTATTTTAATATCATTAATCTTAGATTAATAAAAACAAAATTCAAAATTTTAATTTTATGTTTTACCTTTATTTTGCCTAAGAGTTCTTCCAATCTCGCTGCAGCCGGTCGATAAGGACCACCGGCAAGTCTCATAGATGGAATAAGTTTACTCAAGGAAATCTAATTATTAGGAAAGATCAAAAATTACTTGGCTCATTAGGTTAACGTATCAATATAAATTCCATACCGCTAAGCCGTAATTGGTAACGAAATCATCAGAAAAGTTTTCCAACCACATTTCCCATACTCTCATTAAATAAACGTGAACTAAAGGTAATGGCGAATACATTTCCATGGGATTTTCACTATCGATGGGTGATGAACTAGATTTAATCTTCCATCCAAATATTCGAGATGCAGATGGATGACGAAATCTGCAAAAATAACGAATAAGTTATAATCAAGAGCGCTCGTGTAATCAAATACATAAAGATCTAATGTTCTTTAAGGGATAAACAATGAAATCAGTTTTAACGCAAGACATCAGTATCTTTCTCTTACCGATGCAGTAATAAATTCATCAATATTTCAGCGCTAACAAACGTTGAAAACATGGTCAAGATAAACTCTAATATTTGTTCACTTGCGAGAACAGTCGAATGTTTTTCATCACTATTCTCTCGTAAATCACCGGACGAATTTCGTGTCAGCGATGAGCCACCCCATAAAACCGATGAATTTCCAGTTAATATTTCAACAATTCGTTCTAAAGTCGTGCCCCTGTAATTAAATAATCAGTATAAGTACACTGGTAAATTCAGGTACAATTCTATTTCTTTTTATGATAAAGGTCTTTCATTAAGCTTCGCTCAGGGGATCGCAAGAAAGTGAATTAGGTCATACAGTTTTTACCTGATATAGTCGTGCTCAGATTGATTATCGTTGGCGTATATTACGTCGCCCAACATTTCATCATAATCTTGGCTAAAGAGATAGATATGTAAATCATAATAGCCCATGTAGACTAAACAGCGAGCGGCATGATATTGCATGAAAGGATCCTTTGATGAAAGCAACGGCTATTCAAAAATAGTCAAAGGCATCAATTTTAGTTCAAAAGCAAGTGAAATTAAGATCTAAATAGCAACTTAGCCCATTAACCGTACTATGCTAAGTAGGATCGAAAATAAGCAATGGCTGATAATACTAATTATTTTACCCTGAGTGCGTATGAAATATTATATTCTTCCAGTACGGCATGGTTATCTGCATCCATAGCAATATTAGCAACAGTACAACCCAAAAGATAAGATTCAGTAGGAGGAAGGAGTGCATGAGTTGTACATAACAGTGCAATAGCTTTAGCTTGGCTTAAGCTCCTTCTAATTTTGGAATAAATACTAGTCCGAGCAAGAACTTTGCTGGCCATACTTATTATTTCACTATAGTAAAGAGAAAATAAGTATGAGCCATAAGTATATGTCTATTACCACTTTTATAAATAAACCGGATTTAAATTGCCGGTTTTTAGCTAATCAATAATAAAAAAAAATAATAAGGATAGGAATATTCAGTTTAATATAAGGAGTTGCTCAATTTTATTACTTACTTATCTTTCAGGTTATGGCTATTCAATACATATTGTCTATACATATCATCTATTGCATTAGGATCAAATTCATCAGCTCGCATATCTTGCTCAGCTTCACATTGAGCGACTAAATCAAGCATAGGATCAACGTGGAAATGCGATAGGACTGTACAAAATTCCCGATCGCTGTCGATATGGAGTAATTCCCATATCAACGATAAACTTATTTTCTAAAATGGATTAAAGGAAGTTCACAAAGACATAGATTAATATTCCATAACGCTATATATCAATGATGCAAATAGTATTATTAGCTTATTTTCTAAAATAGATTTAAATAAAGTTAGAAAAGCATAGGTTGATATTTCATAATTTTATCTACCGTACAAATCGTTTAAATACTATCTATAGATAAGGCTTAATTCTTTACGTTTATTTGACTACTTTACCCCATAAATTGTTAGGAGTGAGATATCTCGTCAATTAAATTGACAAATCGCTAGCAGTATGCAAGGTATTTTCATATAAGTTCTTATCTGTTTAAGCGTACTTACTTTGATCAGATCAGCTTTAGAATCCAATAAATCAGACAGCAAATTAACAATTCCGCTATTGATAGATTTCTTTTGACTATTAATACCATCGGACTGATCAAGAAATAAAGAGGGAAAAATATTAATCTAACTGGATAGATTATATAGACATTTAAGAATTTTATTAACATAATCTGCTTTTACATGTCGACTTAAGCTTAGAAGTAATTAAAATACTGTGAGAACCAATGTCTGTCGATTAAAAATTTAAAATATATTATAATTTTCATATTTACTTACTTTACACAGTGTAAATATAAACGAAGCCAAATAACGGGGAAGAGATTTTACAGAAGATTCCGTGTGTGCTAAAGCTGTCAACTGAACAGATAAAGTTCTTGGTGAACTTTTCGGGTTATTCTTCTGCAAGATACTGTTTGGAGCGAAGAGTAAGGATAATATTATAGTATGACATTCTGGATTCTTGGAAAGAATTGCTAAACTTCGAAGATTTTTAGCGGCTTTTTCTTCTTGCCCAAATATTTCTTTACTGTCAAAATCTTCTAATTCTGCTGGATCATCGGGAAGCACAGCTTTATTATTTGGCCCTTCGAGATAGCTGTTTTCAATCTTTAACGTTTGAATAAGCTCTACATTACTAATCTTATTCTTGATAATATCTTCTCGTGATAGTGGCTTTTGATCGAATGAGTGACCTATTGAAAGCTTTAGTGAAGAAGTGTCAGGCAGATCGTTATTCCCTTGCCTATTACATGATAAATTGGAATTTTCTTCCACAAAGACATCATCCCAAGCATCCATTTCGGAAAATACGCCACCCCAAGCGTCCAAATCACTGCTAAACTCATTGTCGTTGATATTGTCATCACTCATCAAATTTTCTCCTTGGTAAACTGGTACCAAGTCGTCCTTATTATTATCAGAAAAAGAAGAATTTTCTTTAGTGATTTGTCTCCTACTATTGCCTCCGCTCTGATGTGATGCTTGAAGTTCGGTATTAGCAGGCGCCAATTTAACGTTGGTAGTCTCTTTATTTACAGTCGTACTAGATTCAGTTATTTCATTAGTAGCTTTTATAAATTCACTTTTTAAAGAGTCCTTTAAAGTATTACTTTCGTCACTAAGAATTTCACTTTGATCATCAAAGCTATCATGTAAAGCAGCATCAAGAACATTCGGAAAATTAGTCAATTTATCCGACCCATCACCAAATTCGATGTCATAGTTAACATTTTCCTCATCACTCCCCGGTATATCACTTTGTTGCTTATTAGGAACCGCTAGTAAATTATCAGGATTATCATTTGAATTTTCTTCAATGCCACCTAATTTAAGTCTTACTTCTTCATTTGTTATAGAAAAATTCGATCGACTTTCTATACTTTTTATGGAACCTGTTCCTGATCCTACCGAACTTTTAGAATTAACTCTAGAGCGAATTCTAAATATTGCTCCAACATCAATTGTGCATAATTCATCGTTGCATTTTAGGATCATTTCTCGTTGGATAACTCGTAGCTCCTAGAATTAGATTTTAAATATGATATCAAAGCAATTAGTTGTTCAAAGGTATTGCTTACAACTATAAACTACGATTGAAAAATCGGATTGGCAAGAACAACTAACCGGCTCAATATCGACAGGTCTTGTACTACTGGAATCGGCCTCGCTGATTCTTGCTCCATATTCGACAAGTAGTAACATCATTTTACGATCTAATTGCAGACCCATAACCAGATGTAATGCTGTACGCCTATTGGCAATGAGGTTAAAATTTCTCAGTAATAATAATGGTATGAAAGCGTTAATTCCAGCAACAACTCCTATCGCGCGAAAAATCATTGGGCTGAGCAACTAAACTGTTTGGTATTCATAATTAGAACTAGAAGTGGTAGATATTGTTACGTTACCTCTACTCTACATTAGTTGATCTAAGGGATAATTTTTACTGTTAAATTATGAAAATACAATCCACAAAACAGTGTAGTCTGTTAATTTATTCGATGTTTCAATTATAATATTGTGGATAGTTCTTACCCGTGCGTATCTTTAATAGTAACATCGGCTCCGTGGCAAAGTAAACGTTTGACAATTGAAAAATTGCCGGTAGTTACACCGACATGAAGTGGTGTCCTCTTGTCTCTATTTTGAACATTGACGTTAGCGCCCCTGTATTGGAATAGAATTAACGTTAATACAGCATATGAGAAAGAAAAGGATTCCATAATATTTTTCCTGAGATTCAATTACGGTCGATTTACAAGTACGATAACTTAATTAATCAGCGATATATACAGTGAAATATGTAATGACGATACTCGATTGCTATTTTCCAGCTCTTACGTAGAAATTTACTACGGCTGTAATAAAAATTTGCGTTATTTACACTAGAATTAACTCCGAAGTTATATAGATATATTTTGCTTATGCTAATATCAATTGGAGTCTATAAGCATCATGATGATCTAGCGATAATTGGTCTATCAAAGGTCGACCTTATATAGAGTAGCTTTACCAACTGTTGGAAGTAGCGTTTAGATAGATTACTTTCGTTTAGTGAAGGAGTAAGGTCCAGCAAGGGGTATTTATGGTGCCGTATGTTTGCCATTTAAGTTAAAATTCTTATTAACTATCCGGATTAATCATTAATATGCGCTACAGCAGGACGTAATGTATGCGTAGTTTAACATAATTATGCGCTCATTCCCTCAAGATTTAGCTTTACTACAGGTTTATCGTTAATAATTCTAGATAGATCTTAACCTTTCCAGGAAAAAATTGATCGAAGATAAACTTTCACTTGATACTGAATGATGCAGCAAGCTGTAGCCAGTTTCAGGATCGATAGAATCAACGCTGATCGATGTTTCATCAATAATTTCTTTTAATTTTTCAGAATTATCTAGCCTGAATCGATCGGCAGCAAATTGTATATCGTTTAATAATCACATAACCATAACATCTTGAGTACGGTAAATTAAAACAATACCATACAAACTAGCTCACTTTGCTAAATTTTAAAATATAGAACAAACCTGTAATCATATTTATATATTTCACTAACAACACGGCGAACTGCCTCTCTTGTATCTAATTGGGTTGGCTGTTGATTATGTTGCTTGACTAAGTTCGATCTACACATCGATTTTCGGCATCCATTGAGTACGTTATTCCATCAGTGTAAGTTCGTCGACATGATTAAAATTGAAATAATATCCCCCAAAAACAATAAAATGATAAATTAAGCAAAAAGAATCTCAAAGCAAATTTTTAGCTCTGCTAAGGAACTGCAATGAAATAACATCGATTAGAAATAACTGCAGACGTAGCGGTATAGATCTACAAAAAATGAATGGCTGAGTTCTAAACTTACTTTATTTTACTTTTAAGTTTCTGATAAGTACTCTGAACATCTTTAATACTTTGATAAAATTTATGTTGGTTAACCGATAAATTTCCATCGACTTGGCTGTCATTAGTCTTAGTCGCACTTTGTTGATGGACTTTTTCGCTATCCCCTTTATCATCGATTTTGTTAGTAACATCATTATATTGACGGGAAGAACTGGATTTATTTTGATTTTGCATTCTATATTTATGGAGATTAACATAAATATCGGTAGGATCATAAAATTTTTTATTGGATTTTACATCATTTTGCTCGTCGCCGCCCACTTCTTCAAATACTTCGGAGACATTATAACTAGTCCATTGATTTGCAATACTACGTCTACTTTGATATGACTTTCTGGCTTCGTATAGATCTGGAGTAATGCTAGCTTTAAACTCGGCCATAACTGCGCCGCTCTTATTTTCGCCTGTTTGCTCATCCACTTGCTTAGCCGGATTACCTCTAGTCGAATCATTTGCATGTGCAGATACCTCAAGATTTCCGGCTGGGCTACGAACCTGAATGACCACATCGGATTTACTATTATCACTATTGGTTTTAGTACGAACAGTACTATAAGGATCTTCTTCATCTTCTGTTTGATACTGAGGTGTCCCTTGGGTAGTTATATTTTCTTGTCCTGGTTGACTTAGGGCTAATTTAAGTTTAGCCTTACGAATGTCTTTTATAGAACTATAAGGGTCTTCCTCATTTAATTTATCTTTAACCGTACTATAGGGATTTTCTTCGTTTGATTTGTTTTTAACCGAACTATAAGGATTTTCGTCAACACGTTTATTTTTAACTGTACTATATGGATTTTCTTCACCGAGTTTATTTTTAATTGTACTATAAGGATCTTCTACTTCATCCTTTTTCACGGTATTCTTTAAACTAGCATATAGAGTTTCTCTATTCGCTACATCTTCATCATCATGGCCTGACGAATTTCTCGCTACATCTGGTACTGGTGGTAGCGGTCGAATTTGTAGTCCATGGCTCTCATTAGCGTGATGAGATTGACTAACTTCTGCATTATCGTAGTTGAAATTCTTTGGAATGGGTGGTAATTGTCGTGTTTCCATCGAGTTCGATAAACCATCATGACTATCCCTCGAGATCCCTGTTGACAAGGTGTTAGGGTTATCGACATTAAGAAAATTGCTGCTATATCGAGATCGTTGCTGGCTGCCATTATCAGAACGAGCCATTTCATCAGATGCCTTTAAATAGTAAAGCCATAATTTGGAAATTCGTTAAAATAGGTAAAGAAAAAGAGTTCAAATGTCTTTATACATCAATAATCCTGCACTAAGGTTCAAAAAATGATTCTTGCATTTCATTAAGATAGTAAAAAAATGGCTACCGTTAACAAAACCTACCGGTGTTGATTTCGATGTTGGCGCAGCTTGAGTAGGAATCGTTGATTTTCGTTGCTTGGACTTTTTAGCCATTTTTCCTAGGGCTTCAAATGCTTCAGCAATTTTAACCAAAAACTTTTCCGCCTTTCAAGATAAATAAGTCATGGGATAAAAGTTAAACTTATAATCAATAAATTCGTTTCTAATTAGCGGTCAATCAAGGGAGATCAATTTTATGCATATCAATTAAAATAAAGGGAAATTTACTAAAACATCACTAAAATAAACGGAAGCATAAAGTGCTATCGTATTGATGAGTAATTCCCCAAAAATATTCAATATCAGCATTTACTTCATAGGTCGTTGCTGCTTGCATGACATGGCAAACATGAGAATCATCGGTAGTAACATTGACTGCAAAACATTTTTCGAAACCCTTGACAAATTCTTTACCACATAACGCTACTTTCTGTATTGGGATATCAAGAATTGTGTCTTCACTTTCTAAATCATAAATAATAACTTGGAAATTTCTCATTTCAAATCGTGAGTGAGTTCTACGTATCCTTTGTTGAACAACAAATCGAATGGCTTGTTTTAACGTTTGCAGCGAGCGAGCATCGGATACTGGCAAATAGCCCATATACTTAACCGTTAGCTCTAGGTTGCGCAAGGAAAATGATGCCGACTTTGTAGGCTCTTTCTTTTCCTTCTTTTCATAACTGTTAGAATCACTGAGTGACAATCGGACACTTTTCTTTAATGATTTCAGCATATCGGTATAGACTAGGAAATTGAGATATTTACAATCTTTTTATCCACCAAATAATCTGGTATAGTATCAAATGGAACGATACATTAAATTCAACACTAAATTAAGCCCAGACCATCGAGAGAATAAATTCAATAAAAATTTGTACAAGAAATAGCCAAATTATCCTTTGTAGCAATATCGAGATGGTGGTAAAATCTGCGATTACAATTCGTAAAGAAATTAATCTAGCCGATAGTTCTCGATATATCACTATCACACTAGACCTGTTTAATTAATCAACTTTATATTGCTATCGTCCTTATGTTGCTGCATTTTGCTGCATTTTAGCGCCGAATTTCACGGTTATCAAGCCTATGGATGGAATAGATACAACCATATTAACATCATAATTCAAATTTTGCTAGCACACTAGACAATTTTATCCATTAATAAATTCTTGAACATGAATCTTTCTTTCATGGAAATATCAACATTAATCAAAGAGATAAAACAAATTGGATACATCGCCTATTTGGTTACACATTATCGCAACGATTGTAAGTTGTTCATTTTGTCATGAGAATTACAATATTATATGAAATCAAAAGAGATGGTTTGCAGATTACTGCAGTCTCAGAAATAAAAATAATAATATCGTGGATAGGATAACATCTCATGTTATGGAGATACTACTATTTGATTATTAAGCAATATCATTTAAATCACGATATGAAGCAATAGACTGTTTTATATTGATTTTATCGATATTGTCAAATTGAGAAGATTAAAACATTTTTACTAAACATTTTTAATCGAACATTAACCATCATGGTACGCCATTGTGCTAGTATTCCCGTATAATTAAGTTGCATATTGTCGTAAATCTAAAGCGATATTTTTAACTATGGTCTTTGTCAATAACATTGACAAAGTCCGATTGCATAACATCTTACAACAGAGTTGATTTTCCCTTCTAATAATTGTAATTAGTACAAATTTTAAGGCAATGCATAGCATAGACTCCTTCTCGTAGTCTATGGCTACCTATAGTACGAAATACTTGATCAAATAGACGGCCGGTCTTTATCAAAAGGACCGGTGTTGTTTTGAGATTGCTAAATCTTAAAAGTAAGAATGCCTACAGTTCTTCCTGTTGATTAAGATAGCCATCGCTAATCCAGTAGGCATAAATTATGATGTCGTTGTTGCGGTCAACTTTTAAAGTTTAAGATTATATAGAGAATGAGTTCATAAGCATGTACAAAGAAAAATAATATCGGCCAATAAACCACTTTCGTGTACTGCAGTATTTGTTTTCATCGATCTAGAATTCATCTTAAACACAAATTATGTACTTGACAGAGTTGATAAGTCCAATTCAAGCTATAGTAAGACATTGATCGTAAAAAAATATCTTGCTGAAAGTGGCCTTAGACTATTTATGATCGTTTAGCCCATTTTTTTACGTTCTAATCGACCTTTATTATATCTGTTATTAAGTCATTGCATAAAGTCGAAGTATTATTCCATTACTGATCTTATTTACTTCAGTTATTGTTACTTCAGTTTATGTTATCCATAAAATTGAATCGTTATAATAGCAAGGTTATGCTGAGTCACATTGTATACATTTTATTAATGTATGATTTTACTGTTGTCTTTGTTATTTTATTTCGTGTTTTCTTTCCAGGTATTAATCGAACATACGATAGGAATCTATTTTAATTTAAACTGTTGCGACATAAGTCTAAGAAGGAAAAAGTATATTTTTTGTAATTTGAGATGATAGAATACAGTATAATACTTCATTTCAAGTGATATGATGCAATATTTATTGTTAAGACGTATTTTGACCCATAACTCCAATCTGCTCGTTTTTAATATTGCTCATAAAGATAGAGTTTCGATGTTGCTCGTATCGATAAACGAGAGGAATGAAACTAACAGAAGATTTTAAAGCATAGTTATCATTCAATCAACCTTGATTTCATGATACATAGGAAAGGAAATAGATTACAGAAGTTTCTAATTGAGTGCCATTTGCTTTCGGGTTGGGAAATTTGAAAAAATTCAATTATGATCGCGGTCTTAAGCAACATAATTTATTGCTAAGTACTAGGATTATCATAGGCTAATAATTATAATTATAATAGAACGCTAAGTAGAAAAATTAGAATGTTAGCAGCCGGGAGAAACTCAATTACTTTCCCTTGAAGAAGTTAATTGATGGTCAAATGAAAAACTACTTTGTTACTGTGATAAAAAAGTAGAAAATTGGCACATGTATAAATTACATCAATTTGACTAATTACATACAAAGTTTATCTAGGCAACGATAGAAGAGTAAATAGGCGGTAAAGATTCTGTTGAAAAAGTTTAAGATGATACAATAAAATCTCCTAGTTAGTTATATTGCTATGTAAGTAAGGAGGTATCGACGTAGTGGCACAACCTCGAATGAATTATTCGATAGAAGGCAAGAGAACTACTTCAACGAAGATTGCACTGTTGAAAGATTATCTATGCGATCTGTAGGATAATATTGAAAGAAGCGCCAAATCGTAGTAAGACATTACTGTAATCATTGTCATTTGCCTACTAGCTATAACTTAGTAAAGTCCTTGTCAATTGTCATTGTTAACAGCAACAACATTTGTATCTGCTAATGAAATCAATTTTTCAGCTTTACTCTTACCTAAACCAGGTAAAATGAATTCTTTTCGCCCTTAACTTATTCATCCGATATTAAATAGGCACGAAAAAATGGATAAAACTAATCATCAATAGTTAGACCACTCTGCTCACTTCGGCATCCATGGATAGAATACTCTTTATGATTGAGCCCTTAATCCAGTTTAATCAATAGTTCAATACAATGTTCTAACTCGTTGATCTTGACGTTTACGTGATCAAGTTATAAATAAAATTGATTGGATGCAATTATAGCATTAGTTACAGTATCTACAATAATTTTTTACAGTTATTTGGATAATTTGTAGCTTTAATGTCCAAGAAATATTTAATAATAGAGAAAGAAGGGGAAATGTCTTCTACACTTTAACAATCCACGATATTAATAAAAGATAAAAATTTATTCAATTTCTTATAACAATTAAATCTAGTCTCTTTCATGTTCTAGATTTTAATAAGGATCAGAGGATGGAGATGGACGTCATATGAATTGTATTTTTTGCTAATGGTACACAAATTATGATAGATTTAGATGGAAATAATATATTATGGATAGTTGGCAACAGGCGCATACCAATAATGTAGCAGTATTCATTAATGTCCACTTCTTTCTCCACAGAATAATCATGTGATAATAATAAATGCTGATAGATAATTTCTTTTTTATTCTATTTGTATAGGAAGATATTCATCCTATTTGAAATAACTCAAGGCAAATAATAGCGATAGTTAACTATTATCATAATCATTATTGTGCAAGTACCGCCGATGAATACATCTAAGCAACCAGACTAAGAAGGCCGTCATTGAATAAATTGATGGCAATCAAGGCCTAATCATCATCATAATAATATTAATGTATGCATTGGGCACGATTTGATCCATTCTGAGTCTACATCATCCAATGAAATTATATCATGACTAATAATAACTCGCATTATTCAATTAATATCAACAATAATCGAGCTGACAGGCGTCTTTCATCATCAGCTATTGTCTGTTCCATGATGTGAAGGCTTTGCTGGAATAAATTATTATAGACATTTTACATTAAGCTTCTATCGATAATTTCTAATATTTGAATTTGTTTTAACTCTTAAGTGACATTATAATGACCGATGTTGACGATGGCAGCAACAACTTATGCCTACTAAATTAAAAGTGATCATGCACTGTAGTACTGAAACTTGACGCCTAACCTTGCTATATTATAAACAGAAGAAATATTCCATATCTTTCACCTCTACCGCATCCATAAGTATTCACTTTCAAGTAATCTATTTTGCATTACTGGCTTTCAACACTTTATAATCTATGTTGTACGGCTGCAATGAGTTAAAATCACTTTTATATCTGTCCTTATCCTCAATCTAAACTCGATTCTAATTTGTCATCAACTAAAATAATCTTTTCTTTTACACAACTACCTAACACATCATATCACGTATTAACTGCCAGATGGCATTTTGATGCAATCGCTTTCCTTATTTCTAGCAATAAAAGACTAATATCCAGCATTATACACCATTACACAGTAACTGCAACTTCTGCCATAGGTACTAGCAGCTAGCTAGCATAGTATTATAGAATTGGTAGTTGGTAATCATTGGAGTATTGATAAAAGAAAATCAGGTTATGATAGCCTCAGAGGACGATAATACAGTAGTTTAATTTAGGTTACTTCTTTAGTACACATATATTGTCTACGGTTTAGCGCAATTATTTATTCATCGTATCACAAGGAGGCTTCTGGGTGTATGAGTTAAACTTATATTAATATTGCTCAATAGATTGATATAATTGGTTGATTGGTTATCGGATGTTAGCTAGTCTTTGTTATTATGATAGAAAATTGTTTTAATCAAGGGTAATAAATCAATGTTTACATTGACTTGGTAGCTGGGTACTTTCCGGATGAATAGTGAAAGATCTGCTAATCATCTGTCAATTATCGTCACAACTAAACCTACAACGGAAAACTTTCGTTCACTGCCAAAGGCTTCTTAATTTTATAAGATATTATTAGGCATTTCCAGATAACACTCTGATCTTTTGCTCTAATTTTAATAAATTCAGTTAAAACCAGAATGAATGATTGAAATAAAAATGTCTGTGTATTGATTTCTATTTGCATGCTAGTTAATTTATCTTCGTACTAGAGGCATATCATAGCAGGGTGTTGTTAAATTTTTGTTGTAAATCGGATCTCAACTTTTATTACCTTATTTTAGGTTAGGCAGTTAAACTAAACTTAGTATAGTCTTCCTAGGAAATCGGTAAGGCTTTTCACTTGTATTTTTCCACCTCTTTCCATGGTAGTTAGAATAAAAATTATATTTATCAGACCTGCATTAAATAATCTGCCATCTTTATCTCGCACTGTAAGAGGCTTCAGAATGATATAAATTACTGTTAGATTAATTTAGAAGCCTTCCTAAGGTGCCAGAAAGGCCTTTTCACTTGCACTTTATCCACTTCTTTCTATGGCAGCTGAAAAAAGTTTATTTATCACTGTGATGGAGCGTTCAATATCTCAGAGGATTGAGATTTAGTCGCCATTTACAATTATTACAACAAAGGGGTTATAAAAATTATGCTTATTGTAGGTTAGTAATGTGAAGTACAGTGAGGTAGTTATGTAGATTAGGATGCAAGCTGTCGTGAGTAACGAGTAGAAGTATTAGACTGTGAAAGACTAACTAGAAGACTAACTGAGAGGCTAATGAACTCTGAGGTAGAAATCGCCGGTATTTATAGTTTTGAAGATAGAGCACATGCAGAGAATAGGATTGTGGAATTAGATACAACATATGCCATAACAGGTTACAAAATAGCAGATGATTGTAGAAAACAGCGAGTACCGTAATAACTAAATACAGTAGTCTATATATGAATGTAGAGTAAGCGGACTGTAGATCTGTCTAAATATAAGAGCAATACAACATGTCTATATTTAAGGGTAGAATATAGTTACAGTATATTCTAAATACACTACAATCACATTTGGATTAAATGATTTGGCATCTTATTTAGAATCTTAGGAAGCTTCGGAACGATGTAAACTATCTCAAACTAATCTATTTAATTTCAAACTAATCTATTTAATATTAATTATATAATATTCGTTTAAATGATGTTCTTTGTCCTTTCTTAGGTCGTAGGATACTTTTTAGACTAGATGTTCATGTCTTTTAAGCATGAATATTATATCGAATCAGGCCTGAACAAACATGAAAGGTCACCAAGTCATATATAATATATATAATTATTAGAAAGATTACTGATGCTGTTGTCCAAAAGTAAATTTACGTTGTTCAAAAACTAATATTTTTGCTTATTAAACATCTGTATTGCGATATTGGACTGTACTGTACATTAAAAAATTTTAGCTGCAAAATTATCGTCCAAATGATGTGCAGCAAAAGTTATTATATCATCAGTTATACTTTAATGTATTGGTTCATTTAATAAACTGCCATGAAATTGACAGCGATCGTTAATGCAGTATACCATAAAGTAACATTAGCTACGCCTATCTTTACAACAACAATATCCAAGCGCTGTAAGCTAACGAAAGAAAGTATGCTAATGCTTCCCTTGTATCAGTAATTATAATATCTTAACCTTTAATATAATACAAGGAAAAATTATTATTTAAATCAGTATCCACTACCTAAAGCATGTACAAAGTGCTGCTTGCCCCCTGTGATATCCGTGAACCACTCGAAATGTTATACAGATGGTGTTACCTTTTAATTAATGCGTATATAATGTCATCAATACTATAAAATATGGCTCCAATTTGTCTTTGATATTCCTTTCCCTTCAATGGAGTGTAGCGTGGTTAACCCAGTATTTTTTCAAGGTGAAATGTATGACCTCCATATTAAAAATTCAATTATGCTCCGGTACAGTACGGGCCAAAAGTCAAATAACCCTAAATTTTCTGATTTATTAATAAATCATACGCAATGAAATAGATGATGTAATAGTGTATTACCGCTTACTTATATTAATGGCAATGTTAAGTCTAGTTTAATGATCTAAATTCAATCATTTTCGCTTTGTAAAATTTCCATTGCAACTTTATCAAATGCGTAAAAGTACTACTTATGGAATCGACTTGCTAACCAGTCTCACATGGTCTATCTGTTGCTTCTAGCCGATACTCTGAAATAAAAACCATACTTTCCACCATTTATGATTGCCTGCACAAAAATACAGCAAATATATTGTAGGAATCATAGGATCACAGTATTGATCTATATATATAGATATTCAATCCCTTCATAGACACATGCTGTTTAAGAGCAAGTTAACGTCAACGATAGCTCAACATCTATAATATTAAAGTTAAAAACTTTTACTGGAATGACTTACGATGGAGAACCGATTACAGCACCGGTAGATAGCAAAATTTAAATCTTAATTCTTTATGGAAAATAAGTAGTAAATACGAATATAATTAAAAATGTCCATTCGAAGCATTTGTTAAAAATTCTAGTATCATCTTTTATAGAGCATTAGTCTATTAATTCTTACAATGTTATATAAGTCAAAGTACTTACTATAGAGATTAAATAGCTTATAAATTGAATGAATTAGACATATATTATTTTAGTTTAATTACAAAAAGTATGATAATATTAACATCATTAATTTATCTAGCTAGATGATTGTTGCGCCACCATGTTATTTCTTCTCATCATTTTAGATACATTGATATTTCTTTTATGGACCTGTTAAAAATATAAGGTCAAATTTAGAAATAATCAGCTCGCATCAATCCGGTAAATACTATTGTAAACGAAAAGTTTATTAATTCGACAAAAAAAAGTAAGGAATAATTTGAAAGGTTACGAATCTATCTTTATCTATAGAAGTAGAAGATCTACGAGTCCAATTCTTTTGATTACTAATCAAGCTTATTTGTTGTAGCTATTTATTTATTTTCGAATGGTAGGGCTACTCATTGATGAAGATTAGCACTGGGTAGAACTAGATTTTAAGTAATCATCACATTAAAAATAAAAGTCTAAACTTTAAAAATTCATATCTTAAAATGATGGTCTTACAAAAGATGCGGAATGAATTCGAGTATTGTCCACGGAGAATATGTTGTTAAATTTTTTGAGATAATATAGGCGAATCTAATATATATAGCCGGTAAATATATGAAAGAATTAATTTAAACCTTATTCCATAATTCAACGTCGAAAAATTATGCAAATAAATTCCATTGGAGACTTATGAATGGAACTTATTGTAAGGATAACTTTCTACGTATTTAAATCTTACAAAAAATCGCTAACTGATCTATGTCAAAATGATTTACGTTACTGCCGAAAATCGTCCACTAGACAAATTATAATAGAAATTAGTACCATCTATAAGAATAGAAATCATAAAAAGTAAACTTTACGTTCTGGTATCGTATCATAAATCTAAAAGTATCAATATCTTACTTATCTAATACTGTTGAAAGTACCTTTGCAGCTAACAAAAGACAAATACTTTACTTTACAAGCTTTATTATTAGCTTTTATTGCCATGTAACTCTTTCTGTGCTTATGTAGTCAATACAATCACTTCTAGTTGATGTACTTACTTCTTTACTACTCAGGCAAAGCACATACATCATGAACACACCCTAAAATAGTCAAAATAGTAAATGTTTCAATGTTTCTATTAATTTCTAAATACCTAGAAATTTTGTAAATAGAAGATGTAAGATCATTTCCTTGTGAAAAAACTATATTGCTTCTCAAAATAGTATTTTGGAAATTTATTTTAAGTGCATAAACTACATCTTTAATATGGTACTAGCCGAATCCGTACACCAAACTGTGCTTTAAATATACAGTTTTGCACATATTACACAGTTAGATCTGAGGCTTGTAACTTGTTAATCACTCTTAGTAAGCCTGCTATCATATAAGGCAAGATAATACAGTCACATAAACGAATCTGAACTTTAAACATCGTGTATAATATCCTGTCTGCCATAGACAGCATCTACTAAATCGAAAATGTCTTATATGGATAATGATAATCGATTACCTGGAAGCTATGAAAAATGACAAAGCAGTAGGCAAATACTACTGAGCCTGTCCAATAGAATGCAACTCCAAAGTACCAAGTTAACCCCAAAATAGGTAGTAGCGAGATAATCGCTTTAATAGTTGTCCTAAAATATACGTGGAATAGTTAATAGTGCACCTCTACCTTTAATAATATTGAAACACCAATAAACTAGAGAATTATTAGATTAACAGAGCTGGCTGCTATAAAGTTACAGTATAAGATATCACAATACAAATACAAAAATAATGCTAGGACTAACTTCACTTTTTGAATTTCTGATTGTCTAATTACCAGTTGAAGGCTTAGAAGGGCTTTCATAACACGAACCAAAATTACGACATTAATCTGATCAAGTAATAAGTAAGCGAAAATAAAATGTTTACGAGCGTAATCTTGATTTGACATTTATTGAGATAAATTGTCCAATGACTATTTTGCTTTCAAAAGATTTAATATTTTGAAATTACTTATTTGAGCATGACTGCATATTAAATTAAATTGTAAGATTGCTTACAGTAACTAACAATTACGTTAGCGTATGCTTATTAACTGTTGTTTGAGTTGCCAATATTTTGGCTAAACAGGAATACATACTGACAATACCACAAGCAGAGGTCCAATAAATGACCAAATAAATCCATCGACATTAGCCATCCAACAACTGTTATAATTTTAGAATAGCATTCGAATGGCAGAACAAAATATTAATTAGCGACAAGAGCTACTGATTTTGTCATAAGCTGGGCGAAAGGAGTTGTCTATCATTGCTTTTAAATTAATTAAAAATATTTTCAAAATTAGTTGAAATTTTCTTAAACTGCTTACCGCCTTTGCTTTCCATAAGCTTTAGAGTTTACAATGAAAGAAATAATTACTACAACCATTGGTGATCCTATGCAGAAGTATGTCAATATTTTAAATTTCGACAACTCAAAGTATTCTTAAACAACATCATGTCGTAAATTCTAGCGTACATTTTGACCTAATATTGAAGATCAAATATTTTAAGTGCTGCATTAAATGCTATAAATTTAGTTACCCCATCCAACCAGGAAGTAGTATCTCTTAGCTGTTGATGGAAAAACATTGGATAGTTCTAATGTCTTACGATAGAGAATTAACGCTTCTACCAACATCCAGCAGAAAGTTGTCAAAAACAGATAGTGCAGTATGACCGAAATCACACTACAAGATATCTAATTTCAATACGAAAGTTATTCAGGTTTATGATATCATTTTATTGGATCTTACTGTATGTTGATGATGGAGGTTAATATTTTGGTTAATACTATTATCAAATAAATATCTATTCCTATTAAAGAAATATTATTCACCGTCGTTCCTTGAATTTACGGTGATATTGTCTCTACTCTACTCCTACCTTATCATCATAAGAATCTATGCCAGCTATAAAGGTGATGTTAGATATTAAAATGCTAAGTGATAAATTCGCATGTCCAAATCCTTTGAGGCTATGAAAGCGTCTGGATTAATCAAATAATGAGCATAGTTAGTCTGTTATAATTTAATTAAATGACCGGATTCGCATCATGTTGGTTTAAGGTGAAATACTATGCGTACTAGCTTTCAGTGCTTCTATAGTTACTAAGTATTTAACAAATACCTTTTATAACTCAATATGATAATTGAAATAGTGAAAATAAAGTTACGGTAAGTATAAAAGGCACAATAAACAAATTGAATAAAGTTTACTAAAGTGGCGTAAAAATATCTAGTCTCCTTAGATTAATATCGTTTCAATTCTTGGCATTACCTGATGCAGGTGTAGGTTGCAATAGTTAATCCTAGACAAAATAACGAGACTATCGTGCCAACATAGGTTATGATGGTTAAGATATGATCATGCTGATTAGGAATCTATAAATCGGGACATAGCATGCATGAGATTCTATAATTATTCTTAGTGTACTGCCAAATATTATTATTTAATAGAAGTTTAAATTTAATAATTGATTGAAAAGCCTTACGATAACATCAGACTGTTGAAATAGGATAGCAAAGCTTGTTAAATGATTACTTAAGCAGATTATATGAGTAGAATTGAGATGTGCTGTTCGTAGCCCTTCAATTGACCAATTGCCTCTATAATAACAATTAAAATTATGTCCTTTAGTAATTAACAAACTATAAAGCATGAGCGCTAATTCCAAGCTGATCTAATCATCGTTTTATAAATATTAACATAATAAAAATAACTTAAATAATATTCAATGGGGTTCATCGACTAAAATATTATCGTAAGCCGCTTATAAAATACTCATACGATAATCTTAAAAATCACCAAAGCATACGCGTAAATATACATACGATGGGGTCAAGAAGCCACAGCTACTGACGTGATTTGATGGAATCTGTAATCGATTAAAATATTCAATCTTACTAACATTGAAATAATACTACTGCAAAATTTAATCGCTGATATGAGAATGTAAATATTGATTAGCTTATTCATAAGCTTATATCTTAAAGTATTTTATAAAGTGATTTGGATTATCATTTCTTACCTCGACTCCTCGAAATGTTACAGATACTGGTTTCATGTAAAAATCATGCGTATAGTCCTTGCTTGGATATACTATACATGACGCTATCAAATCTCCAACGTTAACTTGTTCACGTCTCATTCTGTTATATTACAAAAATTTTTGCAAAAACCATTAGCTACTTTAATCCTTGGTTAACAACAAAGAACATAAATTTTTATAAATTTTACTGCATCAAAAAATTGGATATCAACTGTAATACAAATTTAAATACTGAAAGTTAATTTTAATGGATTATAATAAATGCAATACATCACATGATTCACTCATACGATTTATTATACTTTAGCAATAATAATCAGTAGGATGAAAGAATGAACGAGTAATTCAACGAAGAGACCAATATCTCAAAATAGAAGAGATCTAACTCTACTTTGACCGTTTTATAAATGAATCTAATGGATATACTTTCTATCGAGAACAATATGATATTAAATCTGGCAGCATTCAATTACAATAGCTCAATCTATCGCAGAATAAATCCATTTTCCATTATAGGATGGCGTAATTAAGTTACTTAATAATACCTGAAACTTTTTCTTAATGAAGTATTACGCATATCCATTGCCCAAGCAATAATAATGACATAGTCATCTTTTAAAAATAAAAAGAGATACATAAAAATATATAAACTGGAAAATTAGCATGGAACGGAGTAATTGTTACGTAATCAGTTGATCAAGTTTTATTGATATACGCAATTTGATTAAACATAATTGGAGGTCACATTAAACTTTATTATAATTTTATAGAGTTGTCGTTCTATAGCCGTATCGCTCTATATCAAGAAATAAATTTTCTCATATTCAACCTTCCGATTTCGTCTGAATCGGTTCTTTTGGTATTTCAATGAGGATTGAATCATTTCCCGAAAGATTCAATCTTAAAATGGTCCAGTTTTTCATGTCACGATATTTCTTTGCAACGACCTTTACAGCTTTTTATTGGTATAAAGGTTATTTTAGCGAAGGCAAATAAAAATAAAAGCAAATCTTTCGTAATCTACGATAGAGCACTATTATTGTTAGACTGAAAATTCATAATATTGCTAATGATTGGTAGTCATACGAAATATGATAGCAAAAGTTTTTAAATGCAAATCATAAATACGATGAGCTAACATTGATTGTGATCTTTCTACTATGCATATAGATATGTAGCTGGATACTGCGTTATTTTCATTGGAAGGATGCTTTATATGACTTACCCAATAGATTCGTTTTATTCATATACACAGTATCTATTGCTGCTTCTATTTCCCTTAATTGTAGTGCTAATTGCTGGCTTTTTTCTTCCAGTTGTAGTAAATATTGATAGTCGGACTTTTAAAAGCATCAGGTATCGAACGTAGATATGACAGAAACAATAGACAATAATTTGAAGATATCGCAAGAATAAATAAATTTTTGATTGCTACAAAATCGATAGCTCTGAATGCTTGTGTCTGATTTTAGCTATTTTAAAGAACAGTATGATATTTAATGCTTCTAGTATTCATTAGCACATTGATTAATTATGAACAATTGGAGTAAAAGTGATAGAAATAGAGCAAGTAAAAAGCCCTACGTGCTCGTGCTCCTATCCTGGATAACATTAAAACTCTCTATTTACTGTAAATTTGGGAATGATTGATCATATTGGTTAGTAATTCTTGCGTTAAACTAAAAGTAAATTATTACCTCAAGAAATTCATAGTTCTTAAATTCAGGCATACTAGCAGCAAATTCAATAACTGTAAAATTTTGATTAGTGCTTGTTTAAATATTACAGAAAAAAGAAATCATATTATCTTAATTCGCAGTTAAATTCTAAATTTTCATACCAGCCTCCATTATTTGCTCATCCGTAAATTGTTCTGACAACGAAGAGTTGATGTCAGTATTAGCAGTCGAATTTTGAGTAAACTCCACGTTATCTTCATTTTGAAAGATAAGAGCATCGACTTTATTTGTATAGGGTAACGATAATCCAAAATCATCACTATCAATTCCTTTCGATGATGTATGATAATCTTGGTAGATTGGACTCGGCAATATTTCATCATTCATAAGATCTAGACTTGGTGAAGTATCTTCCGAGAGATAATTTAAATCGAATAGCAATGTACTTTCATCATAAACTGCATCTGATGCTTTTTCGTTTATTTTTGTCGTAGATGAATTATTAAAATAGGATTTTTTTGCTATTTCAGATATAAAGTTGCTAGTTTGAGCATATACTAATACCTCTGATCGTTTTTGGTCGCCAATAGAAGTAACAAGATATTTATAAAATAAATCAGAACACCGCAAGGACGCACTAGCCATTGTTGAATAGATCCAAGACATAGAACTTGTTACAGGAGGACTATTTTTTTGAGATACTGCTAAAGTCTCATCATATAAATACAGATTTGATGGATAGGTGCTGTCTGAAAATTTGACGGTTTTTGAGGCGCTAACCTTAATCGTTTCCTTAGCGAAAACTTTTTTCTGTTCGTATACGTCTGTAGTTAAAGAACTATCTAGCGGATCATTAATTGCATAAGAACTTTGGCTGAGCACCACTGAAGTTGTCTTGCCCACTTTAAAACTGCTAATATGCTGGCTGATGCTATCTTCAATGTAATCGGTAAATGATGTAAAACTTAAGCTTGTTGATTGCATCGCATATAGTGAGTAATCGGAGGAAGTAGTATATACTAATCTTGAGCCTTCAGAATTAGCAATAAAATTCAAGTTGTTCAAAATTGTACTACTTCTAAAATCTCCATCAATCGGCACCAGTTGCCCGGAAAAAATATTCATTTGGATGATGATTGGATCCTGTAACATCTAATTTTTAATAATTTTTGAAATATAAGTTAATTGAACTTATTTAATCTTTTAGCTAGTTGAACATCGAATTAAGATACAAAAGGAAAAACTATTAATATACATTAGGACTAGATTAAGACGATAGGTAATCTTAATCAATTCAATTTGTGATCTAATGCTCGATTTAAGTAAAGAAAATCAATCGTAACAAACGACCAACCAAATCAGCTGAAAGTGAGGATACAATGGATACACTAGGATAAGAATTGCCGTTGCTACCTATAAAGTTGAGTAACATTATTAGAGTAGGTTAAGATGTGCCTTAAACTAGATGATTAGATGGCGACAGAATGATATTATGGTATAAAATTATAGTTGATTGATAAATAGATGAAGATATAGATAAAAATTTGGCCAATAAAGAGATTAAGGTATGCTATTGTCTTTGTAAAGCTCTTTCAATAGTATAGCAATGATCGTATATATTAAGGTTTCCAATACTTTACTTATGACAGTAGTAATTGAAAATTTAAAACATTTTCAGCTTAAAATCAAGAAAGCGTAAATTGTTCAATTTTATAAACCTTGTTACCAGCATGGATGGTGATTGAATAATCCTTTAATCTATTAATTCAGCGAAGAATGTAGCTAGCTGTTGGCTAGAAATGACTAGATGGATAAGGTATAATGCGGTCTTACTTAAATCTTATAAAATACTTTACTGATAATTTGTTTGTACGTACGTATAGTGTCCTCGAAAAATAGCCTTCCGTATTATGCGCGCATCAAATTTCTGCAGAAAAGTGATTGCACGCATCGGAAAGTAAAAAATTACAAAAATTGAATATTATTGCTATTACAACAAAATTTTGCTTGAGCTTGTTCAACATATAAATAACGTTGCTTTACTAAGCATTGCTAGATAGATATGGTACATCAATGAACTTACTATTGCTCATAGTATCAACATATGCAGATCAGATAGTTACCATAATAGCAACATAATTTTGAGATCCTTTTACTATTTATTCATGGCGGTATTATACTATACAGTGTAATTCGTTATGCCAAGAATATTCACAAGTGCTCCATCGGCGTAGGCCGATACTATAAAAAGCCAAGCACTGGCTTAGCTGCTCAGTTCCATTTAGTCACTTGCAGGATCACTTGACTATTATTGCTAAGAGTATTCTTACGTTTTTCTTTAGTGCATTTTACGACTAAAATTAACGTAAATAAAGTGAAGTATTTAAACCTATTACTCAATAGTAGCTTATTTGTGTAGTTGAGAGTTAGTTCAACTACGATAGGTCCCTAAGTTAGTTGGGAATATGAGTACGAGTGAAGATTGTGTTTAAGACCAGTTTTCTAATTACAAAGGAGAATTGTAACACGGTAATATTCGATACTTACTTAGTAAGTTAGAATACTATTAAGATACCCATAATTAATAATAGTAAATACATAAAATGCAACTTTTACATATCTATTTAACGATGGTAAATTTTATTTTCTATTCTATAAAGTACGAATCATCGGTATTAATGAATGATGTAAAAGAGCTATTCATTGAAATTAGGCTACCTGTAAATTTTTTGTCAATAATTTGTTAATTTACAGGCCCATACAAATCTATAATAGTAAGTTATTATCATATTATGCGTATTTTTCATTAAGCAGGTGAAGAAATAAATTATGAAATAACTGATACTTTCGGAGGCATTATTGATCAGCATGTGCTGAATATGCAATAATTTCAAATGCGTAATTGTGTACGGTAACTAATTACAGATAAAGTTAAATAGCAAGAAGTATTTTTCAATTTACATTATGATTATCGTGACTGATACTTACTGTATAGTAAAGTTTTTCTATTAAATAATTAATATAATCGATGCATCTATAGTAATATGAATGCTTACTAAGTAAGTAATTCTAAAAAGCTGTAGGATATAGCAAGATGAGATATCATGATATTCATGATATTCTTTAGAAATACTGCAATTTATCATTACAAGAAATGAAAATATTTTTCAAATTAAGCTCTGATCTGTCCTAACCTTTGGAATTGTGATGTTCTGGCACAAGAGTAGAGACAGAATCATCAGAAATGTAACCGACTTTTAACGGATCTGAAAATAAAATATAAAATGGTTCTGAATTTGTTTGTATAATATATAATCGTTTAGTAATTTAATCCAAAAATTTCCTTTTATTAGGATATTTGAATCTTCGGCACTAAAATGAGGACTTATTTATTAATCATTATCGACCTTTTTGGCATAGATAGCTGGCACTAGTATAGCAGTTTACGTCATCAAAACCGGATGGATTAAGCAAACCATTGAAAATGCAACAATGCCTGCTATATTTAGTTCGCTGAGGCTGACCTACCGCCCATCGAAAATAATCTGACTCAGGATTCCTTCGCCATTTCCAATGAATACTAGTGTCATTAGATGTCTTAAACAAGTTAATCCAATATTGTGTTACACTTGAATTGAAAGTAGCAATTAAGCCGTCTAGGACAGCATCGGAACTAATTGTAGGTAGATGTGCATTGTATCTAGCACACCAATACATTGCTGTAAAAACTGTTACCCGTCTTCGAATAATCATATAACATTTATCGAAAATTAAAATCCATCCTTCTTGACATTGATAGCGAATTGAAGAGTGATCGTCTAAAGTTGCAAAGTTTGATAGAATTATATTAAAAGATTGTACGATTTATTAATTAGCTAATTAATTCGTGAACAGTATGATTGATAATATTTTTGCATCGTTTATTGAGATATTTATCGGCATTAAACGATTGATTAGTTTATTGACTTGTAAAGAAGGTAATGTGTTGATCTTTGTTTCACATATGTATTGATGATATTGTAAACTATCACATGATTATGTTTTTCTATTTTTAATTAGACGTAATTTAGACAATAACCGATACAGGAAAATTGGTATTAGTTATAATGCCAACGGCTCTTACTTTAATTCAATGAACTTACCTTCATGGGTATTTTCCTCTGAAGCCTGATCTTGAATCTATGGTGTAATCAATTTTATGATAAAGTAAATCATTTTTCAATTTCAGGATATCTACTGTATGAATGTCTATATATTGTACGTAAATGAAGCTCTATAGGCAATTTAATTTCCTACTAATTAATTGTTAGAAAGGTCATTTGTTCCATAAAAGCAATATCTGTATAATGAAGATTAGTCTGTCAATGAAATTAAATTACCATATGCATCTATATGTGTGTCGAATTGGAGAGCAAATTATAATTGCAGAAGAAAGTCAACAGTAGATATTTTTATCTCCTATACGTTTGATAAAACATTAATAATTTAACTAAGGAATTTGGCAATCGAAGAAAATGATTCCACTACATCCTGATAGTAGTTGGCGTTATCGATGGCACGATGAGCTGTGAATCATTTTTACAAGCTGATTCCTAAAACTTATCTTTTTCAACTTCTTTATATTGATTTAGTGCTATCAGATTTATCATACAACTAAAACATCAAAATATAGCTAAGGCGGTAAAGTAATCCATTCTAATTCTTTCCATAAAACAGATATTTTCATATTATTGATTTCAAATTCATATTCTGTTTGTTGTATATTTATAACCATATCGCTATTTGGTTGCGCATAGAATTAAGAATGAACAATAATATAGCGTTCAGTCTTTACTAGCATGAATGGAAAAATATTTTTAATTTTATAGCACAAATTTCTGTTACTTATGAGATGCTACTGTATCTTTCAGGTACTTATTTAGTGTTAGCTAAGTTTTTTAGTGTCAGCGTTATACACTATACATAGATAAAATAAATCCTTTCTATTCCTTTATATATCCTGTTTGTCATAAACATTTTTGGTAGCATTATATACCAACACATATGGTATAGAATATTTGAATTTAATTAAGAGGTTATCCCTGTAAGTTTGTTTACTGTTAGCATAGACGTTAATGATTTGTTACATTCTTATTTAAATAATTAAGATATCGACTACAATATTTTGATTGCTTCAGATTTAAGTAAAGAATTAGATATCGATGGTTGACTGTAAAAGCAGGGAAACCAATAATAATTAAAACTTAAAGGTTGGTTCTCGTAAACGTTTCTTAAAGAATTACTGCTTAAGATTAGGATTAAACAGAAACTGCAATATATGAAATATATTAACTTTACATTAAATTCTAAAAAGATATCAAAAATAACCTTCTGCTATTGTACTGTTTATCCAACCTATCTATTTTATTTATCATATCTCCATTCAGATCAGATTCTTAATCGATTAGCGAATTGATTAAGAAATTTCGAGGGTATTATTACAGAGATTAGTTATACTTCATATTCTAATAGCTTCCAATTAGCCGAATACATACGTCATTTTTTCCAAATAAAAATATTTAGAAGGGATAATATATTCAAATATAGTAAGTCAACAACTGATTAAATGGGCTTATAATAAAATATTGTGTGATCTATGAGTGAATAAACTTCACTTGTAACGTTATTCAAAGTGAAATCTAATTTTAATTCTAGAATCAAAGTCATGAGACAAAGATAAATCGTTCTAATTATATGCATATGCGTTATCATTCATGATAAAGGAAGGCTTCAATCATTGCTAAAGCTAAGTTAATCTATGTAAAATCATAAAGAAGATGGAAATTTTTAATTTCACTGAAATACAGATAACTTTATAACCATATAAAGTCTAGCCATGATATACTAACGAAAATACTCAAGGTTGATATGATTGAAATTATGAAGTGCTGTGTATAATATTAACAAACGTACAATGCAATTGTGTTAGGTGCACGAAATGACAAGATAAATTCATTAACTTTGAAAATAAAAATAGGACTACTAAAAGTTATGGTTACTGTGGAAAATCTTTGAAAAATGAACAAATTAGTTTGAGATATTAAAATAGCGTGATGAATTATTGGCTAAAATCAATCTTAGCGCAAAAGTGATTTAAACTTGTTTAATTCATCCGATATGTTGAATAGAAGCTGCCATTGAAAATATTTAGCATATGTGTTATAAAAAAAGAGTATACGACACTAACCGAAGTTTCTACTTGTGAGTAAAAACAGGATTGGATGACAAGGAAAATGACAAAAAAGTAAAACAAACTCTTCCTATCAGCATCGTAATCCCACAGATGATTAATCTTTTCCATCGCAGTTAATGTCGTCTTTAATGTTGGTCTTTCAAGCGATCTTGCACTAGGTGGAATATTGTGTAAGATTTGATTTCGATTCAAAATGTAAGGTTATCACTGAGGATTGTTACGAACAACATGTAATTTAACTTATTATCAAAGATGATAGATCATTCCTTCAGTAGTACTTTCCACTAAAATACGGGTATGTTTACTTTCTTAAAATCTTTATTAACTTCGGTCATTGCTTGCTTGAAGTAAGTTTTATTTCGAATGGATACTATGAAACTAATTATTTTTGTACATTGAGTAAAGGGGATTATTAAAGCTATACAAATAAATTGTTCAATGAATAAAAAGAAATAAGATTATACGTATATAGCAATTATATTTTATGATGCTTATTTTGCCCGACGGGATATTCATCATTTGTCAACGACAACAAAACATGCATTCTTTTGTTACTTAGCTAATAAGTTAGAATATGCAAAATTAATATTTTTATCGTTGTATACCAAGAACTGATATGAATATTACATAAGTCATACATGATTACTAAAATGAGAATATCCGTTGACGTAAGCTTGTCTTACTAGACGTGAAAAACGTGATATGATTAAAATAAATTTTAAGA